CGGGCTTTTTTATTTGACCTGTATGGGGAGATGACAATTTAAGCGTTTTTTTTTTTGTTAAACTCCATCTTTTGTCAGCCCGTGATTTTGTTCGCAATCAACACGCGACTATTTGCCAGAGCAAAAAATGGAACGATTTCTATCGCGTTTCTGCTGGTACTTTTGAACTGCAGTGTACAAAAAAGCCAAGTATCCTTTTTCAGACATTTTTTTAATGATGGCAAATGTTTTTAGTTGAAATGTGATGAATAGGCTTGAGAACTATGTGCCGTTTCATTTATTACATATACAAGTATATTGTTAATGAACGTGCACATGTGAAATGCCATAGCATCGGGTGTCACTGAAGCTGGAAAAATGCGAATGCCCAACGGAGAATGGATGCTCAAAGAACTTATATGGATGCAAATTATTCCATCCATATAGTGAACTGATTCAATTTAGCACACACACACACACACACACACACATGCATACATACATATACACAGACACATGCTGCCGCTAGAAAATACAATGTACAGACAATTGCTGTATCAGCGACTATTGTTTGCTTTCATTTCGAAGCAAATCAAATGTAGCATTCTATACTTGGTACATGTGGCACATATACACAATATTGGAAGTGAAATGCTTTTAAAGTGTATTTGCCCCGTGCAGATTGCCTAAAAATAATACACACACCGTTGATGATGATGACAATAATGATGAGTCGGAATGTATGTCGCATGCTGTATGCACTCATCATCCATAGCAGCACTCACAAATGTTTGTTGACGTTCACTGTGACAAAAGCTGTAATGAATGAAATAGAATAGGTGTTGCATCGTTAATTAAAAGAAAATATAGCGCATATACACAAACTCGCACCCATACACTCACAGCCCACTCTACCATATCCAACCCAACCCACACGAATATAAAGTGTAATTGCGAATGTTTACACTTCGGAGTCTTGAGCAGGCATTGTGTAAAAGTGAGAAAGAGCTGGGCAATGAGGCGGCCTCGCTTGATGTGCGTTCCAACACATTCTCAGTTTACCAAGAAACGAAGAGAGAGAGAGAGAAAAAATCTAATGAACGTTCATCATTCAAATTGTACAAGAGAAAATTAGTGTTCTAATGGGAATAAGGATTACGCCCAAGAGATGGCCGTAAAATCAAGGAACCTGACAAGAGAGTGAGAAATAAAAAGTCCTACTCTATCATTTTGCCGTATAAAAGAAAACTTGAAAATTAAATTGATGTTTTCAATTAATCACTTCCATCAAATTATCGCCGTGGTATCATCACTCTGCCTCCAGTTATTGTTTAAGAAAACAATAAGGATATCCAAACTCTGTCGAACATTCCAGCACCAAAAGCCTTAACCCAAATGCTTTGGTGTTGAATATTATGCATAAATATCGGCCCGGTCACACGCACGCACACACACTAACACACATAGCGCTTTCCATCACCGACGCACGATGTTGATGACATTAGAATGATGCCAGCTTGTTGTGTGTTTCAAGTAGAGGTTACTTTATGTTGATCGGACAAAGATAAACACGCTTTCTGTCTCTGTCTCTCGTTGGTGTTGGTGTGTCAAGCGCAATCAGAAATTCCGTCAAACTCAAACAAGCCATAAGCACAGCGACATATGTTCTCGGAAACTTTGTCTATTGAATGACATGCCCGTTTTGTCATCGCTTTAGAAAATCAATATTTACATCAAAGGTATGGTACGGATACAAGTAAATAGACCAGACTACAGACAAGCAATACAGTTGTCAACATACGAGCAAAAAAATACGGAAAAAAAAAACAAAACAATAAACCTCGAATCAGATTGATGCTTATAATACAGCGAGGGAGAAAAGTCTAAACGACCCATACCAAAATCACCATTTCACAGCAACAATGAACAATGAATTGAATCTGCGTTGAATGGCTGACATTGAATCACCACAAATCGCCAATAAGCTTTCAATATCCAGACAGAGCCAGTGGAATTGTGGAAGAGTAATACAGCCGAAAGGTTAGTTTGATTGTTCATTTGGGCATATTTTCGATGGATTTCATTCGTTTTGTGTGTACAGTGTACACTGAAGTTTGGCATGGTCTCAGCACATTTTCCATACCATCACACCAATGGATATACATCATTATTGGTTTACTTTAATGGAGACGAGTAAATAAAGGCGTATTTTTGTTCAACAGCCGTAGAAGCAATTCAATTCTATTTTTGTAATTCGATAGCTGCCTGTGTTTACCTTTTGCTGTTGCGATGACGCACAATTCAGTGCCGCTCGCTTCCCCTTGCTTTCATCCACAGCAACTCGGTTCAATAATTAATCGAAGTTCGATGGGTGCAATATCTTTCACCATTCCGGTTGGATTCCAACGTCTGAAATGGTTTCACCACATTAATATTGAAACAGAAAATAAACAAAAGTATACACAAATTGTACGGCTTAATTTTTGAAATGGGTCGAGCAAATTATTTACTCATATATTTGTTTTCGATTCGTTTGGAATATGAAATGCAAAAGCATTCCCATTAAATGTTTTCGGAAAAATTGACTAAATGAAGGAAATTGCTTGTTCGACTTTGCTTGCCATTTAATATTTGTCTTATCATTATGAAAATTAAAAAAAGGAGCAAAATCTTTAAGAGGTTTTCGTTATTTCGAGTCCAAACCTTTTGAAAACTTTTTCATTCCCCGGAAAAAGTGGCCTGGCATTTTTACGCCTTTTTGCCTTTTATTTTTTTTTTTTCATTAAATCGCATTAAATGTACTTAATAATCAATTTCGGAAGAAAATCTGCAATTCTCTCACACGCACATACACAGTCGGATTTGCCTTTAATTCGAATCGTATTCATCGTTTTAATGTTTCAGCAGTTGTATTTCGAGAGTCCGTGTTGCTTTGCATTAGCCAAGTATTTTGCGCTACGTTTTAAACTAAATGGATTAATTAACATTGTTTTTCCCTTTTTGCTATTCACTTGGCTCGTACAGTCGCCTTTCTTTCGTTCAATCTCTTTTTGAGCTCGTTCGGTTGTCGCCTTCCATCAAACATAAACGAGAGCACACTTGCACAGCATGAGGCTCTGTCTTGCGTTGGACGAGTGAGCCAACAAACTTACGCTCACTAGAGAGATATAACGCGAACGCGCTAATGACACAACTTTTTAATTACACAAATGCTTTGCTGATAAGTTAAATTTTCCGCTTTTTCGTTCATCAAAAGTGTTTATCGATAATGCATTTCACAGGGTGATGAAGCGAGTGTGAGCGGTGAGTGCCCGCGCGCGCGACACAGAGATAGAAAGAGATCGCGAATCGTCATTCAACTACAACATCGATGTCACAGCCAGGACAAACTTCTTTAACGTCGAATTAAGGAGCTTAAAAAAAATTGCACGTTTTTTTTTCTCTACTCTTTTCACGAAATGAATTTAAAGTGGAAATGGAAATGAAATGCCGATGACATTATCGAAAAGTTCCAGGCAAAGAGTGCCACGAATAACGGGGTGGTTTAAAGTGAATGCGAGAAATGGAGGAAGAGTGAGAAAATGAACAAGCTCACTGACACAAATGAGTGAATAATACGTTCTTAAAGAATTCATTATCATTCAGCTAAGTATTCACAGCGTTTGATTGTCTTATTGATTCTCAATGAAAATCGATTTGTTCGCAGAGTTGTGAAGAACTCTTGAGGTTCACACCAAAGTCACACGCAAACACATACACACACACACACTCACAGAACATTTTAAGCGAACGATGAAGAACGAAGGAGCAAGACGAATGACTTCACCATAAATTATCGTGGGAATGAACGTGTTAGCAAGAAATGTGCTCGCTCATCCTGGAAATTAGTGAATCAACTACAGCTTACCAGCCACAGCTGTGCGGTGATATCACTTCTTTTTTTTCCATTCTTTCGTTCGATTTTTTATTCTCTTTTAGTTTTCCACTAAACACACTACAACCGTACCACTTCCTTCCGTTCAGTGGATATTATTCTTGACAATTCATTCTGTCAAAGTCGTCGTCTTTGGTCGTCGAATTGTCGTTTTTCTTCTTCTTCCATTCGCTTGTATTCCAGCACACTTTTCATATATTACATATTAAATGTGATTTGTTGGCGGCACTAGCACGAACCGAAATAAATAGAGTGATGATGTCACGCCATACATTTTAACTATGTAGAGGGAAAAAATCGCACTAGCGCAAAAGACTGCACGGCAAATAAGCAGTAGCGAGCATAGTGAGCAGAGACAGAGAGCTTAGCATTTGTGTACGTGATAGTATGAATATTCGTTCATGCGTACGTGTGAAAATGGAGCGCCAGTCGAGCTTAAGTGATATGAAGGAAATTGAATGAATTTATTTGCTTCTATTTAACCACGTTGCATTCAAGCAAATAAATGAAAAAGATGTTCCGATATATTAGTTTGCGTTTTTATCTTCGTTTTTGCTCCCCGCTTCGAAAATGGCGCAAGTTTTTCATTTCTCCGGTTGTCTGAAATTGATTGTAATGACTTTCGAAGAGTTTGTTTCCAAACTTACTAGAAGAAAACCCAGAGAAAAAGAGATATGTTCTGGCAATTTTTCATCGACGCGTTCGAATGCAGTTCCGTCGGGTACATCGAAAAATAACTGCACAACATCTGTTTCTGTCTTCATCGATCCGAACCGCATACACACGCTTGCACACGCCGCCCCGCTTATATATATACTAGTATGAAGACTTAAGATGTGGAATTTCTTTTCGACGTGCAAAAGCAATCAAATGTTCGATTTCAATGTGAATGCATGACGTTTATTGCAACCGATGTAATAATGTTTTGCCATGCATAAATGCAACCGTGTCATTAAAAGAAATCCAATTTTCTCGAAATAGAAATATATTTGAATTTTTTTTTTTTTTTGCTGTTTCTGTTTCCATTTTGTTATGGAAATCCAATGTAACTAATGTATTCTTTTTTTCTTCATTCAACTTAATTCAGGCAATGACCTCGATTCGATTCGTGCTCTATTCAGTGAAAAGGAGAAGGAGCTGAGCTTGGCTGTCGCAAAGGTCGAGGCACTGACAAAACAACTGGAAGAATTGCGACGAGATCGACGTGGTCCACTGAATTTAATATCGACAGCTGCCGGAGTGAATGCGGCAGCAAATGCTGCTGCCGTTTCAGTAAATAGTTTGAACATCAATGGTAGTAATAATGGAACGACCAATATTCAACAACATTTGAACGGCACGTCACCAGCTGCTCGTGAACTTGATAAATTGCGGCGTGAATTAATGGTAAGCAAACGGACACACAATTTTATGGTAACAATGTTTTTTTTTTTCGTTCACCATCATCATCTTTATTGCCGTATCGACATTGTTTCTTCGGTTTTTTTTTTCTTATTATCTCCACGATACATTCAGTGATACCCAAGGGAAATAAAAACGGTGAATTGAACTTGTTGAGACTCACGCTATGAATAAAATATGTATTTATACGATTAATTCGATATTTTTTTCCATGAAACATCGAATTTGGTTGAGTTTTTATGCCATTTCTCCGCAATGAAAAATACGTTAATCTCTATGAAAATATCAAGCGTAGAAAAGAGCAGAGAACCCATGGCCTCGAATTTATATGCGTGTATTTTTTTTATGTTTGTACTCGCCGATTGTACCTTTGACTTTGCTCATTAGCTATGCAAATGTCACCGAAACATGAATGCCTTATCGATTGTTCCAACGTATACATATTCGAAATGGTCGTATGTATGAACGAACCCTTCTGAAAGCCACCAACCAATAAATGAAAGCTCAGCGACCGAACCTATGTACGGTGAATTCAATGCACAACGATTGCTTCGATTGCGTCAATAGACGATGGAACGCGTATCCTTCACACACACACACATAGAAAACATAAATTATATTCGAATGTTTAATCAATAAATTGGTTATTTTCCATCACCGCATTTGGGTTCCCTAGAAACGCATAAGCTACCTCATTGTTTTATCGAAGGCACGAAATGAAGAAAGAGATGAAAACAAAACAAAGCGAGAAAAACAAATTTCACCATGCTATGTAAACTTAATGGTTCGTCCTTTAATAAATATTTGCTGGTGCTTTAATGAATCGCCGTACCATGCCATAAATATGGGAATATTCGGCTCGAACGACTTTTTTTTTCTAAATATACAAATACGAAGTGAGATAATAGGCACGCACAAAATATGAATTATTCTAATTGGTCGGCGGTCGTGTTCAACTTTTGGCTCTACTCCCCAAAGCGTAAGTCACAACGGTAGCGTGTGTAACAAGGTCATAATAGGAAAAAAAGTAAACGGAATGGTGTTATGGTGATCGCGCGTGAGCTCATTCATTCCATTCTGTTGCTGCATTCTACTTTTTGTCTGACATTCGATTCAACGATGTATTCCCAAATCGTGAGCAACAAAACTTGGGCCCATCATAATGTTCAAACGATGAGATTTTCAGTCTATGCTTTTTCTAATTAACTCCTGAAATGGAAAAATAATATTTTTCATGTAATCGTACGAATGATTCAGTGAACATCAATGAATGTTCACGCCGTGCACCCGCGACACATTGGGGAATTATTCATGGATAAAACTTGACATTTAAAGTAAATAATGAAATAATTTTATTGAAAATTTTCCTTGTTGCCGTCGCCGTTACCACCACCAAAAGGTTGGCTAAGTGAGTGAGTGTTTGGTTTGTATTCATTTTTCCATGCATTTTACTCAAACTCGGAAAATTGCTTCACAGCAAAATTGAATGATCCGTCTAAAATAGTGGCAGGCACTAGGGGCATTTCACTCGCATTCGAATACATGATCATTCGTGCACGAATCCTGCATTCGCAAAAAACAGTATAAGTATTTGCATTCGCACCATGTATTCGTACTGCCGCGCGAGCATTCGCGCGACTCCGCATATGAAACGTATTAAAACACTCGCACATGTATTCGTCGCGAATGCGCTCAGTTGCGATGAAGTGTCAAACACAGTCAAACATGTGGAAAGATGTCAGACGTGTTTGAAAAATTACAACGTGCATTAGGTGAACCTCTACCAGAAATTTTACAATTAATTCTCACACATTCTGGATTTGATATAGAAAGCGCATTAGTTACGTTAAGCATTTGCCGTCGCAGGTGTCCGATTTTTTGCAAATTTGTTTCCGTTTGATTACAATTCTTGATTAACTGTGGCAACTGGATAAACAATCGGTGACCCGGTTTAAATTTAAACCTATTCACATTCTCGTATGATGTTTCTTTGAGAATTTCTGGGTTTTCAATGACATAGTTCTCGATATCCATAATAGCATCGTTGTCAATGGACATTAGAGATGATTCATTTTCAAATGCACAGAATTCCAGGATTTTAATAATATCAGCCGGAATTTTTTCATTCAAATATTTTTCTAATTTGAAAATAACATTTTCTAGTCCCTAAAATACAAAACACAACTTAAATTGATATTAAATTTGGATCGAAATAACTATTTACCATTTTGGCGAAATAATGTAAACAATGTAGTTGCAACGATTAACACAACAAATCAATATAGATCTGTCAAGTGCATTCGCATTCGCGCAGCAATATTCGGACGTATTCGCTAATGCGCTGTATAGATACATTAAATGGTTATTCGTACGAATGCGAATATTCGGCACGAATATCAGTATTTGCGAGTGTTTATATTCAAATGCATGGCAAAGTATTCGCGCATTCGTACGAATGACAGTATTCGCATAGAGTGAAATCCCCCTAGGGCAGGCAGTAGATTGAATATTCCAGCATAAAACTCGATTTTCATTAATTACTAAATGGATGGAAAAACTCTATCGTGGTACAGTTTATATCGTTGTGCCGTTAAAGTTTGGTCAATATCTATATGAGAAAGCAATTTTAAAACATTAACTTGTTTCAACATTTTAAACTTTTAATAATTCCTTTGAGAATTCCGGTTGGTTGCAAACAAGTTTGTTTTTTCACATTGGCTACAATTTTTCCAAAGCTTTAAATTCTACCAAGAGACTCGAAATGGTTTGGTTCGCCATTCTTTTGTTCACTTCTGAATGGATCGTCAAATGATACGTCAATTTCGACCTGAAATCTGCCATTCAACGTCCAATATAACAATACCCAATATTCACATTTGCTTGTGTCGGAAGGTGCTTGAACTGTTGGGAACCAAATCAATGGTTCCGTGTTGGCTGCATCATAAATCGATATTCTATCACTGATACATGGCCACAATATAAGCACACTGGAATTGAGAAGGCTTGAAACTACTCTAAAAAATATAATTTTACCTGTTTGAAATTGTGTTTTGTTGCTATGCGCTCATGGATGGAGAAGAAGCTTAGCAAAACAAATTGCAGTGCTTAAATTTTGAAATATTCGAATTGTTTTAATTTCTTGTAGACATTGTTTTCACAACAGCAAAATGGTATTTGATGGAATTTCGCTGCAGCATAATGAAATGCTGCATAATGTCCACAGAATTTCAATTTCAATATTCTAGAATGATAATGAGCTTTCGTTTTATACATAGACTATAATACCGTTAAAATTGGCCATTCAAACACTTTGATGTGTGCCATAGAAAAACGGTTAGATATAGGGAGAGTATGAGCGAAACCACATCGATAGAAATTAATATACCTATTTATATAGGATTGCTCGCATTGTTTAACTGGGACTTTCAATTTAAATGTTAATGCACTTAATAAAACGATTTCCATTATTCACCCTTCTCATTGAGCACGAGTAACAACACAAGCAAAAACCAACTGCTGCTCGTCTTCTTCTCCTACACTCCATTTCTCTCCCTCTCTCTCACTCGCACTCTGTGTTTCTCTTTCACTCAATGTGTATTCAAAGCCGTGTGAAATTAATTCTCCCTCGAATATAATGTAGTGTGGCAAATGTATTTGTTGGTGTATGCGTCTGTGTGTTGTTTGTATGTGACCGTCGACCTTTCAGTACTGTAATGAAGAGCGAGAAATATTCCACAAAACTATTTCACTTTCCCCATCTCTTCAGAGCGAAGAAAAAGAATTATGGAGCTAAGAGTTTCAATCAATGCCGCACGCAAATGTCTGATACAAAATGGCTTTTCTACACAGTGACCATATTTTAAAGTGTGTGTTGTAAGAAAATCATTAAGATTTCACACCAAATGAAGCGGTTTGCTATCCATTAAAGGCTTTTCTCAATCGCGTGCGCTTTTGCGCTCTTCTTGCATTCCAACGCCATACCGAAAGAATGTTTGTGGACGCGACGCGTCTGTTGCCCTTAAGATTCTTAACTAATTGCATAGAACATCAAAGTTGTGTGTCTGCTTTTGCATTTGCTATTGACTTTGAAGAAACGTTTTTGTTGCAATGTATAATGAAAACAGACTTTCCTTGAAAATTATTATGAAAAGACCTCTACGACCATCAGTCGAGACGAGAGATTGGCCATTGGATCATTTTGTCAAAATGAGAATATTCATCAGAAACCCATTTATGTTCATCTAATATGAAGTTGATGAGAAATCGTTTTCTATGGAAACATAGTATAAAAAATAAATCCATTTAAACTGTACACCATACTTCACATATACGAGCGCTCGCACACACACACACGAATGAACAACAATGGAGCTTGGAAAACTTATCGAGTTACCGGACATTGGTTTGAGTGAATTATACACAACGAGCAAATGACCAATTAATATTTAATCTGACAAAAGACGATTTTCTCATTTTTCGCTCTTGCTCTCATCTCTCTGTCTCTTTTCTGACAATATGATGTCTTACAATTGACTTTTAGAAGTTTTCACAATACATACTTTTCGTAAATCTCTTAGCACTGACAATAACAACAACAAAAAATGTAATTAAGCTCTAAAAATATAGTTTTTTAGTTAGTCGAATACAGCAAAAATCCACTGGCAGTAATTTAAAAAAATATGTTCAAAAACAACACTGCAATGTGAACAGTGTGCTCACTGCACACACTCCAAACAATATTTCATAAAATGAACTGGTAAAAGCAATTCCGTATATTTGCTCGTAATGTGCACAACATATTTCATGGATGAAGCATGTTTCCACCTTGTTACCTTTAGCACTCTTTTTTTTTGTGTTTTTGCACATGCACCGATTTCCTTCGCTAGGAGCATTGTAATTGGATGAAAAAAATTGCACCCAATGAAAAGATTTAAATTTTTCATAAAATAAAATAATTTCCTCGAATTGCATTCACAAAAGAGCCGGGGAAAAAAAGCAGCCAAAACTTATTCAATTTACCAAATACTTTGTGACAACATGAAAGAGAGTTGGTCTTACGAATGTTGCTCCAATTTTCGGATTGCATATTTCTCAGCAGAAAAAAAAATAATAATTTTCCACTTGCAATGAATTGGATTCTGTTTATGCGCTCGAGCGAAAGAGGCAAATGAAAACAAATTTAATTAAAATTTTTAAATTTTTATATGGCAAATTCGAACGATTCAAATGGGAAGGTCGGAAAAAATTTGAAAATAAAAGCCAACATCGTTTTGTATTATCGCCCTCTTACATCAAAAACATACATGCATTTATACAATTTCGAGTGGAGTCAATCAGTATAAAAATGGCAGATAAAAAAAGAAAGCACAAATTAAATAAACAGTAAATCACATTTATTCAAACAATCTGCACACAAAATTCATCGCCAGCCTCATTCGTTTTGGGAAATTCCGTTTTGCGAAACCATTTATAAAATCCCTTCAATTAAAATTCAAGCAGATCATTGAGGGAATGTTTGGTAGTATGTATCCGAAAACCATTCATCGGGCTGTATAGTATGACAGGCAGGCAGGTAGAGCAGGTGCTGCTAGTTTCACTTGATAAATGGATGTCAGTGTTCTCAATCTTTTTCACTTGATTTCACAAACAAAGTCTATTTGAACAAAAGCTTTAACTGCTGTTTTATTGATGATGGTAGAAGAAAAGTTTTTTTTCCCCATCGCAGAGAGATAGCGATAGGCTATAAAAGTGGATTCACACATACCAATAGGCTACACTGACACTCCCGAACAGATTGATGGAAAAGTTTTACTCGCTCCAAATGATTTTACTTTCCAAACATATTTTCGATCGATAGAACTTCCATTATGGAGCAGATTTTTCTAATAGAATCACATTAAAAAGATTAAAAAAATAATAAGTGCAGTGAATACCACAGGGATAGATTCTTCCATATCCGGTGTGTACCAAAATATTTGTGCCAGTGCTTGTATGTGTGTGAGTGTATTCTTGGCAAATGCAAATGACTTTCATCACACGATGTTTTAAATTAATCCTAATCCAATAAGCTTTGCGACGGTGAGCAAAGTACTTAACCGACAGCATCGCAGTTCATAGTGCAATTTACTCATTCTCCTTCGCTCACTCTCTTTTTTTCGTGTCGATCCTTGTGAACTTTAGTTTTTCGGGAGTGCACATTCCATTTCGTGTTGTTTCATTTGGGATTCCATGAGAGCAGCAGGTTAAATATAAAAGCATAACATTCAAAATGTGATTGTCGCTTAATGTGTCAAGTGGCATGGTTATTTTACTTCGTTTTTTATGTTGTTTTTGACTGGTTCTCTTTTTGTTGCGCACGTTTTTTTTTCTTTCGGATACTCTCGAGAGAAGCAAGTTTTTTCACATATGTTTGTTGTACCCCGATGTAACTGTGTTCGCTGATGGTTGTGCTCTATTTTTGGCTTGACGATGATGAAAAATTCCATGTGGTTGATTTTGCAAGTGGCAGTTGTGGACGTATAGATTATCATGATGATCTAGAAAAACACACCGAGAGAGACATAGAGAGAACCAAACTAATAGCGACTATCAGTTGCTCAGCCAGCCGCTGGTACACGATCGCATTGATGAGAGGGTTGACAAAAACGTTCAAATCGTTTAAAGTACAAGTGATTTTATGGGAAAGTTTTACATTGCCTGGCAACCATTATTTGCCCTTTTTCTCTAAGCACTGGAATTCATTGTTGAACACACGTAATGGGAAAAGTTGAAGTTCATTTACAAGGCGTAACTTTTTCTACCGGAATGTTTTTTGACTCTTTATTCTCTCTACTACTCACTCACTCATCCACTCTGACGAACTCACTCACTCTCTTTTTCAATGATGCCGAGGAAATGATGTTTTACAAGCTTAAATCGTTCACATACTTATATGGGCCCGCAATGCAATACAGTCCAGTGCAATTGAATTGTTTTTGTGCTAACACAAACTAAAATGTCATCTTTATTTCTGTTTGTGCCGCACTGTTGTTTTGTGTATGTATTACACAGTGTGTGTTTGAAATGTTTTTTTGCTCCCTTTAAGCAAGCCACTTGAAAGCTGCATTTTGACTTTTTCCACTCGAAGTACAATCCCAGCACAAATACACATCTCAAACAAATGCCGGATGGGAAAAAGTTCCAATACGAATGCGACAATACGAGCAAAAAAAAAACCATGTCAACTAGAATGCTCGAATAAATTAAATTCAAACTCATCAGAATGCTTTCATTCGCATCACACCAGAAATAAGACTATACGAAGCGAATAATATTAAAAGTTTTGTTTGTTTGAATTTTCCGTGTCTCTCCCTTTCTCTTTGCCCACGAAAAACAGTATCGGAATCAGTTATCACTGCAACAGGATGCCCGTTTACATTTGCAACGCGAGGCACTTCATCAGCGTCAAGCTGAGCTTCGTTCAGTGGACCAACGCATCTATGAGCTACAGTCGAGGCTACAGAAGAAAAAGGCCACTAACTTATCACAAGCATTTCAAAATCAAATGAAAACCAATCAGATTCATATGATGAATCAGCTGAATCAAACGGAACATCAACAAAAATTACAACAACAACAGCAGCACCAGCAGCAACAGTCGCAATTCAATCATCAAAATGTGGAGAACATAAACTATACAAACAATAATGGAGTGGTTTTACAGTTTGTTAATAACACTCATTCCAACTCAACGGCTGCCACATCAAACAAGTAAGTTAATTTATTCAATATTTTTGCATGCGCGCCAACCCGATGCGAATATGTGTGGTGTGGCGAAAAAGCAAAAGTGAACATTTTATGAATCTCTTGGTGAAAATGAGTTAAGTGAAATGTGTTCAACTTGATGAATGTAACATATATATTCATATCTGCTTAAATGAAATAAATGTTTTTGAGCTTGGCGCCTTCTTCGTATTCAGATGATTTACTCCACTAATTTTAACCACACCAACGCACGTTAAACCTCCAATTCATTTTGTCTGTTCTCTCTCTCTCTCTTCCATTTCATTTCTCCCTCATTCATTGTAGGCCATCGCATAGTGTGTATCCATCACAGCGCATCATACCAAAGGGAAATGTGGCTGCTGTTGAACCTTATATTCATATGCCACAACAGAAACCAAATGCAATGGCGAACAAACAGAAGCAGCAGAAGCAGCAGCAGCAGCAGCAGCAGCAGCATCATGTTAAAATGGTGCAAGATTTGGCAAATTTAAAATTGAATTTACATGAATCCAACCAAAAAAATGCGAACAATACTCTGAACAGTAATTTAAATGTCAACGTAAATCACATTCAGTTCCCGGAGAGTGACGAAACAAAGTTGGCACGACAAATGCTGCACATGAAACAGCATTCACAGGATTTTGATTTGAATGCAAATGCTGACATCACTGATTTTGTGACAACGAATAAAATCGATTCAAAATTGCACACATTATACAATACAGTACGAATGACAAAATGTAGCACGGCTGGAACAATATCGACAACGACAACAACACCAGCGTCGGCGGCGGCGGCGGCAGCGGCAGCAGTAGCACCAACCAGTAAAATGAATGCGATGGGCATGGAATCCTTTGATGAAGTTGAATCTACAATAAATTCCAAATTCAACGAGAATGATAGTGCGAAAGTCGAACATGATACGGAAACAAAAGTACCGAAATCATGTTTGCATCAGCCACCATCTGTTGTAGTGCCGAATGAAATGTTGAATGCAATAAATAAATCACTGGTGCCATCAAGCATGGCCACCAGTACGATTTCAACGATGCCAGCAACGACGACAACAACGACGACGATATGCGCTTCCTCAAATGGCAATCACCGTTACGATGGTAAAACGGCACCAAAATCAAAACTTTTGATGACACATCAAATTCCATCCGGGAATTTGGTCGTACCACCCAGAAAGCCAATCAGTAGTGTAGCTCCAACATCAATAACTCCATCCGTCAAATCAACCATACCAAGTCCGCGTGTGCATGCCGTTGCACCCAATGTAAATTCAACGCCAATTGTGTCGACAACAGAACTGTTGGATAAATCACGACCAGCCTTGCCACCGAAACCAAATAAAAACAGTGAGAGCAGCGGCAGCAGCAGCAGCAACAGTAGCAGTAGTAATGAATCGTCGCCAACATCATCGAATGGCAATGCGAATCATCATCGAAGCACGTCGTCAATGAAAACTCCAATGGCATTTGCTTCCTACGACAAAGGCACGCACAATGAAAATAACCGAACGAATAACATTGAATCGGGTGGCCAACAGCAGCAACCTCAGCAAATCAGCAGCTCACACATTCAAGCACACACTATTGATTTTCCAATCAAAGCCAAGCCATTGACGATAAAAAAGCAACCGCTTTCCGAGCAGCCACGTCTTCGATCGCTGGCATCGGGCATTAAACCAATTCAATACAGTTCACGACGCATCGAAATGCCATCAACGATGCTACTTTTCCCAGAAAATGAACGCATCAAATCGAATGTCAATGAAAATAAAATGCCATCAACGATGATGTTCACAGCAGCAGCCGATCAGAATAAGACCAACAAATCTCCAGCTGGCAGTAGTAACAGTAGTCTCGATGAGAATGATAAATCCAGTTCATCGGCGAGTAGTGACGCAGAGAAAACAGCAGCGCAGCCACATTCGCCACAAAATAACGAAGTGGTGCGTCGGCAGAGATCGTCAATGAGCGATAGCACAAAAGTTAAATTAACGCGACGCGTTAGTTTCGATCCGTTGGCTTTACTCTTAGATGCCAGTCTCGAGGGTGAATTGGAACTCGTTCAAAAAACAGCTGCTCAGGTACTAAGCACTTTACATCTCATTAAAATTCATCTTCTGTTGAGGGGTGATTTTGTGTATACTTTTTTGTCAACATCTTTTCCCGTTGTACAGGTGCCCAATCCGAGTGCGGCAAATGATGAAGGAATCACTGCTTTGCACAATGCAATCTGTGCCGGACACTTTGATATTGTCAAGTAAGTGAAAATTGTGGGGAAAAAAAAGATAAAAAAGAACTGTTTCATTCATTGAGTGTTTTCGACTATCAATAGATTTTTGGTCGAATTTGGCTGCGATGTTAATGCTCAAGACTCCGATGGCTGGACACCACTGCACTGTGCGGCCAGCTGCAACAATTTGGCTATGGTAAAATTTTTGGTTGAATCGGGAGCCTGTCTATTCGCATCAACGCTTTCGGATCACGAAACACCGGCCGAAAAATGCGAAGAAGATGAAGAAGGCTTCGATGGATGTTCGGAATATTTGTACAGTGCGTATCGACTCTCTCTCTCTCTCTTCCTTATTTTGCGGATAAAGACATTAAATTACCATTTTAACACTTAATTTGCAAATGTTTCGCTTGCAGGCATTCAAGAAAAATTAGGTATAATGAATAATGGTGAGGTGTATGCGGTATTTTCATACGAAGCTCAACAATCGGATGAGCTATCGTTTGAAGTGAACGACCAGCTTATAATCTTGCGAAAAGGTGACGATGCCGAACGTGAATGGTGGTGGGCAAAAATGAAGGAGACTGGCAAAGAAGGTTACGTTCCGCGCAATTTATTAGGGGTGAGTTGAATTTCTATTCAAATTCAAATCCAATTTCAATTCGATTTTCATTCAGCCAATCATTTACTGTAGCATCAATTGAATCAAATGTAAAAATCATTTTTTTTTCTTTTCTTTTCTTTTTTGTGAATTACAGCTTTACGCACGCATTCCTTTGAAACAGCCAATATCCGAATAACAGCTATTAAAAGCACCGATTCAATACAGCCACGAATCCGGAATACTGAAAAAACACTACATTTCACCGTATGTTTGACCAGTTGCCGCCGCATAACACAACCGCGTTGAAAATAACCTAATTCAAAAAAATGTTCGTCAACGGACACTATTTAGACTCTATCCAATGCTGTACCATATTTAACTACAAAAACTCATCAAACAATCGAGTATTCGAAACCAACCCAACTGAGCTTGAATCAACATTCATTCATCTGGTTTTTTTTTCTACTCTTAATATTACTGACCCGGGAAGAAGAAGAAGAAGAAGAAGAAGAAGAAGAAGAAGGAGGAGGAGAAGGATGAGGGATCTGTGTTAGTGATGCGTAACCACAATATGCAGCTAAAATCTTTGCTCTTGTTACCTTTTAACTTAGATAACTAGAGAGCACATGAGAAAATGGATGCAATCACGTAAAACATTAAAGTCGAGGCGATCGAAACAACCGGTTGAATACAACGGAATCGAATGAAAAAGAAAATTAACGATTTAAAATGTTTACATGCTTTTACATACTAAAACATTTCTACAGGCACACACACATATACACTATCCACTACTGGATAGTGTCTTCTAAAAGATTAATATTTTCACTCAGAATACTAAAATTACTACATAGGAAAGTGAGAGTCTAGTTTATCTTGAATAAATTTTAGTAGAAAAAGAGAAAAGGGGAAAAGAAATAACAAATTTGACTATGGTATATTAAATAGAGACAATTCGAACAGAAGAAGCGAGAAAATTGAGAACTTACAGAATTTTTATGTGATATTTACTAATTACTCCAAATGACATAATCACAAATAACGCAAAACACACACACACACATATACATTTTGATTGACATATGAACTAATTACAGTATATACAAAAAATATCTTGCAGCTAAAATAATAAGAATTTTGAATTTAAAGTAGCTAACCAAGGCAGTTGTTCGTTTAATAATTGAGAGAATCAAATGTGAACAATAAACATAGTACATCATATAACCTACATTTATGAGAAGAACATTCTATTGAAATGCCGTCAAAAATCGATAGCAATGTCTCGTTGGCTTTGATTTTGCATTGAGAATTGGGTTTAGTTTTAATTAAAATCCTGTGGAAATGTTAGTTCTACCGCAGAGCATTTCTAGCTTTTCTCTCGTCTGAGCGATCATAGCGAGTCCGAATCGAAATTACTGTCCAATCATCATGTGACCCAACTGCAAAGTTGTTTGCATATGACATAGTTGATTCAACCATCTCAATGCAGAGAGCATCAATTAAACTGGTATTTTCATTGTCGATTGAATGGTATGGGTAATCGGTATCTCATTGTTCGGCATGTTCCATGTATTAGGGCATAAAGTTTTTGACACACAAAAAAACAATCAAATTTTATTAGTGCAAATTTTCAATATTAAATGCATTGATGTAGATAGCCATTGAATTGTTATCTCTTTCGAACTTTGATAAATACCTTTGAAAATATGTAGGATTTGAGAAACATATAAAAGCATTTATCGTCACATGGTTTCGGTTCTCACATAAAATAAATTCAGTATTTCTTGTTTCAATTCCTTTTTTTTTCTCTCTCTATGATATTTAAGATGAATTATAGATTTAGTTCGAGAGCTTCGAAAATCCACCACACACACACAATCACATGTACCAAAAGTGCTGCACATTGCACAATCGCATACACAGATCCACACACTTCATGATGGAGTAAGAGACAGAGAGAAGAGGTGAGACTCTCCTACAGAGTGAGAGAAAATCAGTTGAAATATTCATAGAAACCATTTTTGAATGAAGTACAACCAAAAAGCAATCCACACACAAACAACACCACATTCCATTCGCACGCAACTAGACCAACCAAAACATATTGTAGTTTTCACAAGTTTGTTTTATATATTTTTTTGTTCTCAATCACTAAACGGTTTCGCATATGTTTCATGAATATTTCACCAAATACACTTAGTCCAAAAACAGAACAAAAGAGAGAGAGAGAGAGAGAGAGCGAGATTCACATGCGAAAAATGAATGGCGACTCGTTTGTATGCATAGTAGAAAATTAAGCAAAGCATTTGCAAAGAGCACAATGAGCAAGTGTTTTCAAGGATGATAGAAAATGTTGTGCATTAGAGCTTTTCCCTGTATGAACATTTGAATAGAAAAATGCGAAAAATGATCAATAGTGTGATGAATAGGTCGATTTATTCGTAATGAAAATTTTTTTTTCTTTTTGGAACGGAGGAGAAAAATCAGAGCAACAAAAGCGATTCATGAGAAATGTCCATTTTGTGGCGTTTTGAAGTGCCATAAAAAAATATTCGAGAAAAAAAGTTTCGTTACAAAGATCTGTTGTAATTTTTCTTCGGTTCTCTCTGGCAAACCTGTTTCAAGTATTCAGACAATAACAGGGAAAAATTCGATTGAAATTTATTTTGAGAGAAAAATTGAAGATCGAATACGTTTTGTATATAAAAAAGCATAGAAGAACAAAAGTGTGAAGTGAATGATTGAGGCCGTGAATAGAGTTTATTCACAGATTGTAATGAAATTTTCTATTTATTTCCATTATTCGCCACTACAAATCGTATTTTCATAAAAACACTTTTTTGAATTACATATTTTCCGAATCAAAAGAAATTACTTAGACACGCTACAAATGGTTTAGTGGATACATTTCCAAGGAGATAATTTTTTCGTTTTAGTTTCGTATCTGGAGAATGCCATTACGATTGCATTTTGTTTTTGCACGCAAGGGATAAAATGTGAACGAAAAAGAAAATTTAATTCAAATTGATACTATCGGCTTTTTTGTGAAATAATTTGAAGAAGAGAAAAAAACGGCGGCAGTTCCCAGAAACGCAAAAAGCATGTATATCAAATGATAAACTTAATATATATATATATATATATTTTGAATAATCTGCATTATTTGTATGTTTTCGCATAAATAACATTTCATTGTTTCTTTGACAGTTCTCTATTGCTCCCTGTCAAATCTGCCTTAAGAAATGAAAGCAAAAATTCATTATCAACAAGTTTTGTTAATAAAAGAAGAAGAAAATGTGAGAAAAGTATACATTTAGGACAATAACTTTATGTTTGATGTTACAACAAATAAAACACACAAATCAAATATCAATATTTCGATTAAATTTTGTTCTCGTTTTCTCATAACATACAACACATATGAAAAATTGCAATAAAATTTGTTGTTATAAATTGTAAGGCAACGAGTTTTTTTTTCTCTTCTCTCTTTGTATGACCAATTCCAGAAAATACTGTGTGTCATCTTATCTGACGAATTGAAAACAATTGTCAACGTAAATGTTAAAGGTAACTTTTATTTATTATTTGAAAATATGAAATAAAAAAAAAGAAAAAAACAGCATTTAATTGGTTCTGGCGTAAAGTTAAAACCTTCTGAGTATATGACAGTGTAATATGTGGATTATATTGTGTTAAGCTAATACTCTCATTATTTTTGAGTAAGAAAATGCAAACTCATACATCTCATATTTCCCAAAAAAAGATCTTAAGGGCTTTTCCTCTTGAAATAACAGCCGTTTGTGTCAAATGAACCAACCATCTTCGATATTCCAACGCATCTTCCTTAGACGCTACCACACTGAATAAGCCATTCATTGCATTGAAGGATGTTTAAATGCTTAGTCAATCAATTCAAACCTATGTCATGTGAATGAGCATTTTATTAAGATTCTACAATGCAACACTCTATTGTGTATCAAATCGCGGCTCTTGTGCAACACTCTCATTCTACCACCAAAAGTCCCGTTTAATTGGTTGATGTTCATTTTATTTATTTTCTACGTTTTATTTTCAACATTTTATCATTGGATTGGATGACATTTCCTAAACTGCTAATTTTAACGGCAAAAACATTTAATGCACAGTTAATTAATTGCCATATATTGTGAATAAACTGATTTCAAGCTCATTACTGTCATCAACAATGTTCTTTGTCAAGAAATTATTCTGCCGTTTCATTTTATGCTCTTGCGAGTTCTTTCTATATGTTCTTTTCTAAACTGTTGTCTTGAAACTTCTTGAAATTTTCAAAATGTAACAAATCAACTCTCAAATGAATGGAGGCGTATTCTTAAAAGAAGACAACAACCGAAAAAATGCCATATTATATTATAACTATTTGCTTAAACGGCGTTTTTTTAAACATGCGATCAAATAAATGACAAAATAAATCGTGTGTTGGTTACTGAGTATCATCGTCACGTAATTCTGGGAAAATATCTCGCAAATCATTCTGTTCAACACTTCCGTTGCCAATTCCTTCATTCTCTCCTGCTTCTTCGTCGCTTTCATCGACTATTTCGTCTTCGAATTGGGGTTCATCGGATTCCATTTTGTTCAATGGTTCATCGATTTCATCGGTCTGGCCGGTCGTTTCACCATTTTGAAGAATATTGGATTTTTCAGCTGTTGCAGCAACCTTTTGAAGAGTGATCGAGGCTGGAAGGTTCGGAATTGTCGTTGGCCGCATCGGTTGCTGTGGTTGAACATTTGGCGTGATCATTTGTTCGGGAGTTTGCATCGTTGCTGCAACTGTTTTGTGGGAAGAAAGGTGTCGTAAATATTGGAAGTTTTTTTTTTTAATGAATAAAATCGAACAGATTTGGGTTACCGTTTGGATTCTTCACTGGCGTTGGACTCGATGCTGTTAGCGGCAATGCGATTTGCTCTGGTTTTTCCACCATTTTTGGACCGACTGAAATTTTCAGAACGAATATGAATGGGAAATGTGTCATTTGATCTGTCAACAAAACGAAAATTCGAAATTTTAACTACCATTTTGTTGCTTGACCGGCGCTGGATTTGGAGTTGTTGACAACGAACTGACTGACTGTGGTTGCGGCTGCGATGGGGGCTGTGTACGTTGTACTTTCGAGATGCTCAAGTGAGGTAAATTTCGAGCGAAAGCCATAGCAGTACCGTTTTGATTGCCAACACCGTTCGGAATGCGAGAAGCAGCTACCAAATCTGGATCACGTGGAGTGCCAGAAACAAACCTACCAATACGATAAGAACAAACATATGATCAACCGTCTGACTGTGTTTGGTGACAGTTCTGTCACTTTCATTATGAAAAGTGAAAAAAAATAACTTTTCATGAAAATTTTTTATCTGAAACTTCGGGAATGCTCTTCCGACCATTAATTCTATTATATAAAACAAAAAATTTATTGAAAAAATTCAATTTTCCATATAAAATTAAATTCCGCACCGTTATACCCCTTTGACTGTGTTTGGTGACAAAAAATGTCACATGTGTTTTTTAATCAATATAATTATTACTGCATATGATTTTTTCCTGTATTTTACACTTGTACATTAACTTTGGAGTCTTCTCAACTTAAAAAGCAAAAAGTTGAAAGAGATATCATGTATTTTCGGGTTTGTTCTGACACATGCTGATGACGAGTAGAAAAATCACCGAATCAGAATTCAGTTGACTGTCAAACGCAGCCACTACATATCGAACTTTCGGATGGTTCAAAGAATAGATTTTACCCAAACACAGTCAGAAGGTTAATTGAGCTCTGTTTTTTCGATAGCAATTAAAAATAGCGACTTACGTCGATTGAGCGCGCTTGCGTTTGCCTGGAGTGTACGAACCGATTTGCTCGCCCGCTGCACCATTTTCAAGTCGAATGAGTTTTTGTTGCGAAAGTTGTTGTTGTTGTTGTTGCATGGGTGCAGATGCGGGTTTCTGTGCCTGTGATACTACTTTTCGCTGTGTTAGCGGAGGTGCTGATAACCAAGAGCAAAAATCAATTTTTCGATTAAAAATGCCACACTCAGAGGTTGATTTCAAAACAAATTTATCTAACCATTAGGCTTCTTGAACTGTTCTTGTTCAGCCATCGTTACGTTTGTGTCGTGGATTTTCAAGAAATTCAGTGCGTCCTTCATTTTCGCTGTAAGATCAACTGGCACAACTACTTCGCGAAAGTACAACAATTGAACGATCTTTTGGACGATTTCAAACGGGTAGTTGGTCAACGGAACTGGTGCAACAGTTGAAAACATCATGACAAACATGAAAAAACACCTTTTTATTCAATACGATTTGATATTACTTACTGATTAGCAAGCCATTGAGACCAGAATCGTGAATTTGGCCGGCCAAATGTTTGGAGTACAGGGCCAACACCAATCGATGCGCAGAAACCTTCTTTTCATCCGATGTAACCAAATCAACGTCGAAGCTGGGACCTTTGTTGAACAAATCGGCAATTCGTTTGTCACTGGTGTTTGACGCCGTGCGATGCACGAATTTGATCATATTATTGCTCATTTTTGCCCGGAAAATTCAGTGAAAAATTGAAGAAAAATTCTAGTTTGAATTGAAGCGTTTAATGCGTAGAAATTGATTGCAAATTGGATTGTTTAATGCACGAAACACTTTGAACACTTTGGCAATTCACTGGTGGCAACCGAGAGTGATGAGCTAATCAACTGACGACTGAGCCAAATGTATTTCAACGATGTACACTCAATCTGAGTATCACAGGATATTAGCCGACGAAGATGTGAAGGTTTGTGATGTGAATGTCCATTTTAAAAAATGTCACGAAAATCTCTTGAATTCCAAATTGGTTTAGTGTGTAACACACAATCAACACGATCGGAGTTAGCACCGACTTTTTCGTTTTGCACGATAGGCCACATTTACTTATTGAATGGCATTCGCCCAATCCAATAGAACAAAATGCGGATTCATATGCGTGTTTGTTTTGTGTGCGTCAACCAGTGCAAAACAAAGACGACCATTCACTGAATATCAATAAACAATAACAATCTCAACCGTGTTGTCTCAGCCAACCGGTTGACGAAGAATAAATACATTGACTCGTGCTGCGTTCTACGCTGTTTCACTTTATCACAAAACTCACAAATTTGCGAGTTGAAAAATTCGACATTCGACGAGAAAGACTGAAGATGACATTCAAATAAGAAAATTCGTTTTTTCACCCAATTCAAAATTCATAATCCAAATCGTGAATGTGTTCACGTGAGTTGCGTGATTTGACAAACGAACTGTTTGACAAAAGTCTGGCTGACAGTTGGAATGTCTGAAATTGTTTGTTTTTCTTTTTTTTTCTCGTCGACTTTTCCGCTGTTTTGTGTATATTTGCGCGACGACTGAATTGTTTTCCAGCAGATTTGTTTTTTGAATTTTTCATGGAAAAAAGTTGATGGGAACAATGTCAAACTCATCCAAAATTAGTGATAAATTCAAAGACATATGTCGTGTGTGTGCAAAAAAGTCAACAAAAACGATAAGTTTGTTTGGTATCAGAAAGAAAGGATTAATATTAGCCGAAATGCTAGCCATTTGCACACACATTAGGGTGGACAAGCAAACGGATTGTCGACCATCGAATATTTGTAGTCCATGTTTATCAAATCTAGAAATAGCGTTCGATTTCTACAATCTGGTGAAATCCAGTGAAAATAATTTCCAAAAAATGCTCGCTACCCATAGTGTAAATGACGAGGAAAAAAGTCAGGCAATCGAATTTTGTACACTGGATGATAACGATTCGATGGTTCAGAAACACTTGAAAGTTGAATTTAGCGAAGGCAATGCTGAGTTAATATCAAATCAACAGCAACGAATCGAACAGAAACGAAAACGAAGATCAGCTCCGAATGAAACGGTTGAACCGCATCAATTAGACGTAGATAGCCAGCAGATGCAGCAAGAAATGCATAATAGAAAAATGAACCGGTTATTCGAGTGTTTCCTATGCAAAGCTAAATTGAAATCATACACAGGTGATTCCATATTGTTGCTTCATGAATCTTCACAAGTCAAACACTTGAATTTATCATTTAATTACACTTGAAATCATACACAGATACCCGAGTCCACTTGAAACGGCACTATGAAGCAACGCCATTCAAATGCAAAATCTGCGCAATGAACTTTTCGGCGGTGCAATACGAACGGCATTTGTGTCGCGGACAAAGCGTTCAGTGTGTTTACTGTCTCGAATCATTTGAAACAACGATTAATCTGATGGACCATTTGGAATGTCACAGGGAACAACATAATTTGCATAAATGTACCGAGTGTTCGAAACTGTTTCCAATGCTCTGGCTACTTGAATGCCATCAAGTACAGCACAGACAAGTGGAAAAGCCATACGTTTGCCATATTTGCTTTCGCGGATTTCGGATTAATTTTGCACTGACCAAACACCTTTCTACACACTCCAATGAGAGGCGTAAGCGATTTAACCATTTTCTTTTTACTCAATTATAATCCTCAGCCATTATTTCATTTTTTCTTTCGAAATTTTATTATTTCCCATTCAATTTTTTTCTCATTCAAAATTGTATTTGTGCAGCGCACCTTTGTTCCACATGCGGCATGGGATTCAAAACAATGGGCACTCTCCGTTCTCATGCCATTCGACACTCTGGCTACAAACCGATCGCCTGTTCGAAATGTCCGAAGAGGTTCTTCAGCAATGCCGATCTCAGGAAGCACATGGACGTTCACAGCGATGCAAAATACGTGTGCAATTTGTGCGGATCATCACTCAGTTCGAAGCGGTCATTGGATGAGCATAGAAGTAAGCTCGATATTCAAACTTCGAATCAATTGATCCTTCGATCTATTGATAAATATTATGAATTCAGATAAAATATTTTACATTATTCACTACAGGGCATCGTCACAGGAAAGCTGAGGAGCAAACATGTGATCTGTGCTCGATGAAATTCAGAACTATTTACAATCTAAAAAGACACCTATTGACTCACACGGGCGAAAAACGTATGACCAACTAAAAAAATTCTCTATTGTCCAAATGCAATTATTTCTTTTTCTTTCTCATCCACAGCTCATAAATGCATGTACTGTGAGCGAGCGTTTGCACAATCGGGCGACCTCAACAAGCACCTGAGACAGCACGTGGGGGATAAAACATATCAATGCAATCTGTGTTTCAAATCGTTCAGATTACAAATCGAACTGCGAAAACACTCGTATGAACATTTTCAAAATGAAAACAAAAGCGAAACGCATATTCAATAGACTTAATAGCTTAGTGTCGTTCTAATTTTATTTGAAAAAACAATTAAAAAAAATAGTAACGTGTAATATGGAATAAATATTAACTCAATTTCCCCATGGACGATTGTCTTCTAAATTGGTCCAATCGGGAACTCGATTCAATTTCATGTAGTTTTCCTTAGTAAGTCCTTTTGTCTTGAGCATTTCCGTGCCACCGTAAATGGATCCGCCCAGCCTGCGGAAAGAGAACAAAATGCATGATGAACTGATTAGCATTTAGAAAATCAAAACATGTAAAATACTCTTTCAAAGTGAAAAATATAACGAAGATTGGCATTTGGCGATGATAATCTAAAACACTAGGGGCTAACCACGGATTTTTTATTGACAAAATCTGTTTTTATCGCCCAATTTTAATGACATCCGTAAAAAATTGAAGAAATCTGTATATATTGAATTTTATCGTTCAATATCCACTATAAACGTTTAATGTGCTGACGTCATTACCGATTCAAAAATGCTGGAAGTGGGTTTTGGTGGATCCTCAGGATCGTTTAGTACTGCTCCCAGTTCTGGAAGTGGATCCTCAGGATGGGCCAGGGCATTGTCAAACCCAGTCTGGTCCATCCTGAAGATCCACCAAAACCCACTTCAAGAATCGGGAGGAGTTCTGAACGATCCTGAGGATGCACCAAAACCCGCTTCTAGAACAGTATGCATTCGTTAAAGCGAAAAAATTACTGCAAAAATCGGGCAAAATCGACCAAAATGTGATCATATCGGAATTTATTTGTTTAAATGATAAAAAATGTTAAAGTCGGTCATTATTGGTTATTTTTAAAACCGTGGTTAGCCCCTAGCTAAAACATACCAGGCTGCAAAGTTCTCCTTCGCCGGCACTCGATGGAATTTCACGATGCTTGCATGCAATTTCTCTTTGTAGACATCCGTTTTCAAAAGGGCGAGTAGTTCACATTTAAGACGAGCCATCAGACCCTGTGCCATGGCTGTGCCGCCAATAATCACTAGATTTTCCAGCAGCGTCCTACGCATATCGATTGAACAAGCAACAATTGCATCTAAAATGATATACGGTAAACCCAAACGATCGTTATCTTCTGGAAACAAGACTTCATACGCAGTTTCTCTCAATTTCCCCGGAATAGTTATCGTTTCTTTGCCCTGGATCGGATAATTTACATCGGGCGGAGGTGTGACCTCGTCGCCATTCTTGTGCTGTTGTGATCGTTCGTACGTGGTTACAAAGCATGTTCGAATTTTGATTTCTTCGATCACTTCATCGGTGAGTAAGTCGCTAGATACGCCATTCTCCAGCAGTTGCCGTTTGATTTCGGCATGTACAGATTCAGCAGCCAATGGTTGTGCTTGCCACGAATGCAACACCTGAATACCGCTATACACTGGAATTACCGTCGCTTCCTTTTGGCCGATATCAACAACTAAAGCCGTTTCAATTCCCAGCGTGGACAAAGACACTAAATGCGAGGGCACAAACAGTATCGATGAAATTTCAAAGTGACGAAACAACACCTTGGCAAATACATCACGAATCTCCGTCGGACAGAGAACACTCTCGACGATGACCACCTTCCGCTCTTTCGGATTGACGAGCAAGTGCTTGAAGAACAACGTTTGAATGAAATCCACTACTTGATCGTAAAATTGAAGCTGATTGTTGTAGCTAAAAAGGGATTTTGATGTGGTTGGCGACGTTCCCGATATCACTTCGGTCGGAGTAATTGTTCGTGGATACGGTTCGGCTACAAAACCCAATCTAAAAACAGAAAATTATAGTGATTAACGAGAGAAAATTGCGTTGAATTTCGAAAATCCTCACTTTGTATAAGCGGAACCGATATCAAACACAACGGGAGCTATTTCGTACACGGGCATTTTTGTATGTTTTTAGCTTAAAAAAAAATCTGCAAATCCAGACGATTTGGTTCGATTTCTCTCGATTTACTTGCGTTATTTGTATAGTGTTTGACATTTCTTTTACTTGATGACTTCATTCAATACGTTGTATGCACGGGCACGCACGAACGCACGCACACATACACACAAACAACATTTGACAGTGTAATGTTACGGCGGTAAATGTCAGTTCAGTTGACATTCGACAAAAACAATTTTATTTCTATTTGTTTACCAGCACCAATATCGTTTCTTTGGATGAAGAGAAAAAAAATCGAATTTTTATATGGATTTCTGCTAGAAAAATGGATGAAACAGAGAGTTCATTCGAGTATTTTTGCCGTATTTGTGCAACGCAATCGAATCAAGTGCAAAATTTATTCGCAACAATTCAAAATGGAATCAGTTTGGCAGAAATACTGATGCATTGTTTAAAACGACCAGTGAACAAAATAGATGGTCTTCCTGAAAATATTTGCCCAAATTGTAAGACAAATTTAATATTCACCTATGAATTTCATAACCTCTGTGAGGCCAGCGAGCAATATTTTTTGAAGAGACTACCGCCGAACCAAATTACCAACGAATTTAAAGCATTTACAAGTGTTGTTGAATCAATACACACAAGTGAACATGCAATTGATGCACACATAAAAATTGAAAACGACTACGGATTGGCGGCTCTTCAAACGCCGAACATTATTGACGAAAGTTTGGAATTTGATGTTCGACCAACAACGCTTGTGTCAGAGTTGGTTTGTGTGGAGGAAAATTTCGATGTGAACAATGTAATCGAAGAGAATGAAGAAATCAGTGAATCATCGCTACCGATTGGCCGATTGAGACAGCGGCGCAGTCCAATGAAAGCCGTACAGGTGGTTGCGCGAAGAGTCAGACATAAATCCGCCGATGAATACAAAGTTTTCGAATGTTTCGAATGCAAAAAGACATTTTATCAGTTGAATGATCTACGGCAGCATATGAACGAGCACAACAACAACCGAAAACCATTTGAATGTACCACCTGTAATATGCGATTTATTCACATAAACAGCTGGTTTCGGCATCGATCGAGACACACCAAAAATATTCATGAATGTGAATACTGTTCACAGTCATTCAACACACTCACCGCTGTCAAGCAACACATTCAAGATCAACACAAAGATCATCTCAATGCCTATAAATGCGATCAATGCTCGGAGGAGTTTGCTTTACATTTTCTTCTGGTTCTTCATCATGAATGGCATAAAAAAGCCAAACCAATTATCTGCAGCACATGTAATATGGTCTTTTTTAATGAGCGCAAATTAAAGGCACACATTCGAGACAATCATGCGAGTAATTATCTATCATTTGATATCATTTGAAAAAATATTCAGTTTAATCAATTCTTTCATTTGTTTTTTTTTTTTGCAGATCATTTGTGTGCAGAATGTGGAAAATCATTCAAAACCATTCACTCGTTGGCCAGCCACCAAATGTTACACACTGAAGAAAAGCCGTTCGCCTGTGATCTATGCCCGAGCCGATTCAAATGGAAAGCAGCGCTCCGAACACATGTACTCGTGCATACTGGTCAAAAGCAACATGTCTGCGACATTTGCGGATCGTCTTTTACGACCAAAGGATCAATGAAAAAGCACAAAAGTTAGTTTTGGAATAATTCAATATACCGTTTAGTGAAAATTAACAGGTTTGTCTTTCCTCAGGAATACACTCCGGTGACCGACGGTATCATTGCGAAACATGTTCGATGCGATTTTATTCCAACGATCATTTGAAACGGCACAAACGGACTCATACTGGAGAGCGACGTATGTGCAACAGAAGCATCTTTGTTTTTTTCGCCAAAAAAAAAAATTTGAGTCATACCTCTATTAATGCTATTAATTCCATTTTTTTCTTCATTTATAGCATACATTTGCACATACTGTCCACGCTCATTCTCGCAAAGCAATGATTTGACAAAGCACTTGCGCTCGCATGTGGGTCAAAACATGTATCGATGCCATTGCGGTGAATCATTTCGGCTTCAAACTGAACTACGAAAACATTCTTACACTCATTACAATAAGGATGATAATCCAGAAACGCTCAAAACTGAACAACCGCAATAGCTAGCATAGCATAGATTTACTCTGTAGTCGCTTCTTTTGACAAAGTGTCAAATAAATATGTAAATAAACAATTGAGGTTATGTAGTTTTGTTTTGAAATTGTATACTGATTGCAGCATGAATTCGAGCGGAGCCTTTAAATTCGTTTCTTAAGAATGATTCGCAAAGTGGTTGTAGGAATTTCGGGTGGAGTTGACTCAGCGGTGGCGGGTTTTTTATTGAAGCAAAAAGGTAAGACATGGGAATTCAAAAGATACTAGAAAAATGTAGTAATATGCTAAAGAACAGTCCCCCTCTCTCTGTCTCTCTGTGTAGGATTTGATGTTTGTGGTGTTTTCTTAAAGAATTGGGATCTGGTTGATGAGACGGGATATTGTTCAGCCGAACAGGATTGGGAAGATGCACAATATGTTTGTGATAAATTACAAATCCCTATTCAACGCTTCGATTTCGTGAAGCAATACTGGACCGATGTTTTTGAGTAAGATTATTGCCATTCAATTGAATATTCAACGTAAAACTAAAATCTTTGGAATTGTTGCCGAACATAGGAACACTTTGAAAGAATACCAGAATGGTCAAACGCCAAATCCGGATGTTTATTGTAATAAATATATCAAATTCGGCGCATTTTATCGACATATCAAGGAAAATTTGGCAGCAGATGCAATAGCTACTGGACACTATGCTCGTACTTCGTTTGGACCATTTTTGGAAGATTTTCAACTGAATCAATGTACGTGAAACAAATGTGGAATTAGAATTGAAATATCAATTAATATTTCGCCAAATTTCTATTTCAGGTGTGAAGCTGCTTCAAGCTGTTGACCGACGAAAAGATCAAACGTTCTTTTTGTCGCAAATACCACAGGATGCCTTGCGCTACACCATGTTTCCAGTGGGTTCAATGATGAAATCGGAAGTAAAGAGACTGGCCCACAAAATCGGACTTGAGCAAATTGCACAAAAGCGTGAAAGTACTGGGATATGTTTTATTGGCAAGCGAAAATTCAGTGATTTCATAGCAGACTATGTGGATCCACAGCCGGGTGATTTTGTGAACATAGAAACTGGTGAAATTGTAGCAAAACATCAAGGCATCCACAACTATACAGTTGGTCAGAAGATTTTGCTGGGTGGACAAGAGGAGGCATTATTTACCGTTCGAAAGATGTGTGATAATAAAACAATTTTAGTGGCACCTGGTACAAATCATCCAAGATTGTTTTCGAATCTATTTTATACGGAAAAACCACATTGGATCGATAGATCGCCGTTCAATGGGAGTCGTGGTGTTATGAGGGCTGAATTTCGCTTTCAACACGGTCACAAATTAGTTGTGTGCGAATTTGTTGAGATCAATGGTCAAGGAGGTGGTCTTTTAGTCAAGTTAAACAATCCAGTTAGAGCCATTTGTCCTGGACAATTTGCGGTGTTTTACAAAGAAAATGAATGCCTTGGATCAGCAAAAATACGAGCAACTGGACCGTATGTTAGATATACTTCTAATGAACAGAGTAATCAAAGTGATTCTAGTGATGAAGACGTTGAAACAACATTACCAAAAAGAGTGAAAGAAGAGTTGGGGATGAAAAAAAAATACACAGAAAGAGACCGTGAAAAAGTTAACAAAGAAGAAAGAGCAAGCTGAAACACACACTAAAATCAATTTCACATTCTGACTCAAGTATAAAAAAACGATCATTAAATTTATATCAAAATCTTAATTAGTCTATTTATTTCGTATGCTTAACAGTAAATTTCTTGAAGCGATATTGGAAATATACAAGCCACAGGCTACTCGTTATTCGTAATTTGTTGTTGTTGTTGTTGTTGTTGTTACTAAAGTTAAATCAAAGTCTTCGTTTTTATTGTTTTTGTTGTTGTTACACTAAATCATTCAAATTGGTTGTCTTACAATACTAAATAAATAACGATGCGTGTGTGTGAGTGTGTGGTCATTCGAATCAATCATATTCGCAGTGAGCAGTTAGCTCATTAAAACGGTTAATCCATCCAAGAATTTTGTCAAATCGGATTGTTTGATCTGGGCAATTGAGGTTTCAAAGAAATCTAATGACACCGTTGCATTAGTATTCGTAGCCGCCTGTTCGAATGCTTTGCCAAAGAAATTTTTCGGTGAATCCTCAAAAACGGGTGGAATACCAATCATAAGATAGATTCCCATGTCTAAATCCACTGGACAGCACACAATTAAGGGTAGTTCGGATGCTTTTTTGCTTCGTGACACGGACACATAACTTTCGAGCAAAAATTTTGCCAAAATCGACAGACCGTGTGGACAGGAGAAGTATGGATTTTCTTCACCCAGGACAAAATATAAAAATGGGCCGGCTGAACGGACTTGATTGGCTTGCAGCGCAGTTTGTACAACTTTGAATACGGCACACAGAAATTGTTTGGCTTGTTCAATGCCTGCATCGAGTATTTGCTTGTTTTGACGTGATAAACTGTCGAGCGCTTCGAGGAAGCAATGTTCGGGTGATCGATCTTTTCGAATCGATTCGAGAATCGCAATCGTTGCATAAACAAAATCGGCCGCTGAGAATTTGCTGCGATAGCCATACTGTAGTGTAAACGAACCGTATACGATGTCGCCGATTTGATATTTCTCCGATAATTTTTCGATCATTTGATAGAATTCGTTGCGTAGCAACATATCCATTGAACTGTACTGTTGTTTTGCTTGAGCCAGCGGCAAACCCATCTCAACGAGCAATTCGTGAACACGTTTTTCACCGCGCAGAGTCCACAACTTCAGTTTGCATGCAGAATATTTGGAGTGGCGCAATGATTCGTACACACTCCAATGCCGGTACAATGCCAAATGCAAGTCCTTCTCGAAATGAATCTTGATCGCTGATTGCACCGATTGATCGCTGGCTTTGTTGGTCAGGCGTGATACATGCGATTGGATTTTGTCACTTTCCAACACGTACGAGCTGCTCTCGATCTTTTCCATCACCAATTGTTCAGTCAATCCGACGATCGCCCACCAAAGCAACTCCATCGAGTCTCTGCTCAATTTCCACGCCAATTCAAATAGGATGAGTGCCGAACTTCGGCCATAGTAGCTGTATTGTGTGTATTCAAACATGAGTTGATGGCGCTTCTCTTCCCACTGGCGCAATTCTCGTCGCTTCATTATTTGTCGCTCGACTCGATCCGCACGATTTGAAGTCTCGCCATTTTCTTTATCCGAATTGTTGTCGTCGTCATCGTTTTCCTCGTCTTCACTGTCGTCATCACGAAACAGGGCTTCAAATGCAGGAACACCTTCCTCACTATTCACCTCGCCGAATATTTTTATCTAAGCATCAATGAGTGTAAAAAGCATAGTTAGTAAAGTGAAGACTCTATCAAAATAATGAATGTGAGAAATGCCAACTTACCTGAGAATCGCTGTAAATATTACAAACGTCCATGGGTCGGTGTGAATCACATATAAAAAAAATAACATCTTCATCGGGTCGCAACAAATCAACAATATCCAAACAGACACCACAATTGATTAACAGCACATATTTAACGTCGTCTTTGTTTTCGGCATAGGCACGTTGCAATCCAGCAACACCCATAATTGGCACAATCGAGTACACCATGTGATCGTAGCGGAACAACGTTTGCAGAATTTTACTCGCACATATTGCGTCGATGTCATAGTTAACAATCACCAAAATTCGCTTGCCACGCAAAATGTTGTAAAAATCGTTTTTCAAATCCTGAATAAACATTTTCGTTTTTTATTGTTCCACAAATCACGAGTGAGATAAATTTATAGATACGAAAACCGTGTTTTTCGGCAGATTTTCTATCCTGTACGGTGAATGGAGAAATTCACGTTGTGCGTTTATTGCTTTAGCGAAAACATTGTGCAGAGAGTGTATTTGTTGTTATGTCGGTGGCAATATTCACAATTTTAGTCGATAAAATGTTGTTCAGGGGTTATAAAAAAATGCTTGATAGTCGATTTTTTATTTTGTTAAAAAGAAATATTTAAAAAAAAAATTGTCCGTCGTTTTTGTTTCGCATTCACACAATAAACATCTCTCTGTTCGTCGTCGTCTCTATTGTGTCGGTTGTCAAATTGAGGCGCGAAACCAACTGCCTTTTTTTTGTTTTCGCTGAAATGTCAAGCGGGCGAATTCGCCGTAAGCGAAAAAGCGAATTCACGTGAAATGACGATTCACGGCGAGCGAATTCGGAAATTTCGATACAAATGATGATACTTTTGAGTGTGAGAAATGATAAATTTCCAGTATAATAAATATAAAAAAAAATCGTTTACGAATTTTACCGTTATATTTCAATAATCATAAAAATGGAAGAAAAAGCAGCAGATTTTATTATTGGCCAAATGCAAAGATTCTCATATATCAAACCTTCTAATGATATCCTTAAACGGAGACCCGTTTACTCCATAACTTATAATGAAAATGCACTTTTTTCCAATTTTTTTTTCAGATTTATTTAGAAATATTCCTTTTTTAAGCCATTTAAAGCAGTAAAATTACAAAAAAAGACCGAATAGTGTGTGTCTCTTCTGTTGATCTCGCTGTTTAAGCGGTTACAATGACGGCTTGAGCGGCGGCTTTAATGGCAGCTCTTTGTTTTGTAACGATTTGGTTGGCGATGTGGTCAAGATGTCTTTGGCCTTGTGGGGTCAATACACGGCCACCATCTGGGTGCTTTTCAATCAATTTAACACCTTCCAAAGCTTGCAAGGCTTTACGTGCAGCTCCATCAGCTGAACGACAGAAATGTGATGGGTGAACACCGTTGCGTTTACGTCCACCGTAGATTTTGGTGATGGCACCAACACCGACTGAACGACGATGGTACAAGTGGCGCAAAATTGAAGCACAACGTGTGTAGAACCAGTCTGGGTCGGTTGGTGACAATTCCTTGAATTTTGCGGTCTTGATGATGTCCATTTGTTCTGGCACCTTCATTTTACCAGATCTAAACGATGACGGTTGAGAGGAAAAGAACACAAGAAATGGGAGTTAAAATTTCGTCATGTTATCATTTCTCTTCTCTTTTTTTTAAATGTGAAATCACCAGAAAAAATTAACTGAACGTATTGTGGTTTGTATCACAACAACAATGACAAATCACCACTGAATCACACACAGAATTCAATTGCAAAGTGTAAAAAAGAGTTAGGTTATGTTCGATGCTTACTTCTTCAAGAACTCGGCTACTGCCTTAACAACAGCAGCTTGGTCGACGTCTTTTACTGTTACACCTGGCATCTAAAGAGAAAATAATCCAAAAACACAAGAAATTAGCTAAATCCCATCGAATTGATCGAATGTAATTGATGAATTTGATCGTGGTAAACAATAATGCCACATGTGATGATAGGCATTGGACACTGTATGTGCAATGCGTTCTCATGTCACACACACACACGCTATTCACAAAAACTGAAAACCCAATTTTTTCCGTAAAATTTCACACATTTTCTTGTGTACTCGAACTGATTCCAATTCAACATATATAATTGCAATATTATTTACCACGAAAAAATAAATTAATAAATTTTTTCAGAGATTTTTTCAACAAATTTATCTCCGCAATGAAAAAGTCCGTACCTTTAATTTGACAAGAACCACCGGAAAGAGAAATACTGATGTATGAGCGTGAAGTTGTTGAGTTTAAAACGCCATTGCTTCGTTCGTATATGTGACAGATGTCACTTTTGTTGCTCAATCAGCTTTGCATTTAAGCCGTGTTCAGAGTTCTAATCGTGCAAACGTGATAATTTTTCAAACAAAAGTTGAAGAAAAAAAAACGAATACATAATTGAAATAAGTTGAGATCAAAAATGAATCGATAAAGAAATAAAACCGAAATCAAGCAAAATAAGACAAAAACCAAAAAACTCTTTCATTATTATGAAAATAATGGAAATTTCCCGTTTAATTGTAAATTTCACATTTTAACAATTTCAACTTAAATTTAAAATTTATTCATCGTCATCAATAAACTCTTCGACAAATGCCGCGGCTAATTCATCGACTAATGCCTTTTCACTCTTTTGAGTCTCATTTTCCAAAGCAATTGAACCAGAGGCGGTTGCCTTAGTATTGACATCAGTTTGATCGCCAGTTTCAACAATGGTTGGCAGCTTCTTAACGGCCGGTTCTTCTTCAGCTTTGAATGGTGTGGCATCCTGAGATGAGGTCGAACTGCGACGCAATGATCTTCGTCTGGGAACCGGTGATTCTGGTTTGGTTGTAACAGAAGTATCACTGTCTGCAGCGGCTGAATCAGGCCGTTTTGCCGAGAGTCGAGCCGATTTTCGTGGCGGTGACGTCAATGGCTTCTCCTCTGAACTCTCTTCAACAACGATTTTTATTGTTTCTTCCTGTTGAGTTTCAGTGTGTGTCGTTACCAGCTGTACAGGCTCTTCTCCACCTCCATTGCTCTTATCTTTTGCTTGTTCGGTGATGGAATCACTTTGTGCATCTATCACTTCCTTCATGAACGACTCATCCTTCGATATTTCTTCGGAACTTTGCGGTTTTGCCGATGCATCTTCGTTCATTTCAACATCTTCATTCTGAATAAGCAAAAAAAATGCATTAGTCCAATCAATATGTACATATACAACATTCAGTTCACATATTTATAAAAAAAATATTCATTGAATTTTCTTACCTCTTCATCGCTCGACTGCTCGTTATCATCGTCGTCACTGTCAGCTAAACCGCTTGCTCTGGTTCGCAGGTCTTCAGCATTCTTTTTGAATGCTTCGGCCACATCGTTCACATTGGTTGGGAAATAGAAGATTTCCTTCTGTGGATGCAATATTTTCTCTATGCCTCGCAAGTATTCGCTGCATTTGTCTCTTATTTCCGCTCTGACATCGTGAATTTGAGCAATTTTGAAGACTTCTGCGGCATACTGAATTGGTGGTGGGCAAAGATGATGCGGTGATTGAGTCAAGGCATACAATGTGCTAAAAAGTCCTGCCCGGCATCCATTGTCAAAGTAAAGATGCGACTTTTTCGGTGTGGCGTTGGCCACATTCAACGAAAGTACCACAATATTTTCTTGCAATATCTTTTGATGCAGTGGCTTGATGAAGCAGCCAGCCGCGTGTAGAACATCCACCAAACAAGCCAAAGCGGCTTCGCATAGTGGTTCATTGCCACTGTCCGTGTAAATAATTTTCGTATTGTGCGGATTGAACGATTTCGAATGAGTTTGAGCAATGTTCGAAGCATCGTTTTGAGCCTTGTGCAACTTTTGACGTGCTTTCTTCGACAAATATTTTCGACTACCTGCCAACACTTTCAAGGTGACCTCACTTTGGTACGGCGTAATGTCTTGGATGATGAATTTGATCAAATCCTCAGCGATGGTTTCCACCAAACTTCCATATTTGGCCGTTTTACACCACAGACTTAGGGTGCGATAAGCCGCTTGCCGTATTGAGCTAAAAAATGATGAGGAAAATCAATGAACAAACCATTTCAAAGGTGAGGAATGGAAATTCTTACATGTACGGCCGTTTGAAGCCTGATGCTTTACCGGACGATGTCCATTTCAACGATTGAACAATCAGTTGGCAAATGTGATTGGCAAATGGCAGCAAATTTGTACGCAATCTGAAATCAAGCAAAGAAAATGAGATCATTGACTCTCTCTCTCTCTCTCTCTCTCTCTCTCTCTCTCTTTTTGTTTTCTTTATCAACTCACAGCAGAATCAACGTATCCAGCAATCGAAACAAGGCACCATGAACCTGTGGCAAAATGGCTGCAATGGCAATGTTGTCGGTGATTGCATTTTTCGCTAATGTTGCACAATTGACCGCTAGACCACGGGCAATAATGGAAAACAATAAACCAGGCTGTACGGCTTTTGTCACTGGAAATGGCTCACTTCAAATGAAGAAAATGTTAAATTAATCATCAGAAATTGAATCCAAATCAGATGGGTTTTCTTCTTCTTACCACAGCGCAATCCGAAGGTAATCGGTTAAATTTTTAAATCTCGTCAGCAGTTGAGTGGCTCGTTGAATTGGTTCGGGGCTTAAATTCAATTCGACTGTTTTCAGCGCGGTGATTTCTTCATCAAAATTGAAACCATCATACGTTTCAGTGGCATTGGCAAAGAGTTGATTCAACACTGTGTGCAAACTGCCCAACAGTTGCGATTGTAAATTCGACCAAGCTCCTTTCACGCTTATACCTTGAACACAACCGCCGCCTCTGACTTGTTGCAATTGAAGCAAACACTTGCCACTCTGAATGACCAGCGCTTGATTTGTGCTGTCGATGAATGTGCCGAGGAATCGATCGATGTTTGCACGTGAAGCACCTGATGGCCCAGCATACAATTTCATGCATGTCTCTAAGCATTTTAGCGTGGCCAAATGGCATTCGGGAGGTAAGCCACTCACACTCTCAATGATTTTACTCAATAAATTGCTTGCGATGGCCTTTCCCAAATCAGGGATGTGAACCGATTTCACCAGAATATCACTGATCACCTCGTATCCCAAGCACACCGTTGCCGCTGGTTTCTTTTGAGCACAGATTTTCGTGCACAACGATAGCCACAGATTACCTTTCTGTTCGATTATGTCCAATTGACACTGCACTAGAAATGATCGCAACAGCAAAAGTCCTTCGTGCTTTTTGTCATGCGAGTTGAGGTTATTTGTTATCAAAGACACAACCAAATCCAGTTCATGGGCTGCCTATGAAAAAGAAAATGAATGTGTTGATACTTAAACGTTGTCTAGGGTGTTAAACGGCTGTGTATGTTTACCTTTTGACTAAACGTTTGATGGTGTTCAAAGGCATTTAGAAGCTGCACAAATTTTTTGTTCGGCAACGCTGCCGCGGTTGAAACAATATTCAATGTTTCATTCATCCTGCAATCGTATGAGAAAACACCGGAATTTCAACTACTCGAATAGATAACAGACAAATGTGAGCGCCACTACACGTGCTCTATGTATCAATAGAGAGCTGCTGTCACATGCAGGCTCACACACATAAAGGCTCATTCACATAACTGAGCTACTCTGGAATCATTTCGTTAACTGTCTGAATGTTTGTTTTTGAACTTATTTGAAACTCTCAATTCTTTTGAAACGTTTTTTTTCGCATGAATTTTCATATTTTTTTTATACTGCAAACAATATTGTTGCAAAAAATATGTTGGTTTAGCTTTGGAATTTGAAAGAAGATTTTGATTTAGTTTTATGGATGCTTTTCGTATTCTCAGTGGCTGTTTGTGATAGCTTCAATCTGATTTCGATTCAAAATAAAAATACTTTTATTGGTAATCAACGCCTATAAAAAAAGTCATGATTTTTTCCATAATCATATTCGAATTTCAATCGTAATAAATTCGATCTTTGCACATCTGACTCACCGAGGCCGATTTGTAGTGATACCGTTCTAATCAATCAACAAATCAATGGTTCATACGATGCTTAAGCAGTTACTCCAATTCGATCAATTGTAGAATAATTAACAATCAATTGGAATCATTTAAATGCAAATTTAACTCTTTTTTTTAATCTGGCTTTGTGAACTGATAACAAAATTTCAAATTGAGAGTAAGAATCGAGTTCGCCGATAAGCTATAGCACATAATAGATTAATCCCAATCGGAAAAATTAAGCGATTCGTTTGAGAATATGAATTCATCAGAATTATCTGTCTGTCAACGTCCTATAGCAATTCTAGTAATGGAAACAACGCAAAACCATAATACAACACGCACACAGCATAAGTATTCATCGTTTCCATCAGACGTTGCTAACAACAACAATAACAGATAACAACTGAGTGCCAAAATGTGTGTACAACGTTAATATTCAATTACTGCAAAAGAAACAAATAGTTTTGAGATCATATTGCTCTAACCACAGCAGTGGTATGAAATCGAAAAACAAAACGCATTTACAAATGAATAGATCAAATGAATATTGGTTAGGCATGGTTGTTTAATCGATTGAAATAGACAGTTGTGTAGATCTGAGCGACGAACAATGTTCATGGATATCAATGGAATGTGTCTTTGTGTGCGAAAAACCCAGCGATTATCATTCGTTCTTCGTATAAATAGATGTGCTTGACGAACCATTATCGTAGTTCAACCTTTAGGTTTGTATCGCAAACAGTGGGTGTGTGTGCTGTAAATTGAACGAAAATAAGAACAATTTTTGAACATGAGTTTTGATGGAAAAGTAGCGTTGATTACGGGTTAGCAAATATTCATTGTCTTTTGTGAAAACCGAACACTTTTTTTGACACTCAATTATTGTGCGAAACAATTGAAAAAATTGACTGGTTTGCATTTCAAAATTTGTGTTTTTTCATTATTGTCATTACCAGGTGCAAGTAGTGGAATTGGGGCTGATGCAGCTCGACATTTGGCAAAATTGGGTGCAAAAGTGTCGATTGTTGGTCGAAATGAGAAGCGCCTAAATCAAGTGGCTGAACAAATTAAAAGTGCCGGTTCACCAGCTCCGCTAGTAATTGTGGCCGATGTGACAAAAGACGCCCAACGAATTGTTGACGAAACAATCAAGCATTTTGGCAAATTAGATGTGCTTTTGAACAATGCGGGAGTCGTGATTCAAGACAATGTCGCCGAAATCAATTTGTCAGAATTTGATCGGATTTTCGATACAAATGTCAGAAGCGTCATCACTTTGACCAAACTATGTATTCCACATCTTGAGAAGGCAAAAGGGAATATTGTGAATGTGTCGTCCATTGCTGGCTTGAAAGCAATTCCAAATGTGTTGACCTACTGCATGTCTAAAGCCGCCTTGGACCAATTTACCAAATGTTCAGCGCTGGATTTGGCATCAAAAGGAATTCGCGGTAAGTGGAGACAAGGATTAAATGAAATGTAATATGTTTTAATCAACGGTTGTTTTCGATAGTCAATGCGATTAATCCGGCTGTCATTCGAACGCCAATTTTCCAAACTGTTGGCGTACCCGTGGAAGCAGTTGAACAAATGTTCGAAGAATACAAAACAAAATATCCTGTCGGCAGAGTTGGAGAAGTGGCGGACACAAGTGCAGCTATCGCGTTTTTGGCTGATAATAAAACGGCATCATTCTTGACTGGAATTCTATTCCCAGTAAGTTATTTTTGTCGCAGCAGGCTTATAAGAAGCCAAACATTTTTTTTATAATTATAGTCAATTTGGTGTAGTTTTTTGTTAATAATTCCTTTTTCCTTTCATTTTTAGGTCGACGGCGGATCCATGGTTGCTGGCGTATAATTTTACGGAAATCAGAGGAAATTGCAATGTTAATTTACACGATAATGTTTATGATTTGGAATATTTTTCCCTCCAATCAATGTTTTTCAGCAAACTTTTTTTGTCAACTAGATTGAATCAATGGATTTAATACAAAAAATGTTGAAATCAAAAAATTTGTGTTTTCTTTCAATTTTATTTATCTGATAACATCTGATAGCGTATGTCTTATCTATCTGAAATCAATTTATTTTTATCAATTGATTATCATTAAAAAATACTTTTTATCAAAAATAAGTCACTCAACATTAAACTTTTACCAAGCGATGTAAAAAAGTGAAAAGAAAACAATCATCGACATAACATTTCCAAGCAAGTTTGCGAGTTGAACAATCATATATGTGTTTCATAGATAGATTTACATAAACTGGAATGATGTAATGTTTTCACGTCGTTTGATTGAATTTATTATTTACATGATTTTTTGAGATGAAAAAAAAAATCTCTACTCTACATCAATATGGCAAAGTGGAATGATTCATCAAAATATCGGTGACTACAGAGAACAATAAGAATGTTTTTTTAAATAAATAAAAGAACTGGTTATGGTTGAATTGTACCAAACTAGAAGAGTGGTAGAAATGTGAGTTTTATCAATACTAAATATTTAAACACTATTGGACGCATACTATGATAAATAATATTATGATAGAATGTTAGATTTCAACCATTGTGTTAGATCATTTCAATGTGTCTCGTATTGTGGTGTGCGTAGTGCTGTAAGTGGATTTTAACATATGTTTATCGGGTAAAGTTGTTTTGATTTCGGTGCTACACATTTTTGGCTGGTATCTTACTCATGGTGGATGGCAGTTCAATGCTTCTAGGGTTATAATAATTTTAGTCATTAAATTAAAAGATTGTCCATATGTTTGCGTTGCTTTTGAAGTCACCATGCATACTCAAGTCATAAAATGACAAATGAAGTACTTTTGCGAATTGATTGTCGCTTTTACTTATTTTATTAGAAGGAAATACGTGATCGTCAAACTTCTAATCAATGATAAATTGATCGATTTCGAGAAAATTCTATCCGTCACGAATCACGACCACGATGACAAACACTCCTAATTTCACTCCCACGTTACGTTTTTTTTTATTTCGTGCAGAAAATATCAACCATGACACATGATTTTTTTTTCATAAGTTAAAATCATTTCAAATATCATCAGCATGATTAGCGACTTCGAAAGCATGACTATGCACATTTTTTGTGATTTAAGCACTCCCCATCTGATGTAAACAAAATATGTGTACACATTATCAGTCAAATCACAACGACGTCGGTATATATTTGAATCGACGAGCTGTTGAAGTGTGCGATAGTCCAATTTCTGTGTTTGTAAACACCAACTCTATCTCATATGTTGATGAGTGCTAGCGCTTTTTTGTGTCGTAGTATATTGTAAAATGACATCATTTCAATTTGGAATGTGTTCCATACTGCTAATGGATAGATAGCATCGCTGTACCGATTGTATAAATAAATGTGCTTATCACAACCTTTACAGTTGAGTTATTACCAGTAGTGGGCACGATAAAGACAAACTGAAAAATGAGTTTCACTGGGAAAGTTGTGATTGTAACTGGTGCAAGTTCCGGAATCGGTGAAGATGCTGCACGCCATTTGTCAAAATTGGGTGCAAAGGTATCAATTGTGGGAAGAAATGCGGAGCGACTCAATAAAGTTGCTGATGAAATTAAAAAATCAGGTGCAGCAGCTCCGCTAGTGATTGTGGCCGATGTAACAAAAGACGCCGAACGAATTGTCAACGAGACGATCAAGAAGTTTGGCCAATTGGATGTGCTTGTGAACAATGCGGGCTATGGAAAACCAGATAATGTGGCTGAAGCCGACTTATCCCAATTTGATAGTATTTTTGATACAAACATAAGATCCGTCATCACACTAACCAAACTTTGTGTTCCACATTTGGAAAAAACAAAAGGTAAAATAACATACATCATATCTATTCGTGAGACGTAAAAGAATGTATGTTTTTTTGTCGATTTATATTTTTGAAAAGGAAAGTATGTTTTCTGTTGATTCTATTAGATGAAAAACCTCTAGACGAGGTTAAAATGGAGTGACGCTCCTGTGCGTGGATTTACCACTCAAAATGACTGATATCATTTTGAGTGACGCTTTGACGCTGTATTATCTCTGGATACGAAGTTCAGAAGTGTTTTTCGCATTGACTATTGTACAAATTTATTTACAATAAGGAAAAATATCGCGTCACGACTTTTACACGGCAAAATGCTTAAAAGCTTCAAAGGGATATTGCAACTTTTTTGACCAGAAAAAACGCCATCTTACGTCGTGCCCGTAAATTATTTTACTGTACATTTCGATGGTAGAGCTTGAACAAAAGTTCGACACTATGCATAAACTTGGAAAGAGCTTGATAAACTTGATGAAATACATATATTTTATGGTAGTTGCAATACCCCTATGAAAAGCTTTGAAACAAAATTCAAAAGTCTTTCTCATATTGGTTATCGTAAAAAAACAAAATGCACCGAAGCAAATATTCCAATTGTTCTGGGGTTACTGCGCCAACTATTTTTGCATATTCATCAAAGGCTATTCGAACTTCCTTTTTACAGCGCACACGCACCAAGAAACTTCGAATGTGTGATTGGATTGTTATTTCTCCAGTATGCTGCTTTCGTACTTCAGCCCGTTTCAGTCGTTCCAGCTGAGCACGACGGATCAGAATTTCTCTATCATTGGTATTTGACACACCACCCAAATTTTGTGACGGTGTTCGCTTATAATTGCCTTCAAAACAAAACATTTCTCAATGCTAATCGACTGGTATCACTGGTTGATCTGGCGACTATCACCTGTGCATCAAAATAAACCATCAATATTTTCAAATTGATCAATTCAAAACGACAAATTTACCTAATTATAATCCAATTAGTATGTATGGTAAATTCTAATCACTAAACTGCAAAACCAAAATCATTCACAATTTACATTTACACGTAATTATCGAATAAAATTATAGCATCAGGCAGCATTATTTGTCTGTCAATTAATCTATTTGATTCGTTTGTTGTTCGAATCGCCGTGATCGCGTTATTGTTATTTGATTGGTATCAATACAATTTTTTAGTTCTTTAAGTAGCTGTATCAATGAAACGTTGAAAAGCAACGAATTTAATTCCACCTTTCGCTACAATCAATCACAAATTTTTTCAATGTCCATTGTATGTGACAAAATTTAAACAAAAAGGATAATTAAATGAAAGTGACTAAACAACATTTTTCTTCCTATGTTACGAACTACGGTGCTGTCAAATTAAATTTTTTTTTTTTTTTAAATCATCATTGAATCGTTCGATGACATAAAACGTCAGAAGGTACGCTAACTAATATTCAAGCAAAATTGTATCTGTTTACATTTTGAGCGGAGCCAACTTCATGCGGTTCGTATTGCATGACTTTTGTTTTGTGTCAAAATGAACAAATACATTCACACGGAATTTCTCGCAAGAAATTGTTGAACAACACAAAATCATTGAATAGTTTCTGGAAAAATGGATGTGATAGACTATGAAATTGAAGAGATAAACAAAATTGTGGAACGAGTGATATGCAGTTCAAAATTAATTGCATGTATAAGAAGTCTGGTAAGATGGACTTGAATTGATTTCAATATATTCAAAAATATGAATGAAAGAAAAAAAAGTGTGCTCGCATTCAATCGGAAATAAAATAGCCATACAAACCCCATTTAAGTGCGTTAATTCGGGAATTTTGTGAATAATTTCATCTTTATTACAGATTCGTATTAATATTAAACAAACCGAATCTCGACAAATTACTGTGTGCATTCGGTTTCCGTCCAATTATCCCAGCGAGCATCTCTTGGTTGAACTGAAGAGTCCTACCATAAGTGGAAAAATACTCGATGGTTTGACAACATTGGCTGAGCAAAAAGCTAGCGAATTTCTTGGAAAACCACAGGTTTGGCTTTGACGTTTTCGTTGTGTGACCATTCTTGTTTCAAATTATTGCGATTTATGTCATTTAATGTGACATTTTTTTTTTCTTTGCAGACACTACATACGTTGAAATTCATTGATAATTATCTTCAAGAGAATCCACTTTGTATAGCTTATGATGAGATTTTTGCAGTCAAGCAATTGTTGAGACGAAAAAATGACCTCGGCTCATGTGGCGGCGAGTTAAAGTGTCTGCAAAAAACGTCGAATGTGTCGTTAGTTGTAAACGAAAGCGATTACTTCTTTAAAGCCAAATACCATGTGCCCGAAGAATATCCAACGAAATGTATTGAATTTCTTGAGCATAAGAGTAACTTTCCCGATGCGTTGTTGCGATTTTTGAATGGCCAAGCGAAAGAAATTGCACGAAAATGTGTCGAACCACCACTTCGTGCAAATATCAAAAGTGATTTTGTAGTTAAACCAAGCCTTTTACCATCGCTTCGATTTCTTATTGAAGCCATATCAGATTTTACCAGCGAATTATGTCCGGTGTGTAATTTCAAATGTTTACCGGCCAAGGCAGCCGATGTAGAATTACGTGACACCGCTGATCTTTATGCGGAACGCGTCTATTGCGGTCATATTTATCATTTGGGCTGTTTGAAAAAATATATGCGAGAGCCGCCATTTCCTTTGGGTGGAAAGACATGTCCTGCCAAAAAACCTCATCCCCGTTCTGATAGCAATAAAGGTATTTTTTTCTAGTATTTTTTAGTTTAACTATTGATCAATCAAATTACTTGAATTTGTTGATCCTATCCACTATCTAAATATCTGATTTTAATTTGATTCATTTTCTTCATAAAGGGACAAAAGACTCGAATGGAACACAGCCAATCAAAAATCGAAAGCCAAACCAACTGACCGACGAAAATATTTGCGGTCTTCGAATTTCGCATGACCGATGGGCACTAAATGTTAAACTGGCCGAAGCACGATGGGCGCAACAACAAGCTAGAGAACGTGAACTTGAAGAAGTTAAGGACTTTTTGCAATAATAAATCATTTCAAGATTAATTTTGCAAGAATTTTGAGAACTACAGAATAACTTAAAAAAAGACAAATAAACAATAATAAAAGCAGCAAAGTTGTTTTCATGTCATAGTTGGTTTTTTTCCTCACGGTGGATGGCAGTTCAATGCTTTTAGGGTTATAATAATTTTAGTCATTAAATTAAAAGATTGTCCATATGTTTGCGTTGCTTTTGAAGTTACCATGCATACTCAAGTCATAAAATGACAAATGAAGTACTTTTGCAAATTGATTGTCGTTTTAACTTATTTTATTAGAAGGAAATACGTGATCGTCAAACTTCTAATCAATGATAAATTGATCGATTTCGAGAAAATTCTATCTGTCACGAATCACGACCACGACCACGACGACAAACACTCCTAATTTCACTCCCACGTTACGTTTTTTTTTTTTATTTTGTGCACACATGATTTTTTTTCATAAGTTAAAATCATTTCAAATATCATCAGCATGATTAGCGACTTCGAAAGCATGACTATGTACATTTTTTATGATTTAAGCACTCCCCATCTGATGTAAACAAAATATGTGTACACATTATCAGTCAAATCACAACGACGTCGGTATATATTTGAATCGACGAGCTATTGAAGTGTGCGATAGTCCAATTTCTGTGTTTGTAAACACCAACTCTATCTCATACGTTAATGAGTGCTAGCGCTTTTTTGTGTCGTAGTATATTGTAAAATGACATCATTTCAATTTGGAATGTGTTCCATCCCAAGAGAAACGGCCAATATGTTTATACGCTGTCTATCCGCCGAAAATGCACTACAATATATATTCACGCTTATTGAACGCCGAATCGAATATATATTCTAGTGTATAATCGGCGTATTCTTCGGCGTGAAACATATTGAAACATATTCAGGCGCCCTCTGGTGGCCATCAATGCATTCGTTGATTCAATATGTTTCACGCTGAAGAATACACCGAATATACACTAGAATATATATTCAATTCGGCGTCCAATAAGCGTGAATATATATTTTAGTGTATTTTCGGTGGTTAGACAGCGTATAAACATATTGACCGTTTCTCTTGGGATACTGCTAATAGATAGATAGCACCGCTGTACCGATTGTATAAATGAATATGCTTATCACACAATAGCTTTAGTTTAACCTTTACAGTTGAGTTATTACCAGTAGTGGGCACGATGAAGACAAACTGAAAAATGAGTTTCACTGGGAAAGTTGTGATTGTAACTGGTGCAAGTTCCGGAATCGGTGAAGATGCTGCACGCCATTTGTCAAAATTGGGTGCAAAGGTATCAATTGTGGGAAGAAATGCGGAGCGACTCAATAAAGTTGCTGATGAAATTAAAAAATCAGGTGCAGCAGCTCCGCTAGTGATTGTGGCCGATGTAACAAAAGACGCCGAACGAATTGTCAACGAGACGATCAAGAAGTTTGGCCAATTGGATGTGCTTGTGAACAATGCGGGCTATGGAAAACCAGATAATGTGGCTGAAGCCGACTTATCCTAATTTGATAGTATTTTTGATACAAACAGAAGATCCGTCATCACACTAACCAAACTTTGTGTTCCACATTTGGAAAAAACAAAAGGTAAAATAACATACATCATATATGAGGCTGTGAAAATGAAAATGGCAATACAGGAATGAAAATTCTGAAGCGTATCAAGAAAAAAAAAATCGCAAAAGTGAATCATGAGTTCTGAATACGCAAAAGTGAACCATGAACAAGGGGATGGACACCAATGCTAATATTCTATTTTCGTGGTAATTTCGCTAATTTTTTTCTAGTTTACTATTTTCCATAAGAAACACACTGTCTAGTGCATTTTAAATAGAGATTTGTACCTCCATAAGGAATGTATTGAAACAATGTAAATCAAATGGCAATTTTATTTTTGGTGATTTTTGAGTGTTTGTAAACAAATTCTACATCTAAAATACATTGTTCCTATGTAATTCTTATGCGAGAGCGTTGCCCATAAGGAATACACAGCACTGTATATTACTTATGGAAGAGCGCCGCTCAACATCGTCTAACACTAAGCGCCAACAGTTCCCCATTGGAATTTCCATAAGAAAGCGCGCTCTCTACGGCAAATTTCGCCATTTTTCAACAAAAAGTGTGCAGTGCTATACGCTGTTGGCGCCGCTGTAGATTAACGGTACTGTGTGCATATGAAGTGTACGGCGCTGTGTATCTCTTATGAGAAACGCTCTCGCATAAGAATTACATAGGAACAATGTATTTTGGATGTAGAATTTGTTTACAAATATTAAAAAATCAGCAAAAATAAAATTGCCATTTGATTTACATTGTTTCAATACATTCCTTATGGAGGTAAAAATCTCCATTTGAAATGCATTGAACCAATATATTTCAAATGGGCAGCTGTATTTCCTCTAATATTTCATATTTTTTTGCTAATTTTACTAATATTTCACTAGTTTTCTAATAGTGTCCATCCCTTTGACCATGAACCTCCTATGCTGCCCATATAAATTCATGTTTCACTTTTGCATATTCAGAACTCATGATTCATTTTTGCGATTTTTTTTTTCTTGATGCGTTTCAGAATGTTTATTCCTATATTGCCATTTTCATTCTCACAGCCTCATATAGTCTATGACAACTATGAATATTCCTTTTTTGCATTTCCATCAGGCAATGTGGTGAACATTTCGAGTGTTTGTGGCCTGAAAGCATTTCCAAATTTCATGAGTTACTGCATGAGCAAAGCCGCCTTGGATCAATTTACGAAATGTTCAGCTTTGGATTTGGCACCGAAGGGAATACGAGGTATGTACAGCAAGGTTTAGATAAAAATGTGATATGTTTTAATCGGTGATCATTCTGACAGTCAACGGTGTTAATCCGGCTGCAATTCGAACTGCTTTCCTCCAATCATATGGCCTAGCTACTGATGAAGCCAATAAATTTTATGGTCAAGTCGAAAATATGTATCCCGTTGGCAGAGTTGGAGAAGTGGCAGACACCAGTGCAGCGATTGCATTCTTGGCCGATGATAAATCGGCATCATTCTTGACTGAAATTCTACTCCCGGTAAGTTATTACTGCTACAATCGGCTCATAGAAGAGACAACTTTTTATAATTACAGCTACTTTGGTGTACTTTTTTCATATTATTCATTCCTTATTTCAAATCATTTGTAGGTCGACGGCGGATCTTTGACTTCAGGCCTAATTCCGGATAAAAGAATTAATTGAACAATATGTAAATTTTAGGTTTTGATGTGAAAGATAAATCTGTAAATAAGATCAGAACAGTGGTTTGAAATTGTATTTTCATTCGTTGGAAAATAAATGGGGAAATATACCTAATGAATGCACTGCAAATTATTTAACCGCTTTAGATTTATCAATTCGAGAACATTCTTTTCGATAATTTAATAGTTTACACCACAGTTTGAAGTTATTCAAATTATAATGTAGACGGATCTTGAAAATCTCTTGATTTCATTGCCATTATGTGAAACCAAAAATTTTGTCAATTCCGGACATTTCAATACAATTCTGCATGGATATAATTGACTTTATAATCGCATGACTAATTTTAGATTACTGTATATATTTGCGCAGATCAGTATGATCGGCAGGTTCAGAAATATGACGAAGCATATTATCATGTATTTCATCACTGTGATCAATTATTGTTTTAACCGCGCGATTCGGTTCAGAATATATTCGTATACGAGATAAAATTGTCGATGAAAATTTATTTGACTTTGACCTTGTGTTGGACAAAAACGTACACTTTATAATACCTTCAACTAAGTGTTGCTTTCCACACCTTGCAGCAATAAAGAGGAACGTTGTGAATGTGTCGTCCGTTGTTGTCATACGATCGTTTACAAATCTCATTTGCATGGGCAAAGTTGCTATGGATCGTATGACGAAATTTTTGACACTTTATGTAGCTCCAAAATACGTTCCAATACGATGAAGCAAACTCAGAATCAAAGTCAGCATGACCAAGCGTTTTACCTCACTAAAACATAAAAATCCTTTGTTGTGGTGTTGATGATTGATAGAATGTTTTGGCTATAATTGTCGCTGTGAAAGGTAATTCTTGTAAAATTGGAGTTTTGTTGATCTTGTAGATAACTTTCAAATGATAAGATAAAATAAATGAAATACAATGGCATGCGACGTAAGTGGTTTTCAATTCTTTTATTCGAGAAACATTAAATGACATTTTTTGACCATGAAAATCTAAATTTCCCCAAATCCAATCATCAATTGATAACCAGATACACAGTGATTGTGGACTCAGAAATACTCTTTGGATTTTTCTATAAAACATCTTCTTCACTGTTGATTACTGTCAATTGTTTGCCAATTTTATTTTATCAAATTGCTACCATTGAAATCGAAGTTTTAAATACAATCTATTGATTGTGATTGATTTTTAGTTTTCAGTTGGCTTATAGCCAACTCCAGCCACCATAGCACCTCCATCGACAGGTAAATTTATACCAGTGAAAAATGATGCAATTTCATTATCAGCCAAAAACGCAATCGCTGCACTAGTGTCTGTCACCTTGCCCACACGACCAACGGGATACGTGCTTTTGACCTGTTCAAATAGTTTCTCAACCATTTCATCGGTCATACCAACTTTTTGGAATATTGGTGTTTGAATGACAGCTGGGTTCACAGCATTAACTGACAAAAAAAAAACGCCGATCAGAACATATATCATTTTTTAAGCCTTGCCTATACTTACCTCGTATTCCTTTCGATGCCAAATCAAGCGCGCAACATCTTGTCAATTGATCAAGAGCTGCTTTGCTTATACTATATGCAGTTAGAGTGGGAATTGGCTTTAATCCGGCAATGCTAGACACATTCACAATGTTGCCTTTCGTTTTTTCCAAATGTGGTAAACACAGTTGCGTCAAAGTGATAACACTGCGGACATTCGTGTCGAATACACGATCAAAATCAGCGCAATTCATATCGCAAATGGTGTTGTGCACCGAAATTCCCGCATTATTCAGCAACACATCCAATCGACCAAATTGCTTGATCGTTTCGTCGACAATCCGTTCGCCGTCCTTTGTTACATCGGCAACAATTTGCAATGGACTTGAAGAACCAGAATTTTTAATTTGTTCCGCCACTTCGGCGAGACCTTTTTCGTTTCTACCAACAATTGCAACTTTCGCACCCAATTTTGCGAGGTGAATAGCAGCACCAGCGCCAATTCCGCTACTTCCTCCGGTAACGATCACAACTTTTCCTTCGAAACCCATTTTTTTGTTCAACTCACAAGTAACTGCTGCTAACTACCAGAGCTAAGGCAAAGACTAAACTGTTGACTTGATCATTGGAATTTATACAATCTTATACTATTGCTCATGGAGAATAATCATGGATTATTATCATATTAATACGACATTCAAATTTCTATCTTTATTCATACGTATATATTCTGTGCATTGATGTGGTAAGCAAATATATATATTTTCAACAATGCGCAGGAAGATGACAATCATCACATAATTCCGCTAATGAGCACGCAGAAAATGTATACAAAAGCATGAATGTATAAATAAAGCCAAAAATTGATAGAAGCACTCAGTTCAATACCCAGTTCAAAATAAACATTTTTCTTTCAACAAAAGAATGAACGAAAATGAAGCGTATGAAATTTTTCAGAACAGACCGCTTGTTTTTTTTTATTCATTTATTCGTAACATTGTAACATGTAAAACAATTTTTAGTCAAAATTGTTGACGTAAGATTTATCAGTCGATTCATGTATTATAATTAAAGCATGTTCTGTCTCTTGGTCAGAAATTATTCCATATCATGCAAACTACGTAGTTAACGTTCAATTAACTCGATTTCAAATGACTTGCAACAATGGACAACTGTAGTGCACTTGTTTGGTTGAAAAGCTAATTATTTGATAACGACTATGTGATAGTTCGATAAAAAGAAATGATAACGCGTTCGATTTCCTACTTGCTCCATATAAATGGATGTACTTATCATATGGCAATTTAAGTTCTCCTTTCAAAGTCAAAGTGATAACAATTCAACGCTTTCAAATCGGGCAAATTAATCATGAGTTTCACTGGAAAAGTCGTAATTGTAACAGGTGCAAGTAGTGGAATTGGAGCTGATGCAGCTCGACATTTGGCAAAATTGGGTGCAAAAGTGTCGATTGTTGGTCGAAATGAGAAGCGCCTAAATCAAGTGGCTGAACAAATTAAAAGTGCCGGTTCGCCAGCTCCGCTAGCAATTGTGGCCGATGTGACCAAAGACGCCCAACGAATTGTTGACAAAACAATCAAGCACTTTGGCAAATTAGATGTGCTTTTGAACAATGCGGGCATTGTGATTCAAGACAATGTCACCGAAATCAATTTGTCAGAATTTGATCGGATTTTCGATACAAATGTCAGAAGTGTTATCACTTTGACCAAACTATCCGTTCCATACCTTGAGAAAACGAAGGGAAATATTGTGAATGTATCGTCCGTTGCTGGCTTGAAAGCAATTCCAAATATCATGACATATTGCATGAGCAAAGCCGCATTGGACCAATTTACCAAATGTTCAGCGTTGGATTTGGCACCAAAAGGTAATTTGCTCGTAAATAAATAATAGAAGAAATCTCGTCAATAACAAAATCACTGTAATTCATGTAATTAATCGTTTTGATCTCATAATTTCCCATCGTTTAATCCATAGGTATAAGAGTGAATTCAATAAATCCTGCAGCCGTTAGGACTCCAATATTCGAAACGTTTGGAGTAAACGAAGAACAAGCCGAAAAAATGCTGGAAGAGTACAAAAAACGATATCCTCTCGGTCGGGTGGGTGAAGTTCATGACACGAGTGCTGCTATTGCTTACTTGGCGGATGATGAAGTATCATCATTTCTTACAGGAATTTTGCTTCCGGTTGATGGTGGTTCGATCGTAGCTGGAGTATGAATTTGAACTAAAGATTCAACAGATTATGACAACAATTCCTTTTGCATTCATTAAAAATCAAACAAAACAAATCGAGTAAATGTGTTTATTTTTTTCATTCATTTTATTGGGGTTTTATTGACTGTTTGATTTGGTAACAGAACATTTTCAGAAATGCTATTCATTCAATAGTAATGTATGTAATAGTAATGCACGATGAACGATGAACGATGAACGATGAACAATGAAGATCGTCCAATTCTTAACTATTTGATCCAAAACCTGCAAATGAAAATTCGAAACATACATCAATCAAAATAACAAGGTTTCAATGTAAAAATCCAAATCAACACAATTTGTAACTATACACTTACTTTATCACTCATTTTACTAACATCAAAGACATGCAAATTCGGTGTGTTGCATTTTGGGCAATCGCGGTAAGTATCAATGCCTAATTTAAGCTGCAGTTATTATCTTTTTCTGCAGTTGTGATTTGAAAAATGCAGTTGTGAATATCAGAAAATGCAGTTGTGATTATTCACTGAAATATCAATTTTCAGTAACAGCACCAACAAATTTAAACAACATTTATTCAGAATATTTATTCAAACATTTCATGCATATTCAATGCACATAAATATAAGCACAATAAAAATGAGTATGGTGAGTCAGTGTACAATCGCCGAAGAAACAATCGCTGTTAATGATTAAATGATGAAATATACATGAAAATGTCAGGCGATACTTTTTTGGCGATCGTACAATGTATTCGTTTTCGTTTTGTTTACATAATTTGGGTGCGGGCGATTCTGGTAATATGTTTATATTTCAAATGCGGTTAATAATTTTCGATAACTAAGAAACGCTTGTTTATTGTTTGCCTTCTAAGCGGTTCCTTGATATTCGATGCGATAGATAAAAGAAAATTTTCTGCCGCTAAGAAAAAATGCAGTTATGATTTTTCCTTAAATTAGGCATTGGTAAGTATCAAATGTGGACATGCATATGACCACGTCAACAAGCATGGAAATTTCCCGTGGATGGGACGCGATTCTGTAAGCAAACATTAGGAAACACGTCAGATAAACAAATACTTTTTAATCCACCTCTTTGGAATTTGCCAAACTTTCACATTGTCGATAGTTTTAAAATCAAATAATAAACTTGCACAACTTCATTCACACTATGTTATATTACTCCCATCAATGACGGGAAGATTTTTCGTACCACATCTTGGGCAATTGCGGTAGGTGCGTGCTTCCTTGTTGAGATGTCCGTATGGTTTTCCACATTTTTTACACTCGTACCAAGCATTCCAAATGTCGTTGCTTTCCATTTTGAACAAACTGAACGAACGTAGTCGATGTAGTGTTTCGAAAATGCAAGTTTACCGGTTGAAACTCAAACGTGGAATGAAATACTAACAGAATATTGAAGCGGTCGAAGGAATTTGATATTGGCCAGACAAAATATAATTGATGACCAGACACATTATTTTGTCTGCCTGAAATCGAAATCATATCACTGTTTTTTATGTAAATAAACAAATCGATGTTTTCTGTTTATACGTGATTGTTTCGATTTTTTCGCACTGGAATGCAGATTCGATGGCTATGTGACAAAATGAGCTGTGCGCCTGCGCATCAGTTTCAGTTTATACTGCATTCAAATTGCTTATTTTGATAAAACTCAATAAATAATAAAGATAAATTATTTATCATAACATGAACTGAGTCATTTTATTCGGTATTTTCGTAATTCCGTCGAACGTAAAATTTATCACACAATTAATGTGATTATTGTCCCATGGCTATTTCACTGTCGACACATGACGGCTGCAGTAAATTATTCATATTTATTTTCGTAGAAACAAAGTCATTCAATTATCGTGTTCATGCTATGAGTAAGTGTCCAGTAGTATATTTCGTAATCACGTTTAGCATATTGATATGCAACGATAAAATTATAGCATCGTTCAAGCTAACTTAAGACGTTTCTCTAGCTTCATATACAATGAATGAGTCAGTCGCCTTTTTACAGTTGAACCCACCAGACATTAAACAATTTTAGCTTTTAAGCTGCTCAACATTTTCCATTCGCAGAATGAGTTTCGAAGGAAAAGTGGTTCTGATTACGGGTTAGCAAATATTCATTGTCTTTTGTGAAAATACAACACTTTTTTGGCAGTCACTTATTGTGCGTAACAATTGGCAAAAGTGACTGATTTATATTTCAAAATTGTTGTTTTTTTTGTTGTCACAGGTGCTAGTAGTGGAATAGGCGCCGATGCAGCTCGACATCTGGCAAAATTAGGTGCACAAGTATCGATTGTTGGTAGAAATAAAGAAAGACTAAGCCAAGTAGCGGATGAGATTGAGGAATCTGGTGCAATAGCTCCTTTAGCAATTGCTGAAGACGTAACAAAAAACGCCCAACAAATAGTTGACGAAACAATCGAACACTTTGGGCAGTTAAATGTGCTTGTCAACATCGCTGGAATTGCTGTGATGGACGATACTTATACGCTTAAGACGGCAGAATTAAACCGAATTTTCGATACAAATGTTACTAGCGTTATCACCATGACGCAATTGTGTGTGCCGCATCTGGAGAAAACCAAAGGCAATATTGTGAATGTGTCCAGTATTTGTGGTTCTAAATCGATTCCCAACTTTACGAGCTTTTGTATGTCAAAGGCAGCACTCGACTCGTTTACGAAGTCTGCAGCTTTGGATTTATCATCAAAGGGTATACGAGGTAAGTGGAGGCAACGCTTGAACTAAAATATAATTTGTCCTAATTAGCGATTGTTTTCGACAGTCAACAGTGTTAATCCAGCTATGATCCGAACATCAATCCTAGAAACAATGGACTATACCGCAGAGCAAGCCAAACACCTATACGATGAAGAAGGAAAACGATATCTGATTGGGCGTGTTGGTGAAGTGGCGGACACCAGTGCAGCGATCGCATTTTTGGCTGATGACAACACAGCATCCTTTCTCACTGGTGTTCTATTGCCAGTAAGTAATTTTTTCCACAGCTAGCGTATAGATGTGAAACGCTTTTATATTTATATTTTTTAAAAACTTCTTTTCATCGGTTTTCATTGATAGGTTGATGGCGGAATTTCGACTGGTCTGTTACATAAATATTAAAACATTGTACTCCAATTATCTTTCTTTTCAAGCAAGCCTACGCAATATATGATGTGTATGTCGTGACGAAATTATCGTCATTTTTTCGTGGATATAAACCAAAATATACTTGTTTATCAGCAATGCTCGCATTTTTGTCGATAAGTGATTTTTGTTCCAAGGGCTCAGTTAAAAAAAGTCAGGCCGCGCTAGCGTCCTATCTAAATACATTATAATGAATAAGTACAAACTAATACATATGCATTCCTACTATGAATACGTTTCATGCTATGTGTTTTAATTTCATTTAATTTTGGAAATTGAAAAAAAAATATTTCTCGACAATACATATTTTAAAACATCATTGCAATAAAAAAAAACTTCCAAGTAAAAATGAATATATTGATATTGAGTAAGAAAATTCGGTGAAATCGGTGAAATACTTGAATCAAACATAAACGTTTGAAAAACGTACGACGCGCGCCAAAGCATAAGTGATGTCAAAGTGTGTACAAAGAGTGAAGCAATAGTGCGTTTAATGCTATGTGCTATAGTGTCTCTGTTGATGTTGATCGCTGACGTTCAAAGTGGTAGAAAAAAGTAGATCTATGCATAGATTATGAACATGTTCATAACCATGTTCTATTTCTTCTTCTTTTTTTTTTTGCTCGACTGACGTAAAGCCTTTACTTTATTGTTCAATAGATTTCAGTTCGTGTTTTGAGTTTGTAAACAACTGGTCATAACAAAGAAAAAAACAGTTGAGAGAAGCATAACAATGAATTTCGACGGAAATGCGGCGTTGATTACGGGTATTAGCATGTTCATTGACTTTTGCAAAAATTGTTTAAAATACTTTTGGCTCTTATTTGTTATACGTGTTCTTATTATTAATAAGGATTAAACGAAGCAATAAACAATTATTTTCTGTACAATGTGCATGTTGTGCTACAATTTGCGATATTTTTATTACTAGGTGCAAGCTGGTATAGGTACAGATGCGACTAACTCCACTAGCAATTGTAGCTGACGTAACAAAGTACGATGAACAAATTGTCGATGAAAAAATAAAGCATTTTGGAAAATTGAACGTGCTAAGCACGTCGTACTTGTTAACAATGCAATGATACAAATCAATTGATATCCCAATAAAATGTTTTCGGTCGTGTGGGAGAATGTTATTATATAGGTGTACCGATCGCACTTTCAGAGACTAGTGCTCTTTAATAATTATTGCAATTAGCAACCGTAGATGACTTTTTTATTAGCTATAACTAAATAAAAAAAAACTGTTCACTTTTATTTTATTTGCAAAACTTGAAATTGAATGAAATTCGTTTGCATTTTGTGAAAATGTAGCCTTACTCTAATTGGTTTTATAAAAAAAAACTTCGCGCAATACGTGTTTCATTCTGTCGCCTATAATTATTTCCATACAGCATGAGACTTTGTTGCATTTTCATTGTTTGTAATTCTTTTAATACACCGGCAAACATATCCATCAAATTTTTGACGTAACGGTGACCGTGCAAATCAATTTTATCTGGAAATACCATATAGCTTCACCTTCATATTTGATTAAGAGCCGACAATATTCTTACCAATATAAATTCCATTATCATTGAATCGTTCAAATGTATAGTTCTATACTTATTGAGCAGTCAGAGTCATAAGATATAAACGTCAAATGTATAGTTATTATCATTGCATGGTCAATACGTATATTCAAATGCTTTTCGAAATATGTAAACTCATCAAAGTAAACATGTTGTTAACCACTCGACGAATAGAATGCCTGAATATATTTTTGCACTATTAATTGATGGTCGCCTTGGTATAAATGCAAGTGCGACGAGCACCAAGAGTCTCAGTCTGATATTTAACTTAAAACAATCAACAGCGATTAGTTATAAAGTTGGTGTTTACGGTCAAAATGAGTTTCACTGGGAAGGTTGTAATTGTAACAGGTGCAAGTAGTGGAATTGGGGCTGATGCGGCTCGACATTTGGCAAAATTGGGTGCAAAAGTGTCAATTGTTGGTCGAAACGAAAAACGAGTGAATGAAGTGGCTGATCAAATAAAGAAATTTGGCGCACCAACACCACTTCCGATCGTGGCCGATGTGACAAGAGACGCGCAACGCATCATCAATGAAACTGTCAAGCATTTTGGTCGGCTTGATGTTCTTGTGAACAATGCTGGCATCTTTAGAGCAGACAATGTGGTACAGTTTGATGTTGAGCAGTTTGATAGTATTTTAGATACAAACCTAAGGAGTGTTATTATTCTAACGAATTTGGCGGTGCCTCACTTGGAAAAGACCAAAGGAAATATCATAAATATTTCAAGCGTAGCCGGCTTACGACCATTTGACCTCTACACATCATACTGTATTAGCAAAGCTGGATTGGATCAGTTCACAAAATGCTCCGCGATTGCATTGGCACCGAAAGGAATACGAGGTAAGTGCAGGCAAGTAGTGATGGGCAATTTACCCGGTATTTAAATTTGGGTAAATTTCCTGGGTAAATACCCGATTTGTTGGGTATTTATGGGTATTTTCGAAATAGCCAAAACAGTAGCAAAATTTTAACAAAAAACTGTTAAAAAGTAATAATATGAATGAAAGACACAGAAATTTCATTTTAATTGTCATCTAAACTTTTTTCTGAACTTTTATCATGTCACATTCGCTTTGAACTGGTACTGGTGTTGGTGCTTGCATCTTCATTCTTTCGCTTTCTACTTGTAGCCTGCATCAACTTATAGTTGTATGCGATGTTCTTAATTATACCCGATGTTTCCGTTGTCAAACGATTTCTCTTCTGTGTCTGAAATTCACACTGTGAATGAACCAAATGTACTGTCTGTTTGTGTAGAAGTCAATGAAATCGTGAGAATTTTTTCTGCTATGTCCAAAAAATGATTTTCACCAAACCAACGGACTAACATTTGCACAAGAGACCCAAACGAATTCCATGCCCCAAATTTTTGCTTTTACTCGATAGTTTATCAATTGAGTCATCACCGCTTCTTCGTCGAGTTTTACTTTTTTGGCTGATAAAACAATAAAACTAATGCTGCACCTATCATGATCGGTTTCATTATTTTATATTTGCGTTCTTGAACAGATTTGTCAGCATTTTTTTTATTGCAAGCATTAAAAACATTTGAAGATTTAGCTAACGAATCCACTGTTGCGAACTCAATTACTCAATAGTTTATGTGATTTATGAATATCTACGTCATCAGTTTCCAATTGTGTTCAATATTTCGTGAGGTCCTTCAAATTTTAACCAAAATTGATTGTCCAATATGAATATTTTCACATCGCCTGGCAATTCTGGTTCTTCATCGTTCGCGTTTATTTAATCAAAATCGGCCGATATATCTGGATCAGCTACCATTAACCGTAAAATTCCTTTTTTTGCGATCAACGATTCGAGAGCCTGTAGTTCGTATACCCATCGAGTTTCAGAGGGTAGTTTAATAGTCACATGGGTCTCCATTTCACGTTGCTTTTGGCTGAATAAACTATACAGGACGTGGCATTTTTATTTTATTCGTGACTTTTTTTGCTTTGAAAAATTTTCGCTCGAAGAAAGTAAATTCAGTGCATGAGCAACACAACCAAATGTGTGAATATGCGGTTATTTTTCGGTATCAATGAGACCAACTTGGATTTTACGCTACATTATCGTACAAAAACAGCTGAAACTTGAATAATCTGATTTGAATTCAACAAAAATTCAAAGAAATCACATATTTTAAAAATACCCATAAATACCCATTCTTGGGTACTTATTCAGCCCTTCGGTTAAATACCCGATAAATACCCGGTAAATACCCGGTATTTATTCGGGTGGGTAAATATTGCCCATCACTACAGGCAAGGATTGAATAAATATGTAATATTGGTTTAATTGGTGATTTTATTTTGTTAGTGAATTCGATCAATCCAGCCACAATTCGTACCCCAATTTTTGAACAGATTGGAATCAATAAATCGAATGAGGAGCAATTCTTCGAAGAACGTAGACATGACTACTTAGTGGGCAGAGTTGGTGAGGTTTCGGATACGAGTTCAGCCGTTGCTTACTTGGCTTCAGAAACATTTTTGACGGGTCTGCTTCTGCCAATTGACGGTGGCTTGATGTGCTCGGGAATTCGAAGTAATTTACAACAGATTTAACTTCTGATTTTTATTCATTTTTACCTGAAAAATAATTGCTTCTCTTTATATTTTATAGCAAGCTTACCTGGACTAACGTAAATGTGAAGCGTTTGATGCATCAATTTTGCTTTATGCTGAACAAGTCTTAATAGTTTGATTTCGCTTTTCTGCATCAAAAGCATCCTAATTTTATGCGGTGAATATACAAATCAGCAAATGTTCTCTTTGAATGATTGAAATAAAATTGTAAAACATAAACGTAGAGTCTTATTCATTGGCTATAAATTATAGCTAGTTAGATGTGAAACTAGAGCATGAACTGCAAATATTCATATCACTCTAATAATTGGGATGTGATTTTTTTTCAAATGATAATTTGAAAATAATCGTATGATTTTTGAAGGTATCCGAGTCAATTCAGTTAATCCAGCTGTTAATCCAACACACCCATGATTGACACAATATCAGAGGAGACGAGAGAAAAAACGTTAAAATATTTGAAACGAGCCTATCCACTTCAAAGAATTGGCGAAACAAGTGATGTTGCCTATTTAGCGAGCGAAAATGCTGCATTCATCACCGGTCATCTGTTTTGCGTCGATGGAGGTTCGCTTGCAGCCAATATCGTTTGAATGTATCAGTTGTACATTGACCTCAAATGCGAATTGAAGCTGAATTTTAACAATGGCTTCATTTTATCAACGATTCTTATCACACATACACACCATGGAGTTCAAGTCCAAGTACACTTTTGTATTCTTATCAATTGTTGCTCAATAAACACGTTATCGATCATTTTCATTTATCTGATTAAACTTTCCAAACTGGTTTGAGTGTTTGATGCAAAGTTCTTCAATAGATGTTATGGCATTATGTGTGTGAGTATGTGTTGTATTGAAAAAGTGGCATTTCATTCATATCAGTCAGTACAAGAAGCAATTGAGCTTGGTCAAAAACTCGGTTTATAACAAAAAAGTTGTCATTGAAAACAAAACAATCCAAGTCACAATTTTTTTTTTTCAAATCACGAATTCAATTCCAGAAAGAGAGATGAGTTTTAAAAATAAATTCGTAATTGTAACTGGCGCAAGTAATGGAATTGGAAGGGGTGCAGCAATTCATTTGGAAAAAAGAAACCAGGAGCGATTGAACGAAGTGAAACAGCAACTTATTGCAAATGGATCTTCGGGGCGACACGTGACAAAAGCTAGGGGCTTATGTGTCGTACGAATCAGTGTGAATCAGTGCGAATCTCACGAGTCATTTCAAAACATATGGGCAACTGCACGAATCTTACGAGTTTATATGAAGATTCGCGAGTCCTTCACGAGTCTCTCATATAAATTGGCGAATCACTGAACGAAACTATGAAATGTCAACGAGCATGCCAGTTGAACTCACAATTCACTCAATAATCGACTACTAAATCAACTTTTTGTCATTAAAAATATTTATATTGTCACATTTTGACTGCAAGAAAATTAAAATTAATACAAAATTTTAAAATGGTTGGTTTCGAAATGTTTTTTTTATTTTTTTAAGGCAGACAATAATGTATTTGATGTTTTGGGTGTTGAAATCCCGAGAAAAAAACAGTCTTTGCTTGTCGATCGACTTTGGCTCTTATTTACATAGAGAATATCGCTGAAATTGGTGGAATTCATAAACGAAAATCGTGAAATGTTAGTTGAATCTATTTATGAAAATATTATTCCATCCAAATTTTTGGCAGCGCATCGAATCTTCATACGGAATATGTCAAGTTATATAGATCAACTAAAAAATCGTGAATTTGAACACAAAATGGATTTATCACAATTCCCGAACCCATCAAAATGCTTCATTCAAACAATTCAATCTGATGAAAATAAAAATGTCGAAGCATTTTTTTTACACTGAACACATTAAGTCATTCTCCACATATATTCATATGATGTATGGCAAATCTTGTTATAAATCATTAATGGTTGACTTGCCCATTCCAAAAATAAGTGCAGTTCGTATGTTTCATAAAACATTTCGTGGATCTTAGTTCCATTGTCAATTTAATACATTTCATTTTCAATTCACATCCATTCCAGTTGCCTATATTAAACAGAATAAGAAAAAAATTATAGAACACAAGCTGAGATCCGAATGGTTTGCAATGTGTATATAAGCTAATTTGCATCGACTCGCGGATTTGCTATAAATGCCATACACTTTCTATGCTATGACTTGTGTATATATTTGTATGAATTCGTTCGAGTCTTCACGAATCTCCGTAAATTGGTGCGAGTCAGTGCGAGTTACTTGCAATTCAGCGCAAATCATTTTTAATTTACATGAAAATCATACGAGTCTTGCTGACTCGTGACGACAAATAAGCCCCTAGGACAAAAGACTCGGAGAAAATTATCAACGAAAATGTCAAGCATTTTGGAAAAATAAATGTTTTGATAAATAATGCGGGAATGATAACGGAGAAAAGTATTGAAAACGTCACAATGGAGGCGTTTGATAAAACGATCGATGCAAATCTACGAACCCAAGCGCGACTCCACACTTAGCTTCTAAATGTGACACCGTAGTAAGTGTGGGCATACGTTTTGCGAATAAGCGACAAAGAGAATGGAAACAAGTGCGCGTGTGGTAGTGAGTAGCCTGATCCGATGCTACTCAATGTAGCGACTAATACACGCGCACTTGTTTCCATTCTCTTTGTCGTTTATTCGCAAAATGTATGCCCACACTTACTACGGTGTCACATTTAGAAGCTAAGTGTGGAGTCGCGCTTGGGAAGTGCCGTACAATTGACTCGAGAATCCATTCCATATCTTGAGCAAACAAAAGTTAACATTTTGAATGTGAGTCCCAATTAACTTTCCTTTTGTGTTTCAAACAACGGTCCTATTCTTTTTGACTTTGACAACTGATATTGAGCGCAAACACCACCTAGATAATCTAAGGCTAATGACAATACAATCAAGTACACTCTCCGTTCTGTCAAACGTCACACTGAAGTATAACATACAGACATAACGAATTCGCTATCGGTTCTTTAGATGGTGCTTCGGTCAACCGAGTTCCAAGCAAATACATGTATCAGTATACAAAGCATTCCACGTTTGGTTTCAAAAGCTGCATTGGATCAACTGACCAAACGTTCATGATTGGTATTGACTCCAAAAGGAATACGAGGTAGGTGGAGGCAAGGCTTGAATAAAAACGCAATACGATTTAATCTGCGATTTTTTTGTGTCAGTGAACGCTATTAACCTAGCTGCTCTACAAAGGACTCATACAAATCCCGTTACCCAGTCGGTCGTGTTGGCGAATGTGATGATACAACCGCTGCAATTGAATATTTAATCAGCGATCAAGTTTCGTTCATCACTGGTGTTTTGTTGCCGATTCATGACGGTGCAATTATTGCTGGAAAATAAGATTTAAATCGGTGAACCCGTATCAGTATTTTGATGAATTTAAAGATTATTTATATCAGTTTATCTTTCTTATCGCTTGAAATAGCCAAATTTGTCCGATTGTGATTTGTGGTTATCTTGCGGATACTACAAATGAAAAATAAAACAATATTTTTGACATTGATTAAACGGTTGAGCTACGTTATAAATCATGTGCAGTTTTCTGTTGTTTTATAGCTTTGATCACAACGACCCTAAAATATATATTATCATGTGGAGCAAATACAATGTAGAAAGATCATAGTGATAGGATTGAATAGAATAAAAACCATCAATTTGAATTGCTGACAAAACAATATAAATATATATATATATGATCCATTGCGACAAACGAATTCCCTCAGAATATTTTAGTTTTAAAGTGAAACAAAGTTTTTTTTTCATATGGAGTTGTTGTTGTACACCCTGTATAAAAAAAATTTATGTTGCACTTTGAAACTAAAATATTTTGGGAAAATTTGTTTATCGCAAGGGTTCATATGTACCATATTGTGGTGTATTCTAAACTTGTATTTTATCGAAAGAATGAGAGAAATTATCTTTATCTCGGTGTTATTTAGCTTCGATTATTCGAATACAAGAGCATTGTGTATACACGCTACTAATTTGTATTTTATCACTTTAAACGAGTAAGTTATCGTAAAACCTCAAATGTTCATTTTGATAATAACACTTACTCACATTCTACATTGTATAGCCAACGCAAACCACATCAATGCAAGCTTGCATAGAAGTATTGAGAAATACTTTTCTGTTCCATTTACGATATAGATATTGCTCTTTACGCTATATAAACAACCCTTCTTCTCGTTGCACAGTTAGTTTTGAATCAAACGTTCAACACTTTGGAAGTTCAAGTGTCGAAAATTATTATCTATCGATTGTTTAAGAAAAAAACCACTTGAGAATGAGTTTCGCAAACAAAGTGGTCTTAGTAACGGGAGCAAGCAGTGGGATCGGCGCTGGAGCTGCGGAGCATTTGGCGAAAAAAGGTGCGAGTGTTGCTTTGGTCGGTCGCAACGAAAGAAAATTGAATGAAGTTTGTGAACGAATTAAAAGTGCCGGTTCACCGACTCCGTTTGTGGTCGTGGCAGATATCACAGTTGATGCCGTACGTATAATCAACGAAACGACAAATCATTTCGGTCAACTGGATATCTTGATTAACAACGCCGGCATCCAATCACATAATACGATTGAAAACATCGATTTGGACGAGTATGATCGCATCATGAGAACAAATGTGAGAAGTGTTATAGAGCTTACGAAATTGGCAGTACCTCAGCTGGAAAAAACGAAGGGGAATATTTTGAATGTTTCTAGCTCCTGTGGGCTGAGAGTAAAACCAAATCTCTTTGCATATTGCATTTCAAAAGCAGCGGTCAATCAGCTGACAAAGAGCGCAGCATTAGATTTGGCTCCAAAAGGTAACCGGCTTGTAGTTAAATAACTTTTCATAGAATAAAATCTCGAATAAAAAAAAGGAAGTAATTCTGATTTATAAAAGTAACCGTTTTTGGGTTCTAAAGGTATAAGAGTCAACGCAATAAATCCCGTGGTTATCAAAACATCAATTTTTGAAACAGGTTTCGGCATGAGTTCACAGCAAATCGATGAGTTTTATGCAAAGCATAGCGCCTTGTACCCGCTGCGCAGGTATATTTTGAAGAATTTTGGATTATCTTTTGTTTCACTTTGCAAATCAGTTGCACACAAATGAAATGATGCTTTAATTGCAATGTTTTTGTTCTGCGCAGAGTTGGTGAAGTATCTGATACATCGGCTGCAATCGAATATTTGGTTAGCGATCATGCATCGTTTATCACGGGTGCTCTGCTGCCAGTAAGTAATTTTTGTGACAGCCAGCTCATACATAAGAAACGTTGTTATTAACTCCTTTTGATCGGTATTCCTTTGTAGGTGGACGGCGGAGCTTTGACGGCTGGACAATAACATTTATAACATATTTGCATTTCGGTTATTGTTAGCAATAAAATGATGTTGATGATGTTCAAAAAGTCAAAAACCAGTCTCAAACCATCAATAAAATTTCAATTGATTTTCACATTTGAAAATTGTTCAGTTTAATTATGCTTTTATTTTTAATTCAAATGAAATGATATTAAATTTGAAAATATTTCAAACCGGTATTTTTTTTGGCACTACATGAAATGTAGAGCTACTAATCTGCTTTTTTTTCCACATACTTTTTGAGTGATGAAACAAATAATGGTGAATTTGAATTTTATGCTCATATTTTTTATTAAATTTGAAACAGGTGCATTAACGACAAATAAGTGTACAACATCTCAAAGCGCCAATGGAATTTTTATTATCAAATGTTTTTTTTTAAATTACATTAATTTTTCGTATAGTATTTGAACAGAATTAAAGTTGAGTCTTGAACAGAATTAAAGTGATTTTAGATTCTATGCTCATATTATTTATTTAATTTAAACCAAAGGCGGTATATTTCAAAAAAGAAATAAAACCAAGATCTTGTGATTCATTTTGAAAATAAATATATTACTTCAAAGTTACTTTGATGAAATACATTTCATGTAGTGCGCCAAAAAAATAGTTTGTTGCGAAACAACAAAATAGATTAAATAACTAAAAACTCAAGAACGCAGAGCGTAGCGAAGCGAAGCCCTGCGGTCTTGTTTTACTCTAAGTGGATATTGGTTGCCCAACGGCAAATAAAGTAAAAAATATTTTTGCATCGTGACATTAAAAATTTTCTTCCCTTTGTACTTTGTACGCGATACATGCTGTAGTTGCTCCCACTCTCTTTGTGTGGTATTAACATCGAAATCAAAAACGATTTTCGTCCGAATATTATGAATAAATGAGAGCAACATTGGTCTATTTTTGGGATTATTACATTGAAGTTCATGGTATTATTACTTTTGGTTAGTTGCATTGAAATTCGTTATGCTCTCGTTCGCCCCGCAACTCGTGGAATTCGTCAACTTTCATTGGGATACAAAACAGGTGAGTATTTTGCATTTAATAATGCTCCAAGAACTAATTTTGTTGATCTTTGATTTAGGTTTGTTGAACGTTTTTCAACAGTGAATCGCACCTTTGCAATTGGTTATCTTCTGTTCATATTGCTTGGTTCAAATTCTTGAAACTTTGTCGTAATCGAAAACTTTGGACTAATTCGTTGCTTCTTCAAAAAATAATTTGAAGAAAATATCGTTTTGAACACTAAAAAGACTGCAAACAATACAAAATATCGACAGTGTAGTAAGAATCTAGGGCGCATAATATTGATGAAATCAAATCGGACTGACTTGGGATTGGACTTGTTTATTTTCAGTGAAAATGCAACTATTTTGACGTTGAGAACTTGACAGCTCATTTGTTTTCATTTTTAACATTTTTTTTTTTTTATTATTTTCGATGACATTTCAATCTGATAACAATCGATCTGCTCTGAACTTGTCTCTTTCAATATATTCAACTATGCGAATGAAATACTAACATTTTTCATGAAATAAAGATCGATTAATTAACGATAGTGCATAATGCACATCAGTGCCGAGTTAACAAAATTTTGCGCCCGAGGCAAAAATGATTTTGGTGCCCCTTGCAATTTTTTCCCGTTATATATACAAATAATTATTGATAAAATGAACGTGCATATCGAATGCGAGCGGTAGCGAGCAAATTTTTTTTAGAAATACCATTTTTGGGCCCATTTTTGGCTGCGTGTTTTCTTTTTCAGATTATTAAAAAAAAAAATCCCATGCTTGTGGTGCCCCCAAGAACGTGGTGCCCGAGGCAACTGCCTCATTTGCCATATGGCTAACTCGGCACTGATGCACATTATGTTTCATTATGAAGTAACAAGCTGCAAAAAAGTAATAAGAAGCGATCTTGACTCATCAACTTGAATAATCAGCAATAAAATTCTTCAAACTTGTGAAATTTTGTTGGGGCGATAGATATGTACAGCTAGCTCGTGGCTTGCCGTGGCCAAGTGTGTATATATAAATAATATTTTTATTATATCGTTCTGAAGCTATTATTTTATTGCCTACCTTGTACCTACTATAATGAAAACTGATTGTTCGAAGCAATTTGCCTCCGTTTCAGAAACCAAAAAATCGTCAGCCGGATCAAATCATTATTTATATCGTCAGATGTGGAAGATTCACAGAAATGCAATCATCGTTTGTACAAAATCTACTAATCCAATCGAATTTTATTACAAATTGACCTTTACTATGCTGATGATGAAGTTAAATAATTTGAAGATTCTTCAGTACACTAAAATGCGCAAATACACTGAAAAATTAATGGAAAAAATGTAACCAAAGCAAATGGTGCGGTAAAGCACACTCAAATTCAGTCTTTGCTCAACAGATGGCATGTTGTAAAAGCAAAAAGCATCACTGGAATAACTGGAATAAAAAAGTACATTCACCTTGAATAGATGCCGCTACTACAGCCGCCCTATAAATCTCTGTAATTTGCTTAAAATCAAAATAAATCTATGGTAAAGTGCATAGCCCTTAACATCTTATCTATAATTCTGAATAATATAGATTGCTAGTTAGTTTATTACATTCAAATCACTAATAAACGTTACTTTTGGGAATCTGGAAAGCAAAATTTGGAAATTTCCATTCGGAAATCTAAACATTGGAATAAGATGAAACTAATCTCGTTTTTTGTCTTCATTCAAATTACTATATCACGCATCATATGCATCAATACATTGCGACAATTTTCGTTACCAAAAAGATCCCAAAAACAAACCTAAACACACATTTAAAACCCGAAGAAACTAAATAATTTCATTCTTGGACTGACCAATTTTTCAAACTGGAAAATCATCTGCCCCTTTAAATTTTGTGACAAGTGATAAGACATTGTCACGCAGCATCCCTTAAATGCTGTCAATTGGCCATGTTGGTAGCATTGCATCCAAATGAAAACATTTGATAAAAGATTTTCCTTCCAAATAAATTTCAGGCCGAGAAATTGTTTCTATTGAAAACGTTGTATTTCTTAAATGTGCACAATAAAACGTGATTTGATTTATAGACTTAATCGTGTTGAATAAGAGTATTTTGGAAATTACACACAAAAGTACAGAGTATTGGTGAAAAGAAGCATGGTAATGAACACGAATCAATCGATGGAAAGCTTTCCGCTTCAGCATATATCATCGTCGGAGGATTCGAGCAGTTCGTGGCAAATGGTGACTAATTCAATGAATTCAAGTCAAAATTCACAATCGACGTCCAATGGAACTACGTCAACTGCGAAAGTAAGGAGAAATGAATCATAATCAAATTAAAAATAGAGTAATATCTGGGAATGTTCACATCGGTTGATGAAATATTTTGTATTTTTGATAGAAATTGCAAAACAGTGAACTGAGCGAAGTTGTATTGAAGGAGCTGCGTCGTCGATATAATGGGCGCAGTTCAATGAATGAAACTGAACTGGAAACCGCTCAGCAATCGATGAACTTGATGCGACAGAATGTACAGCACTTGTTTGATAACGAGATTCAAGCCATTGTACAGAAATACGTTGAGGCAAGTGAATTGTTGTAGCTTCGTCAAGAGCGTGTATGTAATGTTAGCAATTAAATTTCAGACATACTTCGAGCCAGCTTTAAAGAACATCAAAGAAAATCTAGAAAACTCAGGAATTACAGACCAATACGTGAGTTCAACTGGAGAATTTCAGTAGATTCAGAATTGAGATTTTTTTGAAAATTCAATTGATTTTTCTTTCCCTCACAGTTGAAAAAGATGTGCTGTGATTTACTTGAAAATACCAAACAAACCTATAAAACGTCAAATGGAGTAACACTTGAGCCAACTTCGTCGAATGAAGTGGTTGTTGCGCCAAAACCACTGGAAAATAACACTCTGGAACAAGTGTTTTTTTCCTACACGAATGTACGGTCTTTTTCACACTCCATTGGCCAAACAAATAACAGTTAATGAAATTGTATTCAATTGTTTTGCAGGCGCCAATCAAACGAAAAGATTCTGCGGTAACATTACAACGAAGCCAAAGCACTGACCACAGTCCACTGCACAAAAGATCGCCGATAACTTTTCAAAACAAATGCATCACCGCCACCCGACCGGGTCAAATCATTTTAAGTGTGACTTTGACTACGGACACGTTATTTACATTTGACTTTAAGGTGCACGAAGCATTCGATTACGGGCCAAATGATCGTTTAATAAACAAATATCCAGACTTGATACGTTACATCATCGATGTCCAAGACAAAGATTGGTTCATACAGCAACGGATTCTCTCACCAATTCATCGTACATCGCAAATAATGCTGTTCACTATTGAAGAGGTGAACCGAATTGCACATTCGGATATTCTAAGAAATCAACCTTACCGGAAACCAATCGAACTACTTGGATTCAAAATACCCGAGTTTATGCTGCAAAAGATGCGAAAGTTTATCTGTGAACACGGCGAAAACAGTAAAAAAATCATTACGAATACGATTCAACCGAAAGTTTCGTTGTCGGCTCTTTTGTCAGCTACACCAAAACCAACCGCCATCAAAACCATTCAATCAATTAAACCGATTTTGGTAACGAACTATTTGTTTTTCTTATGCGCATAATTTTCTCATGACATCATCATTTAGTATCAACATCACAAATGAATACATATACAATTATTTTGCTTCCTACTTCTTAGAAGCCTCAATTGGCAAACACCACGTCACTGTCGTCAATGATTTCGTCCATGAGAGCAAATTCACAACCGACCACCGTTTTGCTGGTTGACACAAGCGGAAATGGATCAAAAACGGCAACCATTACCAGCGCATTCATCACATCATCAGACGAAGGCTCCATCAATTCGCCTGTCATCGCACGGAGCTCATTAAGTTCATCGCATGCCACTTTATCGGCATTGTTATCGAATTCACCCACCGAAAAAACACTGAATTCAATTGTCTTAAACGAAATCAACGACTAAATTGACAACGGGACAGTTTAATAGCGCACACGGTTTTTCATTGGGTTTTTTTTTTCTCTCTACAAATTCCAAACGAAATCCATACGAAAAACAACAGAAAAAAAAAATCAAGAAACAAAACACTCAGGTCAAGCAAATTAACCAGTTGATTGCGTTATCATATTATTAGTTTCTAGTAGATACCTGTTGATGACCATTTTATTGACAACACGTGAATTAAAAGCGGATGCGAATCGCGTTTCTTCTTTTTTTTTTAAAGAAGATACTTGGCGTTTTTATTGAGTAGAAGTATGATTTACATGTGAACTTTGCTATAATGCGACATAATGGGCCAATTGAAATGAAACTAATTATCATAAAATTATGCTATTAAGTTTTAAAGTTATGTGGAATGACACACAGAGAACGAATTTGGATGGGCGTGCGTATCAAACACCACGGAAACACTTAATTGAAATCACGCTTGAAAATTTTATTTATCTCTTGAAGATCGGTTGGATTGTGTGCTCAAGAGACACTTAAATGTCTTTTCATTTTTGGTGTAACTATCAAGAGGTGTCAAAGGTTTTGTTCGAGGTTAAATTGCTTCGGTTTGGAGATTAACTTGAAAATTGGTCATTGTTCTTATTGAATGGGAAATAAACTACGTAGAATCATTCTTAGGAAGCAGCGCTCCCTTTCAGTCAATTTTGTAAGTTGGCGAGTGTCCTGAATAAGGATTTCGTAGTTTAATGGAAAATATCCTTCTTTAGCTTCGGCTTGAACCAAACCACTTTTTAGCTTCGTTGGTGCATTTTTGATGCAGTAGGTCAACATCGTCACAATGACGGAATGCTCTGATTTCAATACACAACATATTGAATACCATTATTGTTCTAATGCAACTCGAAAAAATTTCTTTTTTTCATTTAATCTGCATGATATTCTGTTGTTTGTCGATGGAGAAGAGCCAAAGAAAAAAAAAGCATTTAAACAAAATAGCAATTTCAGGCCAATTGAGATGATTTATAATATCACGACACAATGGCAACATTTACCGTCTCTTTGTGCTGCTATTATTCGCCACATATAATGTATGAAATTCTTTTGGCGCCTCAAAAACACACCACACCGTTCACCCATTCATATTTTTTTTGTATGTTGTTGTTGTAAGTTCACAAAGTTGCTATTGTTATTCCACCGAAAAATTTATATTGGCCCATAACTCGTGGCATCGTTCTTTTTTTTGTTTGAAAAAGAGGAAAAAAAAATGTAAACAACCAATTTCGTCTGAATGTGGATATCAATAGACTTAGCTAACGAAAGACGTTTATCAAGCGAGTGAAATAACAGCACACACATTAACAGAGAATCTGCGCGGGAGCGGAGTCACTTTTGCGATCTCGTAATCAATTTTTCGGATTATGAGTTTGCGAAAAATGAAAGTCAAGAAAAATCCAGAGCCAGAATGCACTGACATTGTTCAAATCGTCGGAAATGCCAGCCAGTCAGCCAGCCAGCCAGCCGAATGAAATTCGATTTCAACAAATTGATATTATGCCATTTATTCACGCATGCAAAAGTTTGTCTTCCGCATTAGTGTGAGCGCGGCCGAGAGAGAGAGAGAAAGGAAGAGAAAAACCGAGAAATACACCATCGAGTATTCTAATTTTCATATCTATTCGTTTTCCACTGAAAAACCGTTGCCATCGTTGCCGTTGCCGTTGCCGCGACGAACAAATTGCTTTGGTGGTGAATGGCAATAACATAGCTCATACAGCTCTGCAATCAATTGCACCGTACATGTAAATTAAAGTGGAAAGTATTTTTCTGTAGCAAAAGCACAAGATATTTGCAGTCACGACTATTTCCTTTGGATTTTTCAAATATTCTTCAGTGTTTGCTCTTTTTAAAGCAAACATACCAACGAAGAAGACGGTGACGACGACAGCGATGCTGGTGATGATGATGAAAAAACAACAACCCATACCCAACCGTTTTCATTTAATTGAATGGGTTTTGCTTTCCATTTCGGTTTTAAGTACACTACCCAACCAAATTATGTAATTGAAATGGCACACAAATCATCGATAACATGCGGAATCTTCTTTTTCTTCATTCAGCATTTCGGTCAGCCTTGATGGGTGTTCACTTCTTTGACTCAACTCTTGTGCCAGTTTATTGTCTCAACACTCACCAAAGTTGGAAAAGAAAAAGAAAAAACGAAATAAAAAGAGCAAAAGAGAATAGAAAGAAGTCATTCCATTCATACACAACAGCGTACCGCATCATCTCTCACCTTTAAAGTAATAATTCGCGATCACCGCCAGAATTCGAGGAAATATTATTAAATAAACGCATTCAATAGACGACTATTACTGTTAAGTGGAACTGTAACAACACGCTCGTGAATCGTTTGTTGACTCACGTTGTAAAATTCTTTTCAGTTTCGAGAGATGAAATTGAATATGTAACTTTTTTTTCATGCGCTCTATTTGATGCGATAATTTTTTTCGTCCGTTGATGCAATTCCTCTTCGGCCATAAAAGATGAAGAGAAAAAAAAAACAATCATCGATTCAATTCTGAATGTAAGAAGTGGAGAAAAAAAAATCTTATCTTTTGATGCATGTTGAATAGATCCACGTGCAGTTAGCTGCAATTTTTTTTAAATTTATGTTCAAAGCGAACAAACGAAAAAAAAAAACGAAGAAGAAAGAAAAGAGCACGGCCAATTCTTAATAGCTACGTGCATAGATGACGAAGAAAAAAACCACAATACAATTAAGTTTTTTTTTGTTCGCTGCAGGTTAGTCTCTATCAAAAGCCGCATTCAGTGGCAAATACACGAACACAAAAGAGCCGATATTGCTAGCTGAACCATAAACATGTAGGGGAAAACTGAGTGACTTTTATCTGGCAGGTGAAATCTCTGTGTCTGAACGTAAAAGAAATATTTCAACGTTGAGATCTTTGCGATAAAAATTGTGGTTTATGGGTCATCGCAGAACACATGTACGCAAAAAAAAAGAAACAAACATGTGTAAATTAGACTCCTTGAACCTGTGTTAAGAATTTCCCTTTTTTTTCAATTAATGCAATTTCCATTCATTTGCATGTACACATTTCAGTGGCTGTTTTTTTTTCTTCTTCTTTCAGATGACACCCAAACCCCTCGTTAATCAAAACAAGAAACACCAAGTAGCATCTTTGGTTGGTTTACAGCATTTATGCTTTAATCTCAATACTGAAAAGTGATTGTTCCATCGCAATTCAGCTAGTATGACTGACAAATTGGCTGTGTATGTAGCACTACAAATGAGAAGGTTATGTCAAACGATATTCTTTGTAATGAAAAAAAAAAACGAAACAACAATCGTTTGTGCTGAGGATTTGCAATGTGAGTGTGTGTTTTGCTTGAAGCCACCAAAGAGAGTGAATTTACGATTTCGATGATAAGGTCGTAGGTAGCTATTTGTTTTTGCTTCATCCGTAATCTCTCTGTCATCGATGAAACGTACGTCATAAATATTGTGTTTAAACTACAATTATCTGTCTTCAATACGGCCAGAATTCCATGGGGCTCCCATTTGATTCACATAAACCATTCAGCAAGCGATTTGTAAATCTCTCATACTTAACACATTTATCATTACTCGTCGCCATCGTCGTTGTTGTTGTTGTTGTATTGTTGGTGGTTTCATCATGAAATTTCATCATGTCTTTTTTTCCCTTGCTTGCCGCGTCTACTTCAAGTGTGTGAAAAATTGAGCGATTCACAAAATTTTACTCGTTCAAATGCGCACGTATATCGATTCTTTTTTTCTTTTGTTTGGATGCAAAGCCAACTTTTTTTCTGCATACAATTTACAATACAAATATTGTAATTGAAGCAATCCAAACAAAAAAGTGTGTAATATGATAGACACTCGATTCAATCGAATCAGTCAGCTGTTTTGCTAATTGAATGTTGATCGCATTTGATGTGTTTGTGTGCTACACTCTGAACATGATATTCAAACGAGATAAAGAAAATCCATAACAAAACAATGCAGAAACGTACTTGTTTTAGTTTCATCATATCTTTTCAATTCTAGGCATCATTACCTCATTTCGATACATTCGATCAGCTCAAATCGAATTGTCTTGTGCTTTAAAATGAAACCTTGCAAGTGTTTCCTCAGATTTTAATTCAATAAATACACTCCAATTGCTAATTTTTTTTCGGCCCTTTTCCAATCCAATTTTCATATTTTTTTTCTTTTTCTTCATTTCCAAATGAATATCAAGGTCAATATATTTCTGAATCGGCTTTGTGTTTGTTTTATTTTTCATCTTCATTTTTTTCGGGAGGCAAAAAAATTCAATCGAATATGGAATTCATATTACGGATCAATTGCTTCGTTTTATTGTTTTCGAAATATGTAACAAGAGGCCTAATAAGTATAATTTGCTAGAGAGAAAAAAACTAGGGGAATATCACGCAATTTTTATTCGCAAAACTTATTTCTATCTCATTTATTTCATTAAAATCTAATGAAATCTAAGCTATTTCAAATATTTCGCAAAATCTGTATTATTCACTCATATTCACCATGTGCTGACGTCATTACCGCTTCAAAAATGCTGGAAGTGGGTTTTGGTGGATCCTCAGGATCGTTCAGAACTGCTCCCGGTTCTGGAAGTGGATCCTCAGGATGGGCCAGGGCATTGTCAAACCCAGTCTGGTCCATCCTGAAGATCCACCAAAACCCACTTCCAGAATCGGGAGCAGTTCTGAACGATCCTGAGGATCCGCCAAAACCCACTTCCAACATTAAAATATCTGCAAAATCGACCAAAATGAAAAAAATCTCAGATATCTCGCATAATGTAATATAATTGAAATTAATTTTTAAAAAATGCAAAAATCAATAGAAATTCAATAGAATTTTTTGCGTGATATTCCCCTAGGAAAAAAATTTGATGAAAGTTTCATCGTGCATACAATTTGTTTTTATCGAAATTTTTACATAAAGCCAAATTTTTGAACGAGATGGTGATTTTGACATTGAAAATGCGATGACTACGGAAGCAACCAAATTCAAAAGAAAATGCAAATATGTCAATTTAAGTCAGAATCGAATTTTGTGAAAATAGGTCACGTGAAAATACATCTTCTCATTGTTCCATGAGCTGCTAAGTTACAATGCAACGCAGAGTTCATGTATTTGAAACAAACGGTTTTGTTTATGTTACCACTTTGTGTGTTCGAAGCACGACTTTTACGTTACTTAGTTACTGAAACAATCCTAACAACCGACAGCATTTTTCCAAAAGCAACGAACAACGTTTGATCGTGTGATTATAAAGAGAGCGTTAAGGTAAAACCAACGATTTGTTAGTTGTAAATTGAAATAATTCCGAATCAAGAAAAAAAAGTGTCTCAAATAAGAATTTTCGCAATCTCACCGCAGATGTTGCCCTATTATAAGTTTGACAAAATCAAACAATTCTACGGTGTACCACATACATTAGAGTATCGCAATGGATACCGAATTGCAACGGCACTGAGTCAGGAAAGTGGATGCAATCGAGTCTCGGAACTGACTAAAACATTGTAACTTTAGCAAGATAAATATTTACTTTTTATAAGCAGCCGCAATCACTCGGTGGCACTTATTTCATATGTTTTTTTTTTTCTTTTTTTCGGTTCAAAAATCCTCAAACAGACATGACTGCACTTGGATGTATGGCCGTGTGAAACCGAAACCAATTGCACCATTCAAACCCGATTTCGTACAAAATGACAAAATCATTTTGACCTTCGACGGTTTTTTTCGTCAGAAAGTTTTCGAACCGAATGCAGAGCAATATGATTTGATTCGCAAAGTTAAAATTATGTACTTTATGGTTGACGATACCATAACAGTCGTTGAGCCAGCGTACATTGTATGAGCATACTCAATATTGCTTTCATTTGAAAACTGTGGAATAGTTGAAAAGTTTCCCATTTACATTACAGAACAGTGGCTATTCACAAGGACGAATCATTCGACGTTCACGCATCACAAAAGATCCACATCGTAATTTGCATTTGACATGGAAAGATTTGAATATTGGAATTGAATTGAAAATGTTTGGAATCACTTTTCATTTGACTGACTGTGACTCATTTACGAAGGTGGATATAACTTTTATAGATTTATATTAAAATTTTAAATTTTCTTCAATCGTTGTGTTTGAAAATTATGACAAAACTATTGATATTTTCGTTGAGCAGGAGTTTCTAAAAGCGAATGGAATCGAATTGAATGACATACATGTGCCGCCGTCTGAACCACGGCTCTTTAAACAAAGGTATTTATTCACTGTCAGCACTGAATTCACTGCAGTGAGTCACTGATGGAATAAATTCATTCAAATTGACTTAAAAATGTGAAATTTATTCAAACAGGCCGGTCACAGCCCCTGTGAATCGTTCCGTATGCTTCAAAAATTCAGAAATAAGACCGAATATTGGGATTGTTTTAAGGTACTTCAACGAACTCTTTTCTGCTAATTCTTGAAAATTGCAAGCAAGTGTTCCAAAATACAAAAAAAAAAAACTAGTAAATTAAAATGCATTCACTTTCAGTTTTGAAAGCATTCGAATCGATGGAAAAAAGCAATTGCATGACTGTGTGCCATACTATATTTCATATTATTTGGAAGATGGCACCATTTCAGTGAAGGAACGCAAACACCGAGATGAGAGCTTTGATTTTTGCCCATATTTGATAAAACGGATCCGAGTGCCGCGGTATTCAAAGCAATTAATCAATAATTTGATTGTGGCAGAAGAGGAGAGTTTCAATGAACAAAAAGACGAAAGAGACTTCATTCAGCCAAGCGATTTTGTGGTTGGAAAAGAAGTGAATTTACTTGGGCATCGTTTTTTGATTCGCGATTGTGACGCACGAACACGACAATATTACGAAGATATTCTGAAGGTGCAGCAAGGCGAAAGGGTTATGATTGACAAAATTCGGCCGATCCAATTGAAAACTGTAAGATTTTTTTTCCCACATATTTTGAAATGATGTTTTAATTCATATTTGGTTTGATTTTCTCCTCCAAAAATCGAATCAATATAGGACATTCCCAAGTATATTGGTTTTGGTACACCTGAAGATTCATTGGCCTCCTGCAAAAGTCTTGTTCCAAGAGAGCCGCGTAAAAATATTGTTCGATATATTGTTAATGCGAATAAGTATCTTCGATTCGGTTGTGTGCTTGATTCTGCTCGTCCAGAAGATCAGAATCGTCAATTTATTCTCAAATATTCGTTGGCCGATGGCAAAATCGGTATTAATGAACTATCGATTACGAATTCTGGAATTCAAGGCGGAAAATACGTGTCGCCACAACTGATTGCTAAGAATGATTGCTTCAAAAACGAACCAGACTACTATACGTGCAAAGATCTTTATATCGGTGAGATTCCATCTATTCATCACAGTAAACCAATTCTTGTCCTCAAAAAGAAAATGAAAAGAGATTTTTTCACACTCGTTCGTAGGTGCAATTCTACACGTCAACTGTCGCCGTTTCATAATCACAAGTGCGGATTTGAATGATTATCGTTATATGCAAGAAAATCCTGAACTATTTTCGCAAGAAGCCATCGACAGCGTCCGAGATTACCTCATATCAACCAATTGCTTGAGTTCAAATGAAGCGCTAATATGTTCATCTTAGAATTTGGTTGCAAAGCGGAAACCGTAATTGTCTGTACATTTTCGTAGTAGAAACAGTAGGCTGAATATTGTTCGTAATATTGTATCTCGTAAGCATTGAAGAGAAGGTCGGATATTTCGTTTTTCATCACGGTGCATCTCTTTTTCGTCGAATGCAATTGATTGCAAGTACTAAATTAGCTTTCCGTATAAAGTGGTGGGTGTCTGTGGTTAGGTAATCTCGCAAACGAACTGATTAAATAAATCAATAAGAAGGTTTAGAATATTTTGTCTGATTCAATTGAGAGAAGCCCCCACTGGGCTCGAGCAAATCGTACACGTCATGCTCATCAAATATGTAAATGATAGGAATTTATGTCGGATTCGATCAGCCAATTAAAAATACATATGCCACGGCGTATCAACGGTAGTTTTGAAAGTAAAAGTTGATATGGTTTATTATGCGATCGAACCTATTGCCATTGTACAATGCGTCACATGCACAAATTAGCGAAACATTCGAAACATTTAGAATGAATAAATTGTTTACAAGCGAGGAGACGAAAATCGACTAATTCGACAAAGTAGTCACAAATTTTGTATTTATTCATTCATTCATTCATTTTGTTTTCTTTTTTTCTTCATTTTTCTGTGATTTGGTATTCAATAATATTAGACTAGAGTAACACTACTAATTTGGATGATTATTATGCAAAAAATAGATTAAAAACAAAAACGCGCATTATTGTATCAGTTATCGACACGTTATCGATTAATTGCCAAATGTTACATCAAAATTCATAAAAAAAATGCGAAAATCCACTGTAGATTTTCAAAACAACAATGATTGCCGCTACTGTTTTCTTCACAGTTAGGCTGTGGCGCCAACACCCGATCACACAGAGCATAATGATAAAGCCCATTTCAACACATCATCCAATGCCTTAATCCAATTATCTGCAACGGATATATTCAATTGACACATCATTAATATGAAAATGATTATTATATCATAAACATTCCGCACGCACCGACTTCACACAACGATTTGCATAATTTCACCGCAACAATGCTCCACGGAATAACACACATTTCCCATCGACTTGGAATTTGTGTGAAATAACGGCATTTTTTTTTGACTAAAACAGAGACCGAATTGGCTCTTGCTCATTGATTAATCATATTTTGCTTGGTGTCAACACTTTATGTAATAATTTCAAAGTGGTACAAGTTCAAATTTCGTGTCCCAGATTTAGCTTTGTACATTAATTGGAGTTTCGAATAAATAAAATTATAATTTTTGTTTTTCTCATCAAAAAAGTGTTTCTGTGCGAAGATTTCGAGTTCAAAGGTTAATCAAGACAACATCATTTTTCATCGTCTTTTTCTAATTATACAAGATCTACATTCTATATTGTAGAATATTTGACTTGTGCAACTACGATTGACGTCTAAAATTCACGTAAGATTTTGCATGAAGATTAATCAATGTAAATGTTCATATACAAAAGAACTCGTACGTTCTCTCTATAAATCTTTAGGACCCACGCGAAAAATGATTTGATTTCTCATAAAAATTGTATTTCAGCCAAAAAAAAACTATGATTCATATGATTTTGTATTAAAAACAATAAAAAAAATTTCGAAGTTTCGACAAAGTCTCAATAAAATTGTATATGTTCTGTTGCAATGCAAATTAAAAAAAAAAGTAAACGAAAAAACATGTGAAATATTCTAATTCAATGCGATGAATATAAGAATTGCCTTGGAAATCCTCTTCACATCAATCACTTATGTAACCAATATCGTAGGCTAAATGCAGTTCAATAACCAAATTATGACTGAACTTCATCTACCAAATTGTTACAAATCGATTTATCAGCTATGATGGAAGTAAAAGGAAGCTGAATCAACTGAATTATGGTATTAAATTCGATGACTTTGACGAAAAGTGGTTCCTCAGTTTCAGTTCAGCATATATACTGTCTATATTGTTTGAGCACGATCGATTTCATGGAAGAAGAAAAAAAAAGATGTGATGGTTTCAAAGTTTTTCGCGTCTTCTACACAATAAAAAATAATAATTGATTTTGCGCCAATATTTTCATTCGATAATCACGCATCAAAACAAAGTTAGCCTTTATACAGCAACCCATCGAACACGTGAATTCGGAAGGTAAAGAATTGCATTTATGCAAAAATCTGTCGTGTAATGTCTTCATCGCGAACATTGTTCGATTGTTAATTCTCGCGTTTTTGTTCCATCAAATGATTTCCTCTTCAAATTTTATTATTTTTTAATAATTTCTTTTATTAATTGAGATTAATTTTTTGCGCTCGATTTTTTCATAACTTGCGATTATATATCAATATAATATCAATTTGTTTGGTGAATGTAGTCTTAGTTGGACTCTGCCAAGGGTACTGCGATTAAAATTACTGTAAATAAACCAAAATATACGCATAATGACTCTAATTTGCGAACTATAAGTATCATCCAGAATTGTTTGTATGAAGTTCGATAAACCTGTGTAGGAATACGCTTTGAGTTCGAATACTTGTACAATGTACATGTACATACTTGTAAGGTCATCACAATTATGATAGAAAAAATATATTTCATACTCATTTGTATGCATAAAATTTCAGTACACCGTTTATTATAATCCATTGGAATGAAATTGAAATTAATGGGACAAAACGAAAATTGTTAATTTAGATTGTTCCTGATAAAAGGCTTAACCTTCGGCGCAATCGTATACAATTGGATCTGTGATCCATTGAAAGGTACTTCATTTGCAATAGTTGTGGCCTGTGACGCGTTGTTTCTCTGTCTCTAGTATCTTAAGAGCTATGACGATGACAAAATACGTCACTTTTGTGTCAGTCTATCTTCAACTCTCTTGCAATTGTATTTCATTTATCCATTAATTAATTAATTCACGATTGCTGCAAATTGCCACTTTTTTCTGTCTTGCCCATCGCCGCCTAGTAACAACGCAAAACGCTTTATTAACAACTGAACTTCACTTAATAAAAGAATGATTATATCATTCAGCCCAACGGATGCAGCATACTTTTACGACAAACATTAAAAACGAGGCAATAACAGCAACAACAACACAAAAGATAACACTTGTGAACATCTCTCGCCGTAATCGAATCTCTCGATCATTGAAAAAAAAATTTTACTTCGTCGTCGTCGTTTAATTTTGTATAGTGGACGTTAAATTATTGTTATTTCATATTCCTATTAACCGATTCCGTCGACATTATGAGTACATGCTTTGTACTGCACACCTTTAGCAAATTATCACTCGGTAATGTTATATAAATGTATGTTATTAAAGGCAGTAAAGTATGTTTTAGCCGACGTTCCCTCGAGCCTATATCTTATAATTGGCAGCTTAATAAGTAAGTGCAGCTAGCGGCGTACAACATTAACCAAATGGAATAGAATTTTTGGGCTCGGAGAGACTGAAAGTTGGTTCTTCTTCTTCTTCTTCTTCTTCTTCTTCTTCAATGACATTGAATTAAAAAATGTTCATGGCAGCGAGTCCGATTGCACAGTGTAATTGAGTTTAACAATAGCACGAAAACCAATCAAATCTCGGCATCGTGCGGTCAATTTGTCACTAAATTTATTGGCTTTGTTCTGGAATAATTTAAATAAATGTTCAAACGTTCTTTGGGAAAAGAATTAAAGTTGAAAAAAATGCATAAATTGAAATGAAGACAAAGTCAATGTGGAAAAGAAATATGTTCGTAGCTAGGTTCGTAGACCATTAGAGCATTTGAATTTAGCAACTGATTGAACAGCATCCAATTTATCTCGATCGGTTCATTCTTAACGGAAATTTATTGGTTTTCATTTCTAATTTCCACACGGCGAGCGAGAGTTGAGCAGGGGAGAAGGAGAAAAAGAGAGATAGAGACACTGACTTCACTAAATGAACAAAACAAATGTGAAATGAAGCCAGAGAATCAACCCAGCAAAGTGCATTCCCTGAACGAAGCACATGGATTCACTTTTTATTGACGTCCATAAATAAGAATATAATTAACTGTGAAGTGCTGCACAAGAACAAAGAACGAAAAGATTGATGGGTGCGTTAAGATATAATGAAATTGACCGATCCACCTAAATGTTGCCTGCTCACTGCCGCACGATGTGAAGATCTTTCGTGAAAATGAACTTGAAAAACGGAACAACTTGTAAATGTGCAAGCGATAAGGCTAACGAGAATATGGCTTCATAGCAATATACTGGATTTTTCTAAGCAATACTAAGCTATTGGTTCTACGGCAGCATGGAAATTCACCATTGTAGAATCATCTATCTGAAAACCTTCATCACAGAACCGATGAATTTATTTGCGGCGCAAAATCACCAGCATCTTCATACAAATAAATGTACGGCATTTTCAGTCGCTGCGTTGAACAAGCCAAAATAGGTAGCTTCAATAACTGTCAGAATTCAAAGTATTCACCGTTTGAATCGCATCACATCAAAATCGAATCATTATTTACATGTACTTCCAATTATTTTAATTATGTCCATTTTTTTCTCTACATCGAATCACATCAGAATTTGGTTTTACATTTGCACGCCCATTTTTTTTTCCAACTGTGATAGACATAGTGTTTAACAACAAGAACAACCAATACTGACTCATAGAAAATTCAAAGTGGATTCGGAAAAAAAAAGTTCACAGGTGCACAAATTACAAATCCGAATGTTTTGATTCACTTTTTCAAGTGTGAAATTGAGCTGTTGTGTACAACACATTAAACTGGGTCCGACACGTTTTACAGCACAGATACAATGGATTTTCTCATTGAACCAACGGTATGAACCGTTCTGTGTGATCTTTTGTTTGACGTTGCGTTGAAAGTGAATTTAAATGTTAGTATTAAAAGGTTATCGTCGTCGACTTGACGTTCGCATTCTTAATTTGTTTGTAGCACGCCGAATATGGTTGTATCAGTCATCAGAACAATGCTTCAATTCCTGTTCAAACTTAACCAAAATCGTTCAATTCTTTCAAATTCATATTTCCATATTTGAAAGCGACCGAAGAAAAATCGCCGTTTTTCTCTGTTTCCAATCATAGATTCGCACGTTCGTAAACACAATCATTATTGGACGTATTACAAATGAATCGAAACGAATAATAGAGAAACGATATATACGTATTCCACAGAGAAGAAGGTCAATTTGTAATGAAAAAAAAAAAATCCGAAGCGATATTAATCCAGATAAACAGAGTTCAAGTATAACATAATACCCGGTGAATCGAGTCGAGTTGAAAGGGAAATCACAGTCATGTGAAAAATCGCACACAACAATTCATTCATTGCTCCAAAATACTTAATAATTGATGCGCGTCAACAATTAGCGTCAACGAAAGAAAAAAGAATTAAGTTGTCGACTTTAGGTCTTTGACGTTTGTTCGTATGCCGTCGAATGGGAAAACCTTAAGCTGACTAAATGTGAACAAACTGAGCACACATCAAGAAAAACAAAAATTGATTCATAAATGAATGCGTGCCATTTGTTCATCCATTATGGACTTAGAGAGCTCATTGAAATTTTTGTGCACTCTCGTCGAAGCGATCACGCTGTGGAATTTTAAGTGGAAAACAATAGCGCATCTTCTTGATTTCATTGTTAAAGTGTTTGGCTTTATTTTGTTTTCCTCTTCTATATACGCTTTATCTGCATTGGATCTTTGGAGTCGCTGCAAGAAAAGAATGGCAATGTTGTGTGTGTGCGGTGGCATCGGCGGTTGGTCATCGTCGTCGTCGTCATCGTCGTCGTTGAGTCAACGCGATGTAAGTGTTGATGCGAGATTTTGTAAGTTTGGCCATTATTCATTTCAATACCGTTTATTACGTGCACTGCAATGTATGTTTTGTTGTTTTGTTACGTCGGCGGTCCAGTGTTTGTTTGTTGGTTCGATGAAAGAAGATTCTTGCAATCTCTGGCCAATTTGATGGTAATTTAAAAGCATTAAAATATGTTTCATCGCGCCACACTCTCATTTAGAAATGGTAATTACCAAATAAAATCGGCCGTAACAATAGACGGCCCAAATGAGAGCGAGAGAGATATGTTGCTTCTTTTATTGTTGCCCAATATCATTTAATTTTCCCGTTTTTCGCTTAAATCAGTCGAATTTGTTCATTCGAAATCGCATTTTCCGACACAATACACACAGTTCATTTGTTCACACTCACACACACACACACGAGATTTCTATGTTGTCGTCTCAGTTAGTTGAATGGATTCAAATTTTATTGCCATGCACAATCGAGTAAAGTACAGTGAGTGCAATCTGATTTTATGTTACAAACTCGAATGCAATGTGGAAACGATATATATTGTCGAGCGTTCTTTAGCAGAACAAGATTGAGAGTAAGACGAACGACGTTTAATCGCTTATCATCAAGTCGTGATGTAAACTCGCTAGCAAATGAACTGTGTGCGATGGAAATAATGAAAAAATAAAAACGAAAGGAAAATCCGAATTGATCGCACACTGAAAATGAAATCCCTTCTCCTCACCAAATAAAATGGTTTTGAATCAACAATCCATCCAAATATGCGCCACTCTATTTGACGTACATGTAACCGTGTTCGACGTTTAGCGAACATGTGATGCGGTTACGTTTCAAGTGAGAAGAGTCTCTCATCTCTTAGCTGAACGCTTCTTCTGCCTTATTTTTTTTCGAAAGTGTTGTGAGAGTGGGTGAACTCAACGATTTGCAAATACAAGCGCTTCAAAACAATATCAAACATTTTGTAATACACGTGAGAGATTGTCATTGGTGGCTCCTTTTCGGCCCGATCGTATATAAATACCGATTGATGAACTGTGTTTAAATCAGTCCTTTATCCGACTTCATATTAAGCACGCACTCGTCAAACGGCGAGGTAAGCCAGCGGCATCACAAATTATTTTCACATACAAACTGCTGCTTTGTTTGGTTGACGCTTGAGCACGGAATTTGTGAATATTCAATTTTTTTTCGTGGAATTTTTGATGTGTTATTATTATTTTGCTTCTGGTCAAAACCAATTACACATCCATACATACTCACGGATCTATTTTAATGGGATTATTTTTGCTTGTTTTTTTTTTTCGTTTAGGTTTTAGATTAAGTGAAAGAATTATATCATTTAATACAACAAAATGCAAGTGGTTTCAATATTTATCGGTAAGTGAAGTGAAAAAAAGAATTTACAGTTCACATTTTTAACATGAATCGTACGACTGGAAATGAGTTGGTCATCTTCACTTGGAAAACGTTGTGCAGTGAATGTGCGGCAATTTGTGTGCTTTATTACCCATAACGTAACATAAAATGGTGATAGTGCTATTGAATCTGCAGAAATGAAATTTTAGATTATTTTGATTTAAAATGGAAACCTGTTAATATTTTCGCTTATTGTTCATTTTCCAGCGGTTCTTGCCGTTAGCAGATTTGCTATTGTAAGTGAATGAAATGATGATATTTCGAAGAAAAGTGCAAGTGTTTAACTTTGTGTTTGTTTTGTTTTGTGAACAAAGGCTCAGTCCCAATCGGGCTACAACTATCCAAGCCCATTCAATCAACTGTCTCCAGGAGCAGCCGGTGATTTAGGCGGTGTACCCGGATCGAATGCTCAACAGCCAATTTCATATCCTGGATCTCAACCCGCTTATAATAATCAACAATTTACACCTTCAGGTAATATTTGATGAACATGCAACGACATTTACAGCAATAAGTGTTTGGCTTTTAATGATAGTTAATTTAAAATGGTGATAATTATTGAAAATCAAATTGAAACCATATTGCGTTCAAAGATAACTTCGGTTCATGTTAAGAAAATCTTTTGCAAATTAAAAGAGTATTTTGAAATTGAAGATAAAACCAACACTTTTTATGAGATAAATTGTTCATGAATTCATATCTAGGCCCACAAGGACCACCATCATCGTTTGGCACAACTCCTACTCCCATTCCCAGTTACAATCAACAATCATTCGGACAACCAACTGCGGTCAGTTTGCCAGCAAGTATTCCCGGCGGCCATTCGAGCATTCCAGGTGGTCACTCAAGCGTTCCAAGTCATTCTTCAGGTGGTTTTGGTCCATCTTCTGCTTCAAGTGGTTTTCCAGCAACTTCTGTTCCATCATCGAAAGGTTTGATCAATTATTTTCGTCGATTCGGAAATAATTCAAATTTTTCATTAATTCAATATTTCTTCTTGTTCATGACGAAATGAATTTATAGGCTTTGAATCCAGTTTCCCCCACCAAGGTCACTCAAGTACAGCTGGTCATGTAGGTGGTCATTCAGGCTCTCATTCAGGCAGTGTACCAAGCTCGCATGTTGGCATTGCTGGCACATCATTCCCAGCCCAATCATCTGGTTTCCCAGGTTTATTGCATGCAATTAATTCTTATGAAAAAAAAAATAATTTTAAATTCTCCGAAGAAAGAATACATTTCTATTGTTATTTCATGAAAAGTGCTAATTCATATAAAAGCCCATATTTGAGTGATAATAATCATACTTTCATTTTAATGAAAAAGCATCAGCTGTAGATAGTGGTAGTGCTGGTTTTGGAGCTCCGAGTGCACCAGGCTTCTCACAAGGTCAACCATCGTTTGGCGGACAAGGCAACAACTTCGGTGGACAAGGCTCAAGTGGTGGTAAATTTGTTTTTGTTTTATTTATTTTCGGTTGTTTGTAAATAAATCTTATTGCAAATCTCTGTACATTCCTTATGGACGGGAGACACCAATAAGAACCGTTAAGAACAACAAATATAACATAGAATGTAAATTACATCAAGGAAAAGCATTTCCAAGCTTTTATTCATCATTTCCATTCTAAATTTTCTACACAATTCAAGGAGAAAATGACGGTTCATATCCAGGTGGCGATTACTCTGCTATTCCAGGAGTGCCTGGCCAGGATTATCCAATTTACACGGAAATTCCAAAAACTTCATTCGATTGCAAGCAACAACAATACCCTGGCTACTATGCAGATGTTGAGGCGCAATGTCAAGTTTTCCATATCTGTGCATTGAACACGACTTTCAATTTCCTTTGCCCGAACGGAACCATTTTCAGTCAAGAGCATTTGGTTTGCGTATGGTGGAATCAATTCGACTGCAATTCAGCGCCAAGCTTGTATGGAAACAATGCCTACATCTATGATTATTCGAAAACTGGCCAGTCGCAAGATGGTCAAGGGCCATCAAGAAACTTCGGAAATGCACCTGATGCCGGAAACAGCTTTGATGGTGGAGCTCAAGTCCCTGGTTTCGTCGGTGCTCAAGGTTTGATTCGTTTTGAGCATGTTTGCGAAATGTGATATTCTTTGAACAATAACAATTATTCTCTTTCATAGGTGGATCACCAGGTTTTGGTGGTGCATCGCAGCCAGGCAGTGGATTTGGACCATCGTCTTCTGGTTCAATTGGATCAGGTGCTGGATTTGGGCCATCATCTGTTTCGCCTGGATTTGGTGGTCAATCACCATCCACCGGATTCGGTCCGAGTGCCGCCGGAGCACCTGCATTCAGCGTACCATCAGGTACGAACAAAAAAAAAATGTTGATAATGTCTAAACAAATTGCATTAATCACTCACATCCATACTATTAGGATCATCTGGCTTCGGTCCATCGTCATCAGGAGCACCTGGATTTGGCTCTGGTGCCACCGTCGGCTATCCAAGTTCGTCATCAGCAGGTAATATTCCAGCATCTGGATTTGGACAACCCACGTCTTCCCATTCATCAGGTACTTGCGTGCGTAAATATTTGCATGAATTCAATTTTTTCACGAATTTGTTCATTTCATAGGCTTTGGTCAGTCGCATGTTCCATCAAGCATTCCATCAGTTGGTGCATCACACACTCCTTCTCATAATATTCCATCAAGCCATAGCTTCCCATCGCAATCGCATGGCGGTGCCGAGCAATATCCAATTGTTCCACCAAGTCAAACCGATTATAATCAATCACCAGTCATCGTACCAACAATCCCAAGCAGCCCAGCACCGTTCATTCCAGGTGGTCCAGCAACTGGTTATCCACCGGCTGGTACACCACCATCTGGACCTGCACTAACCGCAGAACAACCAAGCCGCGAATACTTGCCACAAAGAAGGACAAAGTAATGAAAGCACTCCATTCCATTTCGATCTAATTGATTAAATTTCATTTAAATTATTCAAACGATTCAAAAAAAAAAAAAAATTAACACACATTTACATCCGAATCAGATCGAGAAAACATGAATTGTTCACAATCTAACCGAAAAAAGTATTAGCTTATTACTTTCACCATTCAAACTCCCTCTCCATAAAAAAAAAAAAGAAAATCCAAATCGAGATTTCATTAAAGAGCATATAATTCTTAGAGTTAGTTTTAGATGTAAAACTTTCATGTACAAGTATGGCCATGTAATTAAAAATATTGAACTCTTTTTGAATTTTCATGCATATTTTTTTTTGTAAAGAAAAAACTACCATGTATTTATAGTTGCTCTGAAAAATGAGAAATAAAATTTAAATGCAATATTAACTGACCGTTGTTTTTATTATTGATTCTTGGAAAGGAGCCGCATTTTTTGTAAAATTTAAACATATTTAAAGTCGGAACACGATTTCAAATGTACAGCAGTTGAACGCTCCTGAATCTATTGCGAAAAAAAAATTCTAGCAAAATATTGTTTTGTGTTTCAATGTGAACTGCGGTAATTGTTAGTACTAAAAAGGGATAATTCGAATATTTCCCCTTCAATTACAGTAGTTTCGAAACAGATGAGCAATTTTTCCATTTTAGCCAATTTTGTTTATTCTATGAATCAAACTAAAAAAATTAAAGTGAAAGTTCGCATTACTTATTTAATTCTGTCTATAAGTTTGCTAGTACTACTATGGAGAGGTCGTTCTTCGTGTTCAACATCGAGTTGGTATTCAGTGTCTTTCCATGACCTTCTATCGGGACTGACATTGATTTTATCTAAGATTTTTTGCGCTTTCATTGGCACGATTGGTTGCAATAGAATGCCATTGATCCTCAATGATTCGAATACAAGCGCTAATACGGCCTCTAATTTTTGCTCCGTAGCGGGATATTTGACAAGTTTCCAAGGTTCCGACTCTTGAATCAAGTTGTTTGTTAGGTGAAGCGTTGCGACGATTTCATCGATGGCCAAATAGAAGTTGTACGATTCAAAGTGTTCTTCATACACCGATGGCAATTGCTTGAGTTTTTTCATCAATTTGTGACTATAATTAAAATCGTGCAACTCTTTTCGAGTGCATTTCGGTACTACTTGTCGCTTGTTCAATGCTGGAGCGCAAATGCGTGATAGTAAATTGCCCAAAGTATTAACTAGTTCGGCGTTAATTATACGCGTTGCTTTTGAACTGCTGTAATCTGAGGGAAATTGTGAAATTGTTAGCATAAACATATTTCATTCAAGTGAAAACTAAAAAATACACACTTCCATCACTGTGCGGTACACCTTCACGTAGCAAAAAGTATCGAAGACCTTCATATGTATATTTTTCAGCCACTATGTTCGGATCAATCACATTGTTTTTACTCTTCGACATTTTCTGATCGTCCACCGTCCAATGAGAATGAACCAATAGTCGAACTGGTGGCTCCAAACCTAATTTCAAACAGAATACGTGTCATTCACGATTTTACGTCGAATTTATTCGTTATAAATTCGTTGTCAATCACCTGCAGCGATTAAAAATGCCGGCCAATAGATTCCATGGAATTTCAAAATGTCTTTGCCAATCACCTGCAGTTGCGGTGGCCAATTCTCTTTGAACTATTGAAAAAAAACGGAGAATAATTTTATATTCCAAATATTTTGTATGATTCTTAAATTTTTGAAATGCTTACCTTCGGATCCGGATAACCAGCACTTTGTAAATAGTTACAAAGGGCATCAAGCCAAACATACACGGTCTGAGTGTTATCATTTGGTGTTGGAATAGCCCATGAAACACGATCAATTGGCCGTGATATGGAAATATCTTGAAGTGGCTCTTTCAAATACTCCATTAGCACCTTTTCGAATTTCTTCGGACGAATCGGTTGACTGAAATCGGATGACATTTTGATTTTTCGTCACAATAGAAAGTTGCTTTTTAGATTAAACACACCTGCTCTTAATCCAATGCTCAATGTCACCATGCAACTTTGACAGCCTAAACATGTAGTTACTTTCTTCGACCCATTTCACCGGATGCCCAGATTCAGCAGACACCTTCTCCTTCTTTTCATTCTCCTTCAATTGAGACTCGGTCAAAAATGTTTCATCCGATACGCAATACCAACCAGCGTAATTTGCTTTGTAAATGTAGTCCTTTGCCTCTAATTCTTTCTAAGTTAGGAGTTCAAAATGTGCACTTTTAAAATTTGATATTTGTTCTCTGTTTGGCTCGTTTTTTAAAAATATAAATGAAACCCACCCAAAAATGTTGAACAGCTGGAAAATGACGTTTCTTATCGGTGGTCCGATTAAAATGCGTATAACTGATACCCGATTTAGCGAAGAGTGTCTTATAACATTCACTTATCTGATTACAATATTGCATCGGGTTTTGATCGTGTGCAATGGCAGCCTGTTGGATTTTCGAACCATGTTCATCTGTTCCAGTGCTGAATAGAAGCTTCTCCGAACGATTCCGAAGTTTTTCATAACGATACACACAATCAGCAATACTGGCTGAATACAAATGTCCAATATGTGGTGCTACAATAAATATTCCATTAGTTTTTCATCATCAACTGCCAAAACCGAACCAATGTTTTACCTGCGTTCACATAGAAAATTGGAGTGGTTACATAAAATAATTTGGATCGTTTGACTGTCTGCACAATAGTCATTTCCAAAAATAGTGTTTTCACCCGATATCAACGCAAAAATTATTCAAACAACTGAATGTTGGGTTAGGACTTGTGACAAATATTTGAATCAAATGTCAACACACAGTATTTATAAACAAGTGAATTGTCAGAACATTCGGCTGTATGCGATGGGACATATGAATTCGGACGTCTGTTAATTCAAAATAGCAACAAGATAACAAAAAAACATGACTTTTCATTGAAATTGAAATATTTTCAAATTACGCAACGACATGCTCGGTTGGATCCTTGGAACATATTTTTTTTTTTGAATGAAGAACACTCTCTTTCCGTAGAATAACCTTTCACTCAAACATAAATTCGATTCACTCAATAAACCGAAAAAATTAGACTGAAAACATGAGTGAGGTTATGTTGTTCTGTCACAAAATGCAAGCAGTTGTGTGAGTAAGAAATTCAGAACTGTCACAAGCATCGTGCGTTAAAGTGAATGGTGCTGACGTGAATTGAACCGTATTTTCGTCAAACAATTTCAACAATAAAGTCTGTGCATTTCGTCATTCAACGTGGTTGAACAAACACCGTTCATTTCAAAACAGAAGCTCAGTGAAAACAGATTTAGTTACACAAAACCAATTTTTTCTCTCTCGTCAAAATGAGTGATTCGAAAAACGAAGAAATTCTCGCTCCGTTGCGATTTTTGGTGAAAGAACAAGGCGATCTTGTACGAAAACTGAAACAGGAAGGTGCACCAGAAATTGATGTGAAAAAAGCCGTTAATGAACTAAAAGCACGCAAGAAGCTTTTGGAAGACAAAGAATTGGAATTGGCACCGGCCGCCGCATCGTTTGACCGTACAAAAATGGAAGTTTTGCTAAAACGACGGTTCTTCTACGATCAAAGTTTCGCTATTTACGGTGGTATCACCGGTCAATATGATTTCGGTCCGATGGTAATGGACATTTTTGAATTACTTTTGTGTACAAAGTAAAACTAAAGTTGTTCTTCATTCACAGGGATGTGCCTTGAAATCAAATATGTTGAATGCGTGGCGGCAATTTTTCGTGCTCGAAGAGCAAATGTTGGAAGTGGATTGTTCAATTCTGACACCAGAGCCCGTTCTAAAAGCATCCGGTCACGTTGACCGATTCGCGGATTATATGGTGAAAGATTTGAAATCTGGCGAGTGCTTTCGATTGGACCATTTGATTAAGAACAACTTGGAGAAATTGTGCAGCGAAAAAGGCACGACCGCTGAATTGAAGGCGGAATGTGAAGATATTATCATCAAATTGGACGGCAATACGAAAGACGAAATGGGCGCAATCATGAGACGATTCAACATGAAATCACCAACAACTGGCAACGACTTGTCCGATCCCATTGAATTTAATCTCATGTTTGGCACACAAATCGGTCCAACTGGTTTGATCAAAGGCTTTTTGCGTCCCGAAACAGCTCAGGGCATTTTCGTTAACTTCAAGCGTCTGCTTGAGTTTAATCAAGGCAAATTGCCATTCGCTGCCGCTCAAATTGGTAATTCATTCCGTAATGAAATCTCGCCGCGATCCGGATTGATTCGTGTTCGTGAATTCACAATGGCTGAAATCGAACATTTCTGTGATCCCAACGAAAAATCTCACCCGAAATTTGATAGTGTCAAAGACACGGTAATGCTATTATACTCGGCCTGCAACCAAATGGACGGTAAAAGTGCTGAACCAATCAAAATTGGAGATGCCGTCAAGAGTGTAAGTTGTAAATAGAGAAAAAAAATATCGAAAAGAAATCGTCGAGAAAAAGTAATTAAATTTCGTTTTTTTTTCTTCAGGGTTTGGTTGCCAACGAGACATTGGGCTACTTCATGGCGCGTATTCAACAATACATGCTAAAGATAGGTATTTTGCCCGATCGCCTCCGATTCCGTCAGCACATGAACAATGAAATGGCGCATTACGCTTGCGATTGCTGGGACGCTGAATGTTTAACCAGCTATGGATGGATTGAGTGTGTCGGCTGTGCTGACCGTTCCGCATACGATTTGACGCAGCATACGAAAGCGACTGGCGTTAAATTGGTGGCTGAAAAGAAATTGGATGCACCAAAGGTGGTGGATGTAACGGAGGCCGTGCCCAACAAAGCAATAATCGGAAAGGAGTTTAAGAAAGACGCCAAGCGTATTTGCGATAAGTTAGCTGCTTTGGAAGCCGAACAACAACAAGCATTGCAAGATGGCCTCAACTCGAGTGGCTCGTATGACTTGGAAGTCGACGGTGCCTTGAAAGTTACACTCACTAAAGCCATGGTTGAGGTGAAAACGACAAAGAAAACCATGCACGTTGAAGAAATTACACCAAGTGTAATCGAACCATCATTTGGTATCGGCCGTATCATGTACTCACTGTTGGAGCATCGATTCCACATTCGTGACGGTGACGAGCAACGTTCATACTTTGCACTGCCAGCTTTCATTGCTCCACTCAAATGTTCGGTTTTGCCGTTGAGTGCAAATGCAGAGTTCGCACCGTTCGTGCAGAAAATCTCGACTGCATTGACCAAACATGACGTTTCGCATAAAGTTGACGATGCCAGCGGTTCGATCGGACGTCGCTATGTTCGTACCGATGAAATCGCCATTCCATATGGTATCACCATCGATTTTGATACATTGAAAGAACCATACACCGTAACACTGCGCGAACGAGACTCGATGTCCCAATTGCGTGTGCCACTCGATGAGATCGCCGAAGTGGTTCGCAATTTATCATTCGGAAAAGTGACATGGAATGAAGTTTCAGTCAAATATCCGAAATTCGAACAACAAGAAACCACGAAATAGATGAACTCGCCCATTTACGATATCGCACACGCTGCTCATGTGTTTGCATTTGCTTTATGATATTTTTTCTAATAATTTTTGTTTTTTTTGGGATTCAATAAAATATTCTTACTTTTTATTACTCTGCATTCATGTGTGTTTTATCTATCTCGTCTCTGAAACAACAATACAAGAAATATAATTTTTCTGATAAAGTAAAAATGTGAACAATATACACATATACTCCAATTTTGATAACTGTTTCTCACACGGATGAGGAAGGTTTCAAATGAACTCAAATGATCACGAGAATTTCTATTGGCTCTGCGAAAAAGAAATGATATAATGTAACGGCTTTATTGAAAAGACAAAAATTGTCCTTCTACGTCTCTTTGCACCGATTTCTCGATACCGAATGAGCTGTCCAAATCGGAACTTGAAGAATACGTTGTTGAGTTTATTTTTTATAAATAAATGTTCTTGCTAGACTTTTCGTTTGATTAGTTTCACTTCTAAAACAAACTGACGGAAACGTCAAGTGGCAGCTTCGAATATTATTCATTGTTCATTTTGCTAATTTTGCTCCTGAATTCATTTTCAGATTGGCTTTGCAAAAGGGGAAATGAATCGAATACATGAGAAAATGAACCAAGTTTAAGATGGAACTTGGCCCTCTTTTGGCGGCTAGTTCAACTAACATCCACTCCCAGTAGATAGGTATGTGTTCATTTAACTCTAATTTTCAATTGGTTCATTTTCCCCTCGGCAATCGGATGTGTGTTTATTTACAATTGTCTAAAACACATAACTCACCCGAGAGTTGTCTGCTTTTGGTGTCACATCACCAGCATCAGAAGTATATAAATTGTGTACAATGTACATACGCACCTTTTTCAGGTGGCATTTCATTTGGCTACGACCATAAAACGTAGTGGAATATTTAGAGAGATTTTGAATTAGATTGTGATAATTTCATTGTCGTCATAATCCCAAATTTGTTTATTTTTTTTCCCATTCTGCTCTCGATGTTGGGTGCATTTATGTGGACGAACGCCATAATACATTAGATTGGATGCTCTTATCCATCTGTCCATCGGATAGCTATAATTTGCAATTCCAAACATCTCCGGCTAATGTATATTTATTTTTCGATTGTCATGTTACGCCTTTCGGATGTTTCAGGTCCGTTTTTTTCTCGTTTTTTTCCGATACACATTGGGGCGAAAACCGTAACCAGCCCCAAAGCTAATAATTGAATAATTTTAATGTGTATTTGCTTTTTGCTCGAATTCCTCCGTGTACAAGCCGGAATTGATTTATTTTTCGAACATTCATTTCAAAACTAAAGGTGAAACCAGCTAAATTTCAAATCCAAATCCCTGCGGCTGTGTTTGCTTAGTTTGATGGGTGTTTCAGTATTTTGATGAAATGAACATGAACGTATTACACATTCCACGTATAGGAATAATAAGACGCTTTACACAAATCACATGGAAATAAATTCACACAATTTGTTCGCTCTGACGGCAAAAGTGATTTCATTAACTTTTCAAATTAAATAAATCGAAGCAGAAAAGGAAATAAAGCTGAATAAAAAAAAGTAGCGAACCAAAAAATACAAGACACACACACCAAAAAAAAAAAACACACACTCAGACGAAATAATAAAATTTGGAACCAGTGACACCAAGTGTTTTTAATGGCATAACTTTTTCCTATTTTGCGTTGCAGTCAATCGTCTCGAATACGCAAAATTGTACACTAGAGAATATTTATACTGCATAAAACACGGTGACAAATGTGAAACTTTAGGAAATCGCTCTCTCCTTCTCTCACTCAAATCCTGATGCATAACGAATGAGTTTCGGCATTAGATTTACGTCAATCCATCGAGAAAGTCGGTATGGTGTAACATGCATTCGACACAATACCGCCGCCGTCATCGCTGTTGCTATTGATGCTTGTTCACCGACACTGTTATGTGTGTAAATATTTTGGTACGCGATATTTTCAATTCTGCCCCATGGTTCTGCCCAAATGCCGAAACGGAAGTCGCATCATACAGATGTCGACGAATATATTCATTTTATTGTCATTATCACTAATGCATACGTTTCAAAGTAGTTTTAAATAAATATATAAGCACATTCAGAGCGTCGTTTCAAAAATCTGCTCACTTTAACCAAAAAATTGATTTAAACCGACTAACGAAAACTAATTTAAAAGTTTTCGCTACCCTCGAAATAAAGAAACGGAAAAGATATAAATCTATTTTTGAGCTGCTTGTGTTAAATATTGTTGGAATATTCTTTGAATCGTTGTTTTAATATCCGGATCGAGGATAGTTAAAGGGGAAAATGTCGACGTCGAATGCATACTAAAATCCTTTTACTATATCAAAAATGACAATATTGAAAATTGCAAATCAATGTAAAAGTTTTTTTTCGAGAAAATAAGAGCTATCACTATTTTCCATATAAAATTGCACTCAAAACAACTTTGACTGGAAAATGTTCATTTTTCCTTCAAATCAAAATAAAGCAAATTTGAATGCAATTGTATCCAATACAAAAAACAACATTTTTGTTCGCAAATCATCCTTATCAGCGTGTGTCTCGTTTACTCTTCCTGGTCGTCTCACATGGATGGCGCCACCGACACCATTTCTGCTGGCCATTATTTTGACGTTTCGCATGAATTTGAAGCCGAAATTTGATTGCTAACATCATTCGTGTAATGTCACACGTTTATTTTTATCGTCGTCTTTTTTCAGCAGCAGCAGCAGCATGCACTAACTTCATCTGGTCATTTCATTTCATTCATTTGACGTTGCACTCATGGTTTACTTTGAACGTGAAACGAAATACGATATTGTAAATAAAGTTTGTGTGATATTCTAAGGTATGGCTTCGAATAATAAACCAACAGCATCATCATTGTTCAAGGCAGGCATGCAGATACCAACGCAGATTAAACGTGAACCATTGCCAGCCGACAGTAAATTGTATACAACCGAACGTTTATCATCATTTCGTCTACCACGCGATTTAACTCTGGGCGGTGTGCCATTAAAAACTCCAATTGCTCGACCGAATTTATTACAAGCCAATAAAAAAGTCTATACTCCAAATTTAAATGCGATTAGAAATAAAAATGCGTAAGTGTGATGATTTTATTTCTGTTGTTGAAATTAGTTAGCCAAGAGCAAAAAAAAAACGTGTTGAACCAATTCTCATTGATTGTTGTGACATTTGCAGCGATGTGAAAACGTCAAGGGATACATCCATTTCAAATGCTCGGGGCAGAGGAAGAGGACGTGGTGGCCAAACGGAACGTGGGGGCCGAACGGAACGTGGAAGGGGCGGTGGGCCTGGGACACACAAGCCTCGGAATTCAGTTGTAGCGTCATCAGGTCTTTTTTCCGAAGGAGCTGGTGATGGTGTAACCAAGCATTTATTTCGTAGTTTTCGAAGTGCTGATGACTCAACAGCGTCCACTCTGCGTCGACCGACACTTTCAAAGAAACGCGAGAAATTCGATCCACAGGCTGAACAAAAGCACATTGCGGAAATTTATGATTTGGACGTAGACGATATTGATGATCCATCCGGAGGAGGCGGAGCAGGAGCTTCAGCTAACGATCAAAATTCACCAATTATTTTGAGTCAAGGTAGATTTTTTTCGTGTTTTTTTTTTCATCAAGTGTATTGTGCAGGTGTTTATTGGAATTCATTTGTTTTGCAGTGAAAAGTGAAGTGAAGCTCGAACAACGGATTAATAGTATGGAAATTAAAGAGGAAAATAATGACACATCCAATACTAGACTGAAATATCCGCGTAATATAGGCGAATTTTTAGATAGGAATACCCCACAACTCTTCCTTATGCAGGTAAAAAGTTGAATGAATATTCATAAATTAGCCTTTCAATTTCAATCAAATTCGAAAATTACTTTAGTTTTGAACAAAAGCTTAAATCAAAATTTTCTCCACTTCTAGCTACCAGATGCGCTACCGGGTCATGGAACTGAGCCGGAGCCAGCCGATAGCGCTGAATCACAAGAGTCGAGTCAACTGCAGGACAATTTGTGTACGATGCGAAATTTAGAGGAGGGCCAAATTGGTCGCCTAGTGCGATATCGTTCAGGGAAAACAAAGCTTCTATTAGGCGATTCCAAATTTGACATTGATTTGGGAATCGATCCGAATCTAATGCAAGAAGTGGTATCAACTCAAATAAATAAGTCTGAACGAAGCGGAAGCGTGATAAATTTGGGACAAATTAATGCTAAACTAAGTGCCGTACCGGACTGGGAATTCATTTTAAACAATATCGTCGATAAAAAATCATAGCATCCGTGCGTATCTCGGGTGTGCGTGATTCAATTGCAAGTTATATTGATGTGTTTATTTCTCGATCTGCGACGATGTGAGGTTGCATGAACGATGATTTATATAAATAGGAATTAAAATAAATTAAACGAGATATGTTCTTTTTCAATTTTGTTAATATAAACGAATTATCAATTTCGAATGCAACAACAACAACAAAACAATACGACGCATTTAATTGTATGCCAGTTTTTTTTTTATTTACGCTTCAAAAACAATGATAACGACTAAAGATTATGGATTCAATTTGATTCTAAAGGCTGCTTTTGATCGCCCGTTCTGCCAATGAACTGGTTACCTTTGATGTCAATGGCAAAATTGAAATCGGATTTTTCCTGAAGAGCCAACTCAAGTGCCTCATCGAAATTCTCGCGAACGATAAATGATTTGGCCGCTTCCTAAAATGGGAGAAACGTGCATTGAATAACAATACTAATAGTTGAAGATGGGATAAACAGCAAATATTCGATATTCGCATGCGATTGCTTCGAAAGAAATCCAATTCTACCTTTTCTCTCAGCACCAATTCATTGATTTTTTGCTGTTGTTCGGCCTCATACTCTCGCTGTTGTTCCAATTGCCATTGGATTTCCTGTTGCATCGCAAACCGTTCCGCTTTCAAACGTGCATCGCGAACTTTGGCCACTTCACGATTCCATTCATCATTGATTTTGGAAATTCGCTCAAAATCCGCATCATCTTCGACTGATTGTGGTTTTTGCGCTAATGCCTCGTCTCGCTTCAGCTTTTCTTCACGGAAGAATGCTCGCAACGATTTCATTTTTGTGCTGAACAAAAAATAACAAAACAAATCATAACATGAATCAGTGAATGTGAAACGTGAAGCCAAATCGAATTTTCTTACTTATAAATTGTGGACAGACGTGTTAATTCGGCCAATTCCTCTGGATCCTGTTCGGGATGTTCCGGGATGCGAAACAATTTCGACTTTGATGTACCCAATTCCAATGGTCTTCGGTACCGCCATCGTCTCACACTTTGAACACACAATTCACTGTGGCTGATGTTGAAATTGTTCTGATTGCAAATCCGATTGCTCAGATTCAATGATCTCACTGTAGCCCGTAACATTTGTTATCTTATTTTGTTTCACACCGAATCGACCGTAGAAAATAATCTTTGCTGTGTGCTTTTCTGCTATTTTCTTGGCAGCTACAATCAGAAATGTCAAAACTGAATGTTCATCAATTCATGTGGATTTTGACAGTCGACGAAAGCGACATCTATGCGTGAATGATACAAAAATCACGCGACAAGAAAGAGTTTGAATGGATCAACAAGCAAGAGCAATCATTAATATGTTGTTTACATTAATTTGTAAAGTGTTGTTTCTTTTAACAGAAATTAAAAATACACTGTTAATATTTTATTTGATTGATTTTCACGTTGAAATTGCCAGATTTTATTCATTCGTTGAATATTTTATTCAACAGTCTCGCTTGTTCGTTTGTTTATTATTATTTATTTTTCAGCCTCAATTGAATTTTAAAATAACAAATTACTTTTTCCCAAAACACTCGAAAATATTAAAATGTATTGCATTTATGAATTGAATTCGAGCAGAGAGAATTTCATCAACGAGCGCAAAAAAAATGGAATTAAATTCAACAGCTCTTCATCAATTGTGCTCAAACAAGCGTACGCGTTGAAACTTTAAGTATGCTTTTGTACCGTGGTATTATTTGAAAAACGCAATTTATTGGTGGAATTACTTCAATAATAATTGCATTATGCTATCTCCTCAATATTGCGCCCGAAAGCTTTCATGCCAAAAAAGAGAAAGGGTCGAATATGAAATTATGTCGAAAATGACAAAGCATTAATCCGACCTGAACACTTTTCCACATTTCATGTTAACAGTGAAGAATGGTACCCTTCTCGATGAATGGTGCTGAATTTGTTTTCGTATCGACTCTCTGCTTGTATCGATTTAACAGAATAAAAACACACTCTAAAGCACATTTATATTAAATTTATTCCGTAAATATGTATCTTGCGAGAATCTCTCGAACTCTCAAGCGGATAAATTCGATATAATTGAATTGGTGAGAATTGGGATGGTTTTGAATCATGGGAAGCAAGAGGGCTGGAGTTGCTTGAACGTGAAAATCTCATAATTTATGTATACTCATCGCTAAGTGCATAAAATATGCGGCAAGAGCTTGATTGTTTTTTATTATCATTTTTCACATAATTCCATTTCCATTTCAATAGATTTTTTTTTTCCACTCGAAACCGTTACATTGTTACCGAATGTGGATTAACACAAAATATTGCATAGATTACATGAATTGTCGCTCAAAAAGTGAATAGTAGTCTGTATGAACTGCACACCCTTTTAACATGTAAATCATAATTCGCATTATCTACGGTGATGTACATTGTGTCACATAAAAGTGTATCTCACTCGTCACAAATTCGGTATCAGTGTGATTTGCCTGTAAGTCATTTTCGATTCTCACGGAGTGAATCAGTTCAGACAGCCAATAACACACACACACATACACACACACACACATCATGGGTGGAAGATGGAATATAAAAGCTCGTGTATTTGATTGCTTTTATTATGTTCGAAATGGTTTTGACGATTGAGTTTGATGAAATACAAAGGGGCCAAAAATAAATGGGAAGAGTGAGAGCCAAATATGACGATCGTGCGCTTGTGGATTCGAGCATATGTGCAAAATTTAAATGAAATCGAAATCCGTTGGCAAAAATGGTTCAGTTCACCCATGACAATGTATGTGCGGATGGAAGTGATAAATTGTGTTTGATAACAACCAAAAAACGAATCGCGTGCAAAAGAAGATGTGATTTTTCGCATTTGCAAAATGCTTCAGAGTCTAACGCTCGAAAAATTGTTTTCGAATAAACCCACGCAGGCACAATGATGGCATTAATTTTCGATTGTTGTGCTTGTTGTTTGGATTTACTTTGCCACTCCAAAATGATGGAGAATGATAAGGGAAGTACTCAGAGACTCGGGCTAATTGCAGCCAGTTTAAATATTTAAACGAAACTGTAATAATTGAGTTATCCAAAAGTTTTTGTCAAATGACCAGATAATGATATTCGCGCTCGCGCTCACGCTCTCTCTCTCACACGCTCACTCTCGGTGAAGTAGTAGATAAGCGTTTGTACACCATATCATCATCGTCATCGGGTGAGAGTGTCGATTTGTATTCCATTCACACATCGAATCTTTGGCTGACGCGCGTACCATTGCAGCAGCTAAGTGGAAGGATTTGGAATCCATTAAAGTCGTCGCACACCCATAAGCACACCGAAAGGCATTGTTTCTTCGGTATAACCGTTGCCGCTTTTATTGTCGTTGTCGCCGCCGCCAGTGTTTTTCGCGACCTCCCAACCATTTTGCGAACGGAAAAGGATTTTCGTTCGAGCGTGGCTTCCAACAAACTATAAAATAAATTAAGTCGATTTACATGTTAGAAGCTCATCATCTTCATTACGTACAAAAGTATCCGCACTTAAAATAAAACGCCTATTTTATGCTAATTTGTCCTCGTTTCCCAATTATTGTTGCGCTCCAAATCGAGTGAAAGAATGGGATAGATAGAGGTAGAGAGTTCATGACGGACTCAACAATGTGTGTGTATCGTGTAAAAAAGTTACAAGTAATCGACACAACGCATAAATTCAAATCACCTCGATAGCACGATACACAGAGAAAATGTAAGGCATAAGTGGTTTTTACCAGTTATGACAAGTGAACCATCGCTTCGGCAAATTTTTAAGCAAGTTTTCGAAGCTAAAGTCAATTTCACAAACGGTCTTCATAAATCGATCGAATGTCACATTACGGCTGCGGTTATCTTTTGTAAATATCTCTTCCGTAAGCCGTAACCACTTTGAGCCGTCGACGAGAAACAGAACGCTGAAACGCAAATTTTTGGGATGGCCCATTAACTTCATCGTAAAACATAGACGTATTACCAGCTATAAAATGCGCATTAGAAATCATCCGAAAAGATGTAAAATTGAACGTGTTTGCGCTCTTTCTCAGTGTCGCCTTCCTCTTTGGCCAACCACAACATATACACGCATACACACACTATACTCTACATTGCCTGCCGAACGCTAATGGAAATGTCTATTTTGATGGATAATTAGAAAGTGGCATAACTTTTAAGTGCGATCCATCAGAGGAGGTACATACAATGACAAGGAAATGCGACAAAATGAGTGAAATGCGCGCGCGAAACAAGTGAAAATACCTCGAAATAATAGGAATTTTATCAGAAAAGCCTCTCGTTTCCGTGACGGATGGCAGTTAACGTACGAGATATCATTTCATTTACGGTATTTTCGGTGTCCAATGTGCATTGCATCGCCGAGACGGGATGAAATAGAGGCTTCTTGCTTTGACAACAGTAATATACACAATTCAATTCGTCCAATTGATAGAACATGAAAACAGCAACCAACCAAATACCAGTCAAATGGAAGAATGATTTTGTTAGAAATTTTCTGGTGGCTTATAATTGTCTCGAATGCTTGTGCACAACCAAAAACAAAAGCAGTCAGAAGCCCATTTTCTAACATTTACATCGCATACTTGATTTCACTTTGAATAATAACTTGAACGAGAATGATGGATTTCACTTACATATGGTTTTCCTCGTTTGGATGGAGGGATTAAAAAAAACGCTTCGTAAATGTTGTGCATTTCACAGAAAAGTGCTACGATAAAAGTTTCAAGATAAACAAACTGTTTGGGGTGGAATTTTGATGAATAAGGGGATTGTTGTTTATCGAAAATGCCGTAAAACGTTAAAATTCCAGTGTGGAACTTGTTTAATGGCATGCGGCTGGGGAAAGGGAAAACGTTCAAAATCCAGTATATGCGCTGTGTTACGGTCGGCAGCGGAGTGTGTCGACTCAATTGTTTTGGTGCCTTTTTCACTGCACACAAAACATTTTCGTGCAAAGGCAATCGAAAAACATTTTCCCTAAACCAACCCATATATGCTTTAAAAATTTATAAATAGAGATCTGGTATGTCACTTTGCTACCTGATTTTTATCTTTTGCTCGGTCATTTTACTCAACGTTATTTTCACACCGATGCCCGACCGACACCGTTGAGTGGTGATTTTTTGTTTGTTCTTTGGTGATTTCCTTATGAATAACTTCGAATAGATAATTTCTATAGTAATTTTAGCACGAATATATATCCAGAAATTTTCGGCCACCGCTGAAAATATAAATAATACAAAAATATCAAAGGGGAGAGAGAGACAGCGCGGGATTGTGTATGAGTGAGATAGAGAGACAACACCGACTTAGTTTTATTTTTTTTGTTTATTTATTTGTTTGGAAAATTGAAAATGCTTTGCAGGAAATGCAAATGAATGGAAACAAAGAACGTGAGAGAGCAGTGTATGCCGTGCCACAAATCAGCACTGATTTACGGTAATTCATGCTCAGGCCATGTTCATGTAAATAAATAGTGAAAACTTCCATTTCTTTTGTCACGACAGATACACATTCTGAGCCGGAGTCGCTTTCACATGTAATGCGGTAGAAAAACTGAAAATTTTCTACCCAGATATATGGTATGTGTGTGGGCTATGTGGGTATGCAAAATGCCACCACAGTCAAGTCATAGTTTCCATAGCCATTGCCATTTCAATGCACACACACACACACACACACGAACACATGAACAATCGAAGTGTAGTAGGGGAAATACAACAATGAGCATTGAGCACACCGAAGAGAAGAAAGATAAGAAACAAAAACTGAAATCAGCAATTCCTTCCATAAATAAGGATGCTAATGTTGGGATTCAATGCAATGCAGTGCAGTGCTACGCGTCGCTTTCTCTCTCTCTCTCTCTCTCTCTCTTTCTCTTGTTGAATCTAAATTTTCTGTTTTTCCAATTTTCGTATCTCCTTAAAAACTTTCGATGTTAAGCCAACAGCGACTTCCTATGAAGTAAACATCTGAAAAAACGGTCTCATTCAGTTTCAGCTCCGTTTCACTCTTGCCCACTCTCTCCTGCTCTCGTTCTCCCGTTCTCTTACTCATTCCACACTGAACGCGTTCATCGAACAAAGAGAATGAATTGAACGTGCCTCTAATGCATTCCGCATCCGTGTATGTGTGTATACCCTGTACACTGTACAGCGTCATGAACTAACTTATGCAT